ACAATGTAATAACGATATGAAAATTAGTCGAATAAATTGAATCGGTGTCGAAATTAATTGCGTCTTCGGCAACCGTTCTTTTTTTTTTCATCGCTCCGAATACCAACGAAACCGCCCAAAGTAGCTTTACCGTCCACCCACGCTTCTTTAGAATGGAAAGCAATTCCAGAAACTGGAACACGTAATATTTCTTTTCTGGTGGCAGACACAGGAAGACGGCAGACGAAAAGGTTGAATGCTTTAAGGAACCATAACTTCGTACGACTTCACTTTTTTTTCCCTGCAACGATGCACTTGCGAGATGCAATTGCATCTCCTTTTCAAATGGGAACCACATATTTCTATTTACATAAATCTATTCTTCTCGTCATCCTCCGTATGAAAGTACCGAGGTACTGACATTGAGAGGAGAATACTTCGCCGGGACAGTTTTTTTTAATGAAACATGCGGCCCACTCTTGTTACGGCTGTTTCACGTCCAAAACTTCGTAATACGACGGGCGTGTCGCCTACTGTAATTATCACGAATACGCGGAAATGTAGGTAACGAATTATTTCCTCGTAATTTCTGTACATTTCAGGGCTGATAAATTCTTTTACACCCGGAGAAAAAAAAATACATTCCCGCGGTATGACGTTACAGACGAGGTGCCATCTTGAATGACCAGCGAATAAACAGAGCGAGTCTCTCGTTCCGAATCGTACAAATTTACGTTGTAAACTTTGTAAATTGCGCCATTTTATAAATCGACATCGACCCGATGGAAACTCAGAAATTTCAGAACGCAATGTTACCGATAATATACATTGCATTTTCTTCGATCGAAAAGTATTCGGTAATTTAATGTTATAAATGACGACACGTATATAGGTATACCGATTGCAAAGCGAAAGGAATCAAAATTAGCGACATCCTGAAAAATTTCGCCAACAATTTAACGATCCTTCCGACAGTTCTTCATAGAATAACGGGACCATTAACACGGCGCACTTTCGTAAATTAACTGCGAATTTTTCCAAGCTTCAACGCCAGAGGCAAGGCAAACGTAACAAGAGATAAAGCCGTTCCGTAATTATGTTTCTCTTAAACACACGGGCCAAAAAACGGGGTGAAAAAAGAAAGAAAAAGAAAAAGGATTCGTATCAAAATGAATTTCTACCTCGAGTCTTGAACTGTACGCCGTTCCACGGCCGAATAATAATTTAACTCGGACATCTTCGCCAGCTTTTCTCTCTATTTCTAAAGTAATTTTGTTTTAAATTCGTACGGCGCGAAACCGGCCAACGGGAACGATACGAGAATTGCGAAACTGATTGTAAATGAAATCGTGTGCAATTTGTTCGTTTAAACCGAAACTATGTAAACTAAGAGAAAATCTTTTTCGCTTAACGATCAAATAATCCTTATACATCAAAGGATTAAAGAGAATTTCTTGCGCTCTTTCTTCCCGAGTTTTAGATATTAACTCTAATACTACGCGGTTGTAACACGCGACAAAACCAAAAGTTGCACCTTTTCCCGCCGGCAAAGTCGATGAAGAGGCGCGAAACGGCAGCGGATGTTTCGTGGCTCCGTAATTATGTATAAAATGCAACCGCTTTGTAATTAACATTCTTCGCTGCCAACCGCCGTTCCATACGTGTAAGCGTGCGTGTATGTGTGTGCACGTGCGCGGACAATACGCGGCTTTGTTTTTTCTTTCTTCGATATTTTCTCGAGCGATCAGACTCCCATTTTTCGACCACGGTGAAAGGAAAACGTGTACGTACATACGTAAGTACGGTCGCATAACTTCTTTTTAATAGTGCTCGAGACCTCGACGGGAATATCAACGACAAGAAATGTTGCGCGCGGACTTTCGTTTCCGCGATACCCCGTGTCTCGTTTGTACTCGTACATAACCCGCGAAATATCCAAAGAAGCGCGAAGATAACGTGTTTCGTTTAAAATATAAACGCAGAGAGGAATCCGTACGACGACAATCCCGAAATTAAACGCTCCCTATTACGTATGCATAACATCCATAATGAAGTATTTCATCATTCATTTATTTAGAGTGCGTAACTTATTCTACAAAGTTATTGCACTTCTACTTACTTATTACTAGTTTATTTTCATTGTTTTTATTATCGTCTTACACGACACCTGCATTGTTTTAATACTGTTTGCAGTATCTCTTAATTCTCATCTATTGGGCCCCCGTCTAGCTCATTTAGTATTTCATCGAACTCGAAGATGCGTTTAAATTCGAAAATTGCTATCGGTCGATTTCGATCGCGATCTATTTCGTCTCGCGAGTCGAGTGCTTGGTACCGTTACGAGCTAAACTATCCACGATTACCGCTATGTTAATTACTCTAAACACAGTGATACGAAAGAGCAGGAAGTCTGGCAATTTCTTCCTCGATTTAATATCTATCATCGCTCGTAATTTATCGATGATAGAGCGCCATAAATATGCTTCCGAGGAAGAAAAAGAATTATCTTAACAAATGCGAGCAAATCTGGTATGTAATTATTTTGCGCGAAATAGAAAATTGCTATTTTACGATAGTTTATTAAACGTTACATTAAGGGGAGAAATGTATATACTCTTTGATCCGATAGATCAGCGATCTATACGCTTTCAACGTATATACTGGCAAGATACTCACCGTTCATTAACTCTGTTTCCCAAAGAACACCGAAGGATTCCACGATATCTGGTTCCCCGTTTCACGGACGACCATTTTCGCGCTTCGTCGCAACCATGATTAACGCGGAGTCTGAGTTTGATCAGAAATCGTGGATGTCTGCGTTAACTCGTCGTCCCGAGGAGCCGGGGGAATTGCAAGAATCGTGGAACGAGCCGTCGAAAAAAAGAAGAAACGAAGTCAAAATCTCATTTCTGAATTGCATACGTCTCTGCGCAGCCAGGGAACTTCGAACGGGAATTCGTTCTCTCCCCTGAGCGAAGATGCGCGACGCCATTTCCCTCCGGACCTTCGGGGAGGGGAAAAAAAAAATTGGTAGAATTCGTTAAGCATATTACGACTCTGAAACTCGATTAAAACCATCGCGTTCGACGCTCGAGCTGCGAACGAAACTTTTCCTACGGACTTTTCCTAACCCTCGGACAACTACGCGATTACTATTTTATGCAATAGCCGCGGATGGAATTAGGGTTTGCCCTATCTGGATCGCGAGGAAAGACTACTATGCGGAGACGAGAAGTTCGCAAGCTGGTCTGATTGGTGACGGCGTAATCTCCTTAGTTATACTATAGAATGCTATATCTACTGCGCGAACTACTTCCCAAATATTTGATTAAGGAGGCTCGACACTGTAGAGTCTACAGTTCCGCTGTAAGTCAAAATAGAGTTACTATTGTCGCTTGATTCACGTAGTAGTACATCTGGCATAGTATTTAAAATATTACAATTGTTCGTAATTTTATATCAAAATAAAAAAAAATTACGTTAAACATTGATTTTTAGTCGTTATTATATCTATTATATTTATATTGTATCAAGTAATATAAATCAATTATTTACAGACAAACTACAGTACTGTTTACTACGCATTATCGTAGTATTCTTTAATTTATTATTAATACTACAAGTACCCGCGGAGTATTTCGTAAATCAATACATGTTCTTTAGATATTTTTCTATTACGCATACAATTTTCGATCCGATCTCGATGTCAATTACTTCGCAGCACGTAATTGAGTGTGTTGAAAACACATTTTCCCATAAGAGCCCACGTTCAAAAGTAAACAATTGAAACATTTATTTCGTAGCTTTTAGGTACCCTAGCCTTCCCAAAATTTCTGTGGGTGTTTTCGGGATGAAATCTAGCCCGTATACAAATTTTTATAATATTCTTGGCGTTATATCTATTTGCACTAGAGCCTGATTCGACTTTATCGAAAAGAAAAACCCTGAAACGATTGAATATTCCCCAGCCAAGGAACACGCCGAATAGAACGCGACGAATCGCGTGGACGTGTTATTTGTTTCCGACCGACTGAATTTCCCTGGTATCGATAACGCGTGTCGTGCGATAATCAACGAAATAGGTCGTCGTATAATATATGCAAACAACGGTGAAAAAATACAATGGTGAAAAAAAGCACGAGAAATCCGGACCACGTTTGCTTTGGATAGGATCACGGTTCCATTTACCGAGCGATTGGTTAGCTGAACGATTGGACGATGATTTCGCGCGATTCTCCGACGATCCAATTCCCCGTTGTATTTTCTTTATTATGTTTCGATTGCGTAGATGAAATCGACCGGTTTTAGCGTTAGTAAACGTCTCGATCGAAAATCGAGGTTCCCTTCGGTTTAATTAGTTACATAGACGCGGTTGTTTCTCAAGAGACAGAGTAATCCCCCCCCACTACCCTTCTGCTGTTAGTATAATGTACCGAGTACGTCGCGCGTGGCATCTGCTACCTGCTACTGGTACCCTGTCATGATGGCCTTCGTAGAATTAAGTTCTGCGACGGCGCAGATGCCTCGCTGCGACGCGTGGAGGGGATAACAGGTGCGTAAGGGGCCCCTACGCTAGATAACCTTTTGATTATATTAGGTGTAGAAATTACTTGCGTGCCTTTAATGGTAAACTTCATTGTAAACAGAAATCATACAATTGTTTATTTTGTTTGTTTATGTTGGGTTACGATACTACGAAGGTCGGTACTTAACATTGATTTCCACACCTGATAATTATCAAGTATACGCGTAGCCTGTTAGAACAACGACAATAAGAAAAATATGTTCGCTACTAAACTTCGTATATACGGATAAAATGTAACGGCCATCAGATCGAGACTTGTATCTATATAGATGTATCGTAACGGAAATCTGGTTGAGAAAAGTTGTAATACGATATAACATATATTTTTAAACTGCAGTTACAATTTGTACAGTTGCAATTTGATTTGAAATTTCGCGGTACGCATGCTGACGATTATATCGAGAATTGAAAATTACTGCCAACATCGGGCACTTACCTTTTACGAGGGTCGTCGCGGAAAAAACGGCGAGAAACAGGATCAGCCTCATCGTGGATGGTTTCGTTCCGTAGTCCTTCGTGGTCAGCTCGATAGTCCGCTACAGGAACATAGATGAACACTCCGTACACGATAGAACGTATGTAAACACTAGGGGTCACTTGCATACAACCGAACGTATTTTCGTTCGCAAGAGAGAACAAAAAATAACTGCTATCGCTTGACAGTCCGCAGAGCTCTCTATACGTAACGTGTCACTTATAGGCATTAAAAAGTGTCCAACAGCGAAAACCAGATTTCAACGGAAATCGATTTCACGTTTTAACCGTTAACCTTTATCGTCGCCATTGAAGAAGTACTTTCCACAAAGTACATACCCACTTCGAACGTTTCACCAGTGATTTCACTCGAAATGCTCTTAGCCACTCCGCTCTCGAGCATTCATCGCAAAAGTGTAACAAGCCCCGCCGCGAGGGATCGTCGTCCACGAGTATCTTTCGTTAAAACTCGATCCACGGTCTTTTCCACGGCACACGTTCCTCCGATAATCCTCGCGTTTCTCGCTATCGACTACACCGATAGAATCACAGCGTTGCGATTATTCGTACGTTCGATCGGCAACCTCGATCGAGATACCGTCTTGACTCGCGCTGAAAAACCGAAACGATAAATCAAACAAAGTTCCACGGAAACAAAATTACGACGTTACACGTACGGATAACCGATTCACTCGTTCATCGCGAAATGTTTCATTCCATTTATTCAAACCATTATTCCTGTTCCACTTATTTAGAGACTTGTCATCCGAAATTTCTATCTAGAGAGTTTCTCCCATCTTTCGCGTCCAAAGAAAACCGCGGGGTTTGGAGGGTTCCGTTGGTATATTCGCGCACTTCGATAACTCGCGTCTCTACGTAGCGATTTACTCGACGCGAAATATAATTGTCATTTTATACTTCGATTATACGAATTATTTATTCAAACGTGAATTTTATCCAACTCCGCCGGTGCATCGCGTTTTTCCCGGCACGCTTTTCAGTTGGTGCTGACGCACGACGTACTCTTATCCAAACGCGAGATGTGATTCAAGACACAGGTTCGCGATCGACGCGTTCGACGGATCTATCCAACGCGTGGATGTTAGGCCTGACACTGTATCCGCGAGTCCGGTTGTAACAGGTGAGAGACTGTCAAAGAACTCGATATCACTGCTCTTCGACTCGTTCGCTATCCAAAGCAGGCGATCTCACTCGATGTCCACAACAGATTATCACGTCGATTTTATCTCGCGTTCACTGTCGTTCGTTTCTGAACGCCGACTATCATCCCTCTTCTTCGCCGGTTTTCCCATGCGCGCTCCAAATTCTTCTCCTCGCTCCGTTTTCACCGATGTCAATTTTCCAACGACCGCGCAGTCGTTTGCCATGCGTGCCTTTTCACTGGTATCCTGACAGAGGCAGCGTGCGATTCGCGTATCACTTGTAATTCGAAAGAGACTGTTACGAACACGTACCCGTCACTGGATCGCGCGACGAAGAAATAAAATTCGCATGTACCGCCGCACACCTACGCGGGAGTGTGAACACTGTGGAATTGCTCGGAAGGGAAGGAGGCCTATGCCCCCGCAGAGATCCACGGAGATTGCCGAGGGGAGCCGAAGTGGCACGAGCCGTACGGACGACCAGCATCCGACTGCACCTCCCAACCCCTACGGATGGTGAGCGCACTGCGCACGCAAAGCACTTGACACGATGAGAATGAGAAGAACAACGCAGTTGCGGAAAATCAACGGAAAACCTCGTGAAAATTAGGCGTGCTCGATTCTACACAGAAAAAATAATCACAGAAATTAATACTCCGTCTTTAAAACATAAATTATATTTATTCCACATTTCGTTACGTTAAATTACCAGCCTCCAAGTTGTCTCAGCCTCATCTCCGTGATAACGAAGCTGTACGTGTATTTAGGCGTAGAAATTCGTTCTGTACCTTTACAGTGAAAAATAATAGATAAACGTAATCTGTTATTAAAAAGTAATAATGTTGGGCCATTTGATAGCTAATCTACCGTAAACGATTCGCCAGCGTGCCAGCGTGTTTAAAATATATCATGTTTTATAAGTACACATTATACATGAATGATTTACGGTAAATTACCTACAAAATTTTCCAATACTTTTAATTTATTCGTAAAAGAATACGCACCATTTGTCGCTTCCATTATTTTTGAAAATTAAAACCAAATATTTAATACACTATAATTAATCGTATTATAATTCTTTCCGTACAGAATATACATGGTCCCAATCCCAATCGCGCCTTAGGGGTTACGCGTCGAACATGGACATTCGTCGTTTTTTCATACTTGACGCACTTGGCAATCCAGTGTGCGTTACAGTTTGGAGAGTACAAGCCCTCGCATAATTATCTGTGATAAACGTTGCATCGTTATACGAAATTATGTATATAATGCATGCAGAATATTTCCATTCCATAAGGTTCGAAGTATTTCAGAAATGATGATCTTCAGGCAGAAGAGATTAAATAATACACTATATCAACTATAGACTGACGAAAATTCTCGAAAATTCTCATTTTTTTTTTTCTTCTAAATTTTGGCATACCAGACGCAGAACTCGACGAGCATTGATTTCGCATATCTTTTGTTTTATGATAGCATGGAGAGAGAGAGAGAGAGAGTGTCTGGTCTTTGTCGGGAAATTTGAGACTCGGTCTAATGCATCATCGGTACGTACAAGTCAATAAATGTGAAATCGATGAGCACACAACGTCGGTCAAAGTCGATGTCGGTGGAATAGTGTCGATAAAAACATCGTTGGTGACTTTGATGTAAGCTACGAAGAGGTGGGGGAGGGAGGGTGTATAAGGGGAGTGGGGGGGGGGGGACGGTTGCAGCGAACGCCAAGGTAGGAGACAAGAGATATCAGGGCGCTGTAGTCAAACGACGTGGGTGTGGATAACGCCTCGATGACCTTGGCAGGCCAATTGGTTCCGTCTCGACTACAGTGGCAGATACTGATACGTTAACAGTCGTACCGCTCTTAATACGAGGCAAGTTTTCGCTCTGGTTATCGTTTCCAAACGTACCTAAAATATATTCAATGTTAAACAAACTTTACATAAATTCTTTTCTATAAAAAAAGAAAATTGAACGAAACTTTCCTCTGTAGTTAAAAGTTTACGGTTAAGAAAAAAATCGATACATTCCAGACTAATAACAGAGAAGTTCTACACCAACGTTGGCAAATTTGTTATAATACGTACAAACACAATACAATACAATCTTATGTGTATATGTACGAGCTGAAAGCCACTGTGACGTGGTGACATAGCACGCGTGCTAGTAAATGGAGTATTAGCCTTGGAGACGCATAAATTTCAGCTTCCCACATTGTCTTACCTCTTTGTTTGGAATACAAGGAGCCCGTACACTCGGTTGGAAGAAACATAGCGAGGCTATGCTTGCTGTGCATACAGTTAGGGAGAAAAACGATAGCGCACTTGAATGTCGAGAGTCAAGTCCCCCGGGGACGATTTCTGTATACTTTCTGGACACTATGGTAAACGTAAATTCAACTGTCTGCTCAAGGCCACCTGTTCAACCGTGAATGACATCACGGACTACCAAACTACCTAAAGCTATTTATCTTTTTCTTGTCACTCTTTATATTTATCTTTTTCCCCGCAACCGTACCCATAACCTCTATTTTTCGTAACGCGTTCCCAATGATGCCACGCGAGAATCACATGTTTCGATAAATTGTGTCGCGTAAATGTGCTTCGCGATCTTACCGCGCTTATACTTCGACGTAAAGACGATAAAAGTAAAGTGACCGGTAGATCGATGGCATTTGTAAAAGAAATCGATTCGATGGTATTTTAGGACGACTCCGGCAGATGTCGCCACAAGCTAGAATAGGTGCATTCAGCAGAGACAACTGTTGAACGATTCTCTTGGATTCTCTGCTTTGATTAGTCTATTCGAAACGATGAATCCAAGAGAATCATTAGATAGTTTCTCATTATTGAATGATTAATTCTCTGAATTAATTGACTGAATAATTCTCATGCTGAATGCACCCAATACGGCATGGTTAATCTTTCGGTATTCTTCAGTGGGCAGTTGAATTTCCGTACATTGGACCGTTTCAATCCCTTCGTGCCGGAACCTATACGGAACAAACACTTTTTTTCTTTCTAATGCACCGATACAATCCTTTTTTACTATAATTTTTATTAAAAGTCGCATCGAATATAGTTACAAATGGTGCGTTACCTTTAAAGAATAATCCCTCCCTCTTCCCCCCCCCCACCCCAAAAAAAACGATATTGTGAGCACGAAGGGGTTAACGCATAGAGCTCCTATATCATACATATGCATGACGTTAAGATTTCCATTACTGCAGCGTTATTTTTAAAGTCTACGTCACCTTGACGGCGACAAAATGGAGGCTGGGTATATTTACGAATTTTTTTTATAAAAATACCGTAGACTCGATCGCAATTAATTTTGTATTATGAATAAAACATACGATAAGCTTCAAAATGAAATTTTTTTTATGTATACATTATACGTGAACAAACATAATGGCGGTATTCTGGCGTCAGTGATTTCGGCTCCAACATTGTTTGAACGCTCAAACACCGAATAATATTATTATTATTATTATTATTCTTTAACGTAATCCTTTATCGTATAACGTACGGAATTTTTTGAAATTCAAATGCTCGCAAAGCTCTCGGACAAATAAATAAATGATATTTACTAACACTATATAATACAAATAACGTGATACAAAATAGAAAGTCACAAAAAAATGCAAGTAACGTGTTTGCATAATTTTCTTGAGCTAAAGTTCAGAAACAGGGGCGTTTATTAAATGAGATAAGTGGTATATTTAAAATGTTACAAGAAAAATATACTCCTACAGTTGTTAAACTCCGATGATGAATGTATTAATAAGAAGAGACGTTTAAATAATTCACATTTTTTCTACACGAACAATTTTCTCTCGCATCCCCCCCTCCCCTTCCCTCCCGTGAATTGTCAGGCGCACCCCTACGGATCGCGCACTCCTACTTTGGAAAACACTGCTGCGACGAGTGTCAAAAAACTTATTTGACGGTTTGTACCCTCGAAAATGTCGAGTCTCCTTCGAGTAGTTCACCGATTATACTCTTTTTACTTAGGATACCTGCAAATTTGCGCGAAGTGACAACAGATGGAGCGGTAAAGTAGTAAAACAGTGTGGTGGGAGTAATCCCCTCGATGACCTCGAGTGACCAATCGAGTTTATTCCTACTACGGCATCCACGCGTTGACGTTTGGCTGAAGAACACTCGTCCTTCCAATTCGATAGTTACTGAACGTACTCTCTTATCCTATAGTTATACCGAGCATTTACGCAGTCTTACAAGGCACATCTTTCGTTTCTTTTTTTTTTCCGCGATGAATACATCTGATAAAAGGCCGCAGTTCTGAGGCGTAGGCACGGTGCATACGAAATAAGAGGAAATCAATTCCATTTCATAGTAGAAGTTACTTTGGTAATGACTAGGTCATGCACTATCGCTACGCAACAATATACCACGTCTTCGCTATATCGTGCGATTGGCTTCACCTTCTTTTAACAGTATCGAAGGGAACTAGCGCTTCATTATTATGGCTGTTTACGTACTGCTCGCGCATATACGCACGTTTAGGACTCTGTGCGATCGAACTACCGAAGAACGAAGCAAATAGGTGCTCTCGAATCTGGTCTTCCTTATTTTCTTTTTTTTTTTTTTTGCGATCAGTATCTGTTTTCAATCTGTATTCCAGTTTACTTTACACGCGGTTTAACGCTCGCATTCGACGTACAAATTGTTCTTCTTCGAGATACCCTCGAGAACAGCCTGTAAAGTTTTGAATGAAAACGGAACTAGACTGATAAGGCAATTCGCGTCGTATCGATATTTAACACGTTCCGTGTGAAAATGTAATTTTACATACGTTGGAAAATACAGTGGTTCTTAACCTTTCTAAGCTCACGGCACAGTTTAATAGATCATGAAACTAGATCCCATATAATTCGACAAAACATTCTAGTATGCTAGTCTCTAGTGTAATATACTACTGTTTATCTGGATTTATTCTACTTTAATGACCGATGCGCTGTGGCACGATTGTTAAGAATCACCGATTTAATAAATGTTTCCGTCTTTAGTCCGGAGGAACATCCCTTGAAAGAATCCAATAGACTGGAAAAATCCGTTGTAAGCGTTGGAAATCAAAACTGAATGCGATAATTACTGGGGCGCGGTATTGATCTCGCCTTGGAAGGTGGCAACGACGAAGTGGACGCCTCGCTGCTGGCGGTGCCACCAGAATCGCGTCCTCCGCTCTTGCTGCTCACCGTGCTACCGGTACTCTGTCCTCGTGAACCAGTCTGCTTCCTCAGAGTACCTTCGCTGAGACGACCGTACTCCCCGATACGACGAGACGGCGGCGGTATCAACGAGCGGCTCTGCGTTTCCCTGTGCTTCACCTCCGAGATGGATGGCTGCTTCTTGCGAAGATTCTCGCCCTGGAGACGCTCGTACTCGTGACCGAGCGTGGAGGACGGTTTCTTCGATGAATTGACAGGAACCAGTGGCTCCGTGCCGGACGATTTCTTTCTGCGCTGGGCCTTTGTGTCGAATCTACCGTACTCGATCGTGCAATTGCTCGCGTCCCGTACTACCTTCATGCTCGCTGAAGAATCCAGAGCCGGGCCTGGATCCGACTTCTTGCGAGTCTCCGTGTCGCTTAATCGACAATAACGCGAATTGGTCGATTTCAAACTCTTCGGTGGCCGTGGTAGAGAGCTGGGAGGAAGGCTGCCGGCACGTCGTGTCTCGCCCTCCTGCATTCTTTGTCTTTGCGAGCTTCTGCCTTGTTTCTCCAGCAGCATCATGTCTTCAGGCTTGCCATCCGACAATCTCGAAACAGTGCCTTTCAGCCTCGAGGCCGCGCTCGCAAATTCCATTATACCTGGCGAGACCTCGCCCCCGGAGTCGTCCAACAGACGACTCTTGCTCGAGGCGGTGCTCGAGGTACCTGTGCTATCTACACCCGCCAATAGTGGCTTGGGTATTTTTCCTTTTCGCGACGCAGTGCCTGGATTAGAGAATCCTGGAAAACAGCAAAGTGCCCGCTGAAACAAGAGAACAGAACGCCTGCGTTGGAGAGGAGATCCGGGACCTGGAACAGGGTTAGTGCTCGCCACAACAGCGCATGCACACTCTAGGATCACTCGGGATCAGGATGGGTTGGGTTAGTTTGGCTTAAGAGAGGAAGGTAAACGTTGAGTTCTTCGTCTAATCTACAGACGAGCCGAAGAGAGAATCGACTTGGTTAATGGGATATGACCCAACAATCAAGTATGGCTCCTCTCATACTGTTACTTTACCGATATTATTTACAATCGAAGAATTCTCCCTATCGATATACGAAATGGGAAGTCGATTCTCTCTTCGACCCAACTATGTGTTGCTACACACGATTCTTGCTTAGTTAATTGTAAAACGAAAAATCAATGGCACACAAAGATTTGTATTAGTGAAAAAAAAGTTTACTGCGTTTGTGAACAAAAATGAATGGTGGGTGCATTCTTTACATATTACCTACAAAAACTGTCTCCTAAATTTATACAAAATTCGCTTTTTATTAGCAACCATGATCATTTTATATATCATTGTCGCAGAAAATATAGTTTACGCTGACGTAAGTCTCGTAAGAATTTGTTTTAGTAGAAAAATCATGATGGTTTATTAAAAAAAAAAAACTTACTTTGTACACCGTTCATTGATAAAAGAAAATAAAACAATACAAAAATTGTTGAAAAATAAAGAATTAATAGGCACACATTGTTATGCAAATAATGGCAATCGTAAACACAATATAAGAATAGTTGATGCGCATCAAAAATATTCATCTTTTATATTCACTGAATTTATCGAATCGCTTGTTTGTTAAACTACTAATAATTAAAATTATGCTCATGTATTTTTCATTCTGGAAAATACTCGCTAATTATTGTATTTCTTACGCGTGAACTTTTTCTAACGCGTCGTCGATACAGCCTTATAATAGAATGCAATAAAAAAAAAAGAAGACACGCGCCAACTATTCTTTACCATACAATTAAATCAAACATAACATTTGAATACCTTTGACTACACAATCGGTAATATTTTCATATTCAGCTGTAGCTACGAAATAAATGCTAAAGAATTTAAAATACAAAATTCGCAAAATAAAAATATTATATCGAGCGCAGATAATACGTTATTTATTATCGAAATGGCAATAATAAATAAAATCATATTTACTATTTTCAACTGTTCTTTGCTCGGCTGCGATTTCAAAAAACCGATACCAACAACATGAAAATTATACGTTTACTTGTACTTTGCATACCTTACTAAGCAGCTGGGAGTCCAGCTCTTTTAACTGATCGTCGAGACTTTTATTTGTTTGCTCGAAACTTCCTTGTTTCCTGTACTTATAGCTTTCCGTGACACCGTACGAGCCAGTACTTCCATAGCCACTGCCCCCGCCCAGTACACTGCTCACTTTTAAACACGGAAAATTTAAGATTAGGAACTGCTTTAGCGGTCGCTATCAATTTAATATAAATGGCATACAAATAAATGAACGTATAGCAGAATCATACAAGCAATTTTTAATGGAAATACTTTTACCAAGTTCTGGTGTGCTCGTCAATGCAGTATGATGATCCGCAGACGTACTCGAATGAGATGAGTGAGCGGCAGGGTAGCTACCAACCCCGCTACTGCTACTGCTATCTTTATCGTACGTGTGTTTCTGGAGGACTCTGATCATTGCATCCCTTTCAGCTAGTTTCGACTCTAGATCTTTCATTCTGTTCAACGAAAGATTGATCGATATTAGGTCGATTTGCCGCGGAATAATTATAATTCGTAATCATTGTAATCGAACGAAGAAATAGTAAGGGATGGAGTACATTGGGGTAAAGTAAAAAAAAAAGGGGGGGACAGGTACAGAATATGCGAAATAAGAGAAATGTATTATATATTACCTAGATTCAAGATCGGCCAATTTCTTCTGTGCAGCGTGCACTTCGTCCATGTGTCTCATTTTTTCAGAACGTGCCTCCGCGATTAACTTCTCGGCGTCTTGACTCGTTTTTTCTAACGCGGCTATTTTAGCGTCCCTAATTATCAAAGACGCAAATATTACAAATAATTAATGTTTTCACTCAAGCGACGAAACTTACTTGGGGAGACTAGCTGCATCAATTGCAGCTTGTCTTAATGCACTTTCTTCGAGATAACGTTGCTCCCACTTCGTAACGTCACCCTCGAGCGACATAATTTTTTCGTCTCTTTCGCGTATGCGTCGTTTCAACTCAGCGATCGTTTCTCCATTGAAGGATTGTTCATGACCATTAACACCGCCGCCACCACCTTCCCTTAACTCTCGTTCTAATTGACCTCTCAACTGTCGCTCTGTTTCTTCTCTTCTATCGCTAGACGCTTGAAGAGAAGACAAAGCTCGCTGGAGTTGGCCTACTCTCTCTACGTACACTTGTTTCTTCCGGCTCTATCAAAAAATAAACGCGCTTGTAAGCAATTACTCTACGAATATCGCGCATCTTATCAAAAACTAAACAATTTACCTCTTCTTCGAGACGTACGACATTCCCTTGGGCGTTAGTGAGAGCAGTATCTAAAATATCTATATGTGTACGCTGTTCCTGCAACGTTGCTCGTTGCGCTGCCAATTCAATTTCTTGTCTTTCTTTTGCTGCAGCTAATTCTTTATCTAAAGTAAACATTAATAATTACAAACTAATAAAATATAATGTACATTAAATATCTAACGAGTTGTAAAGCATACTTTGTGTGATCAATTGTCCAATTAATAATTCGCGTTGAGTTAACTCCTTTCTCATAGATTCCACAATCGGCGGACTATCGGTGCGTGCGGACAGTAAGTCTATTTGATCTCTCAATGCACGATTTAATTCGGTTAACCGTCTGCAGTCGTTTTGTAGCCTTAATCTTGCAGCTCGTTCAAGCTTTTCCCTCCGTTCGCACGATGCTGCTAATTCTTCGTGCGCCCTGTGCACTTTCGCAATTTCTTGTTCCAATTTTTGAGACTTCGCGACTTTGTTGTAACATCGTTCCAACTCTAGTTTTAAGGCACTGTTTTCTTGAATAACAATCTGAATCATTTCCGACGGCGGCCATATTTCAGCTGCCGCGGATTCCGTCTCTTCTCTCCCTTTCGTTTGAGGGCTATTTAAATGTATACAATAAAATAGTATCGATTCTAAACGCTTGTTAAAAGTTACACAATTTTATTAACAACTTTTGTTATATTACCGTGGAGAAGTAGTTCGCAAGTTGTAATTATCAATGTCTGGCTTGCCAATTCTAGACAAATCGGGCTGCGATCTTGATAACGTCAACTTTTCCATTGGCCCAACAAGTCGCGATTTATTTTTCAGTGGTAGTAAAACGGACATGTACGAAGGTGGCGGTCTGTCTTCAGATTCGCTATCATTCTGTTTTCCTCTATCGCTGTCTCTCATTCTCACATCGATATTTCCTCCATTGTTCGCAAGTTTACTATACGATGGTACCTTGACTTCTTTTGCAAGATGTTTTAAAACCTGCTTGGTGTAATAATATGCAAATAGAAAATCAGTTTTATTTACTACTCTCGTTACGATAACTTACATTCTATGCGCATGTTTATTACATGTATTACGACGTCAATTAAATAATCACCTGCGATTGACTTAAATAATCATCTGGTATATCGGTAATTTCTTGACATCCTCCGTTACTAGGTTGCTCGTAAACATGATCTTCGTGAGACAGATTCGATAAAGACTGCATAGTAGGACTGTTCGAATGTCCTTTTCCGCCACCATCGCAATACAAGTAACCCATATCTCCATGCTCTCTTACAACACCTGACAACCTAGGAGTTAAGTAATTAATATCAAAATTATTTTTTTAGAAATTTATATTACCTTCCAGATGGTACCCATGAACTATCATCGTTAGCATTGTGTATGATGAGCGTGTTGTACGAGCTCGTAGACACGTCTAAACTACTCCTGTTCGAACCTACACTAGTACGATTACTTAAGTTATCCTTCAAACTATTTCTATTAGAACCATTAATGCTGTCTTTCAGACTATTTCGATTGGAGCCATTCAAATTCTCTTTCAGACTGTTTCTGTTCGATCCATTCAAACTGTCCTTCAAACTGTTTCTGTTGAGTAGGTTACCCTGGATTGCAATAAAGCAGTTTACACTTATGTAATACTTAATAATACTGATTGTAATTCGAGGTACGTAAGAATAACATAGCTAGGTAACTTGGCATTAGGCAACATCCACGCCTATTTCATGGACAATAGGATGCGCTATAAATTATAGTGTGATATGTAAAAAGTACTGCCACTTTAGAAAATTAAAAGAGATGCTAAATACCATGCAATTATTAAGACATACACTTAATGCTTTTATAATAATTGAAAGTATATAACATGTAGTTATATAAATAACCAGAAATAAATTCATTCCTATTTACTTGTATATTTGGTATATTTTCTTTGTGACTGGAAGATCTGGATGGACTTTGCTGCTGATTCTCTTGACCTTGGGGTTCTTGACGTGCAGTATGTCTTATTACATATCGATCTTCATTGGATAGATTCTCATTTGATGTTGAAACATCGGTTTCACTACCACTTAAGCTTTGCGGAAGACCACCTATCAAATACATACATGTGTCAAGAAAAATGTTAGCTATACATAATCATTTGCTGCATATGTCAATTTTGATTTTCATATTCCTCTACCTTGCATCGATAATTGCTTCCTCTGTATATTATTATTCGAAAAAGGCAAGAATCTGCTACCTTGTTGCAGAGAACTCATTTTCTTATTTTTTCATTTATGCCTTCTGTATTTTATCTGAAAATACAGTATTAAATTGCATGATTAACTTTTTCAACACTTTTTAATTATCTTGTCTTACAAGTATATATTATTCTTAATGTTTTCATATTTGAACATTAAGTACCTTACTTATACTCATATTGGCATTCACTGTTTAAGCAATAGCATTGCAAATACTTTTATTTCAAACATTACTTAGCTTACCAACATTAAGTGGTATTCAAGAATAAAACCCAAGAGAAAATTGTACAGACTCTGAGATCAAGAAAGAGACAGCACTCTGACATAGGTCTCAACACTCTGGTGTGTTGATAATCCAGAGATACCAAAGTTTTAGATTGCGTACTCTCGAGGACTATGTAAATATAGATCAGAATAATTTGATCAATCATACAGATACATTTAAGCAGTTTATTAAAGACATTTCAGGTATGTAAAATACTCCAAGATTCAGAGCCATGAGCTTTTTTTCTCATTTGTTAACTACTCCAATAAATCTATGTTACTTCTAACGTTTTCACGTTGGGATTAAAAATATCATTTTACTCGCATTCACGTTGGCGTGAATTTGTTTGTGAACAGTATCGTAAATACTTTTCTTTCAAACATTGTCCAGCTCGATTTTCAAAGGTGATATATGTCCGATTTAACTAGCTCTAACTTCAACCAATATTTCACTTCACCTCGAAACTCGTAGAGAAGACGAACGCGAGTAATTGATCACGGGTAATTGCTCGTGGATCATTCACTCTCACATTTCCGAGCACCAAAAACCACTGGGAACGTAAACCTACTCGTGCAATTCTTATTTGACACTACGCGGCATTCGGATATCAGAAACTGAGAGGGTATTATGCGGAGTGAACGATCGAGAAAGAGACGGTGATATTCTAGTAATGGTAAAGCAGAGCACTCTGACAGAGGTGTCAACACTCTGGAATGTTGATAATCCGGAGATATTGAATTTTTCGTGGATGTACAACATCACAGCGGGAAACTATACGAGGTGATCGTGAACCCGATCCGTCGGTGTATGCCCGTTACGAACCTGGGAACGCTGCATTTGCACGCAATCGTTGATATTTTTGCAGCTTTCTGAACTTGAAGGACTGCATAAATAAACAAAAGAATATCCTCGATACGTAGCCAAGGAGGATTTTCACATGCCGCCGTTATCGTAACGTAAACAGATGGCCGTACAAGATTGTTCTCTGATTACTCACATTGTGCGAAGGTGCAAAAACGGGATGAGTGTCGTAATTATTTCAATAAATTAGTACACTTTACTGCTCCACGCACGAGAAATAAAAATTACTAGTTCCCGCATTCCTCATCAGGGCGCGACGTATACGAAAACGGGATACACTCTTCCTGGCTCTTCGAAACTTTCCCAACTTTTTTCTTCGTCCGTAGATGATTCACTGCAAAGCAATGCACGAGGAATGTCATCTGTACGCTTCTTTTTTTTTTCTTTTTTTTCTTTATCTCGCGTTACGATCGTCATAAAGAGTCCTCCTTTTTCGTACAAATCGAACAAATGTTTTCACATTTTACTTTTCGGTAGGAATTTTATGTCGAGTTCATTGTTCTTACGACGATACGACTCGATCCTAAGTTTATTCGCTTGTTTCTGTAGGCTTTTGTTTCGGTACTTTGCGATTCTTACTTTCGAAATAAATGAAAATAAGCGTTACTATTAATAGAGAGGAGAGCATGTAATGCAAATTAATGTGTAACGATTCTCTTTGCTTTCATTCTAAAATATAAATTCTTATGTTGCGTTCATTGATATACTCTATCATTATTGTTAATAGAAATTGATACGAAGTGATATCGTTATCTCGCTTCTCGTATCATCGGAAAATGCGACTATACGATAGCGATGTAGGTGTTTAAAAGATTCGATGTAGTAATACGATAATACTTGTAAATTTAACACCCTGTTCGAAACATAGCTTAACTTATAGCGCTTTCACATGTAGTAATATGGTACTTAAATGTTGAACAGCGACCATTTACACACAATTCGTATTGCATAATTGTGTACGGACCAGAAATGTCCAGTGCTCGTGAACTGATTATGACTTACAGCAAAATAAAACAGTTTTGTAGACCTTTCGTTTCTTTCAGATCATTTCGCTACGATCCATATATCATACAAAAAAACTTCTTGTATGATAAATTGTTAAAAATTACTTCGCATACAGTATTTCCTGTACACGGTAATCGTCCAAGTGTTAATCATTTCAGTTGTTTTGACATACCTGTACTTTATAAACAAAAAAATGAAATAGTAATAATATATTATTATCATCACATGTTATTTAATAATTACACTATGGATTTTTAGATCGATCAACCTTGTGCTTCTCAACTTCAACATATTTTAAAAGTGATTCTAATACCATGTGCGAGGGTGATACGAAGGAACTTAGTGTTTATTATAAAGACATTTTAAAGGCTCAGAATGACGATGATGTACTAATTATCGATGTCAGAGAACAAAGCGAAATTGACGAAACTGGAAAATTACCAGGAAGTATTCATATACCGAGTACGAGTATTTTATTTTGAAATTATTATTAGAATATAACTGTACTATTCGATTAAAAATTAAATTGTGTTATTACAGTGGGAGATGTTTCAAATGCGTTGCTAAATCTTTCCGAAAAAGACTTTAAGGAAAGATTCAATAAAGAAAAACCATCAAAAGATACAAGGGTCATATTGAGTTGCAGATCTGGTAAAAGAAGTGGAATGATACAGGAAGAAATGCAAAGACTTGGATATCACAAGTACTTGAATTTCCTCAAATCTGCATGCCTCTTAATAGATTATTTAGATATGCTTTACAATATCTCTAATCAAACATCGTTATTTATGTTTCAGTGTATACAATTATGTCGGAGGATGGTTAGATTGGGAGAGTAATCAAAAGGTATAGATTTTTATATTAGATTTGTATATAATAATCGTTTCTTATGTATCTAGGCATATTTACTAATAAATTGTTTTAAATTGTTCAAAATGAACATCGGTTGTATTAATATTATTCAATGGTAAGTATACAGCAAATTGTATAATTATAATATCAAGTAAACAGTATTAGATTACCAGATAACGAAAAACATATATACATATATCGCAATTAACGTTCATTGGTAATGAAATTAATCGCTCGTGATTTTAATCGAAATCTTTATGTACAATATCATATTTGATGAAAATGGTAGCTTATCATTTCGTATAAAACAATTACGTCATTTATTCTTTTGTTCCTGAGCTAACTTCTGATTAACCATTTCTCTGAACTGCCCCAGAATAAGATTCTCTCGTTTCTGCCGTTCTTCTTTACTAAACATAGCCAATGCTCGTTTCTCGTCGGCGGAATAAATTTGATTCTCCTTACGAATACGGACGGCTTCCATTCGTCGATGTCTGTATAAAGCAAAAAATAAATATAGTTTAATGATATATGCGATAAATATGTTAAATACTTTCAATCATATAATAGGCCGTATAATACATTACCTGCTACCACTCATAACATAGCCAACAGATTCATACGAAGCAATTTCTTCGGATGTCAAACCAATTTCACCCCTTCTAGGTATACGTTTACCTTCTGCTACATATGCAGCCATAGCAGCACCTTCTCCTGGCAAAAGTGCTTTACCAAAGTCTTTAGCTGATAATGTGACATGTGGTTTCTGAACTGGTCCTAGTATACTTTCATCACCACTGTCATCTGAACTAGATCCTTTCTTATCTTTTACTTTATCGTTAGATCCATTCTTTTCTACCCATTCTAATTCTTCGGAATCACTATCAGAACTACTGTCTGATTTTTTCTTCTTCTTCTTACGCTTTTTCTTTTTCTCCTTCTTGGATTTTTTCTCTTTCTTCATCTTTTTACTTTTCTAAAAAAGAAACAGCTACAGACTTAACAAAACGAGGAAACCATAGAATGGTGAAAATTGTTTCTCTACAAATTTATGAAGCTTTTGTACCTTCTTCTTCATTTCGTGTTTCCTTTTTCTATCTTTTAGTATGATGCTGTCCTTGTATTTGTGAAGCTCCTCATCTTCATCAGAACTGCAACAACAATATGAACATTCTACTGACAAAGATAATTATAATATATTTAAAACCATTGACATTAATGTTAGATGCAATAATTTAGATTGCGAAAATATGGGAACTAAGAAAAAACACTGTAATTTCTTACTCTTCGATCCGTGTTGGCGATTTGCCCCAAATTCTGTCAACACCACATAACCCAATTTGTTCCCTATCTCTTCTTCGTGCGTCCATTGCAACTTCTTCCTCCTGTTTACATGTACATTTACGTCAAATTTGAAAGTGAACTATAGTATAACTATATATATAAATTTTGTACTAGGGGTGCCATCGGTGGGAAAACGTCCAAGTTTGTAGCGAAAGTAGTTTGTATTACTTTTGTACGATGGCACCACCGTCACTTTTGAATCAATTATTCTTTATTTTTCATAAATACATAATTAATACGATTCTTTGCTTTATAACATTACAATATATTATATTAATATATTATTTAAACATTTAGCTGCTTATACATATGTAAATGCAGCAATAATTACAAATCGTTTATTTGATAACTCCATCTAACAATAATTATGGGAACTATTTTCACTACAAACTTGGCCATTTTCCCACGGATGGCGCCACCAACAATCACCGACTTGTGTCGATACATAACCATAAGGTGGTAAAAAATACTGAAAATGGCGCCATTTAGCAGTGAAAAAAGAAACTATCGAGGACAAACTTGGGCGTCTTCCCGATAGAGGCGCTGACCATACTCCGAAATTAGTTCGGCCTCTCCAAGGCTAGATGGCGACGACAATAATAGTTGGTGGCGTCATCTAGGTACGTATGATGCAAATTCATTCTATAGATGTCCTTATCGCACACTGTTGAGTTCTCTCTCACACTATGCGATTCCAAACATAACTACTCCAAAGTTATACGTATGTTATAATAGTAAAAGGAAACGTATGATATGAAGAGATATATAATAATTTATATGATGTTTCGCTTTTGAATAGGTTTACACAAATGTTACAAAATACAAAGAATATATGAAAAGTCTAACTGAGTTTTGATAAAGGCAGGCTCGGCTTGCAAATGATATCAACTGAGTATGTATAATATTAGACTAAAGTATAATAAAAAACCTAACATCCCAGTCCTGAGAATGAGTGTGAACAAATAAAAATGAATGGTGCATATTAAACAAAAGGAAAAATATTGTTTTTTAAATGTAAATAATTTAATGAAGAAATAAAATAGAGACCAAGTAAGAAGGATGAAAGTTTAAAATAAAATGTAAAGAATGATAAAGAATTGGATGGATGAGAACAAGAAAATCATATAAGTTGTAAGAAATGTTGAAAATAGTGCATCACACAGTAGTGTAATAAGGATGTAAACTTTCCTTTAACACTTTAAATAAAAACGCAATCAACGCAAAGATAACTAGTACATTGACTACCGCAAGCGACGAGAAGGGAGGAAAAAATGGGTACACAAAAGTGGAAATAATTTCAAGACTTTTTATTGGTCTGTTTTATGAAACACTCTGTAGAAAAGGAATTCAAAGCGAATTCCAATAATGTAGTATCAAAATGTGTTTTAATAAATATCAATAAAAAATACATTACACAAAATATCTACAATGATTACAAAGATCAATATAAAATTACATGTCTTTGGATGGCATCGCCATCCAAGACTAAATGTACAAGTAGCAACTGTCGTCGTCTCTAATCGCATTGTTAGTAATATCTATTGTAATTAATAAATATTATAATTATACTCTCCTCGTCGAGTCCTCGATACAAAAATATCCATAACATTTTCATATTATTTCGACCTAAACATCATGCATTTCCGAATAACATAAAGGATACGTATATCACTAACATACCGTTAAAGAAAAATGATCGTGACTACATTAATATCGAATAATTCATTGGAATTGAAGGAAATGTCTCGTAAACAAGATTCGATATTTAAATACTTGCATAGTAACGGAGATATGACAAGGCACTCTTAACAAGTCCATCCTTTCTTTCTTTCTTTCTTTCTTTCTCGTAAAATTCATGTTCAAAGTTAAGTCTCGAAAGGTACGTATACATAATACTTCCTCCATCAACCTTTGTCGGTGCTATAATATATAAGAGAGGAATCAAATTTGTTCCAAACTTTATGATGAAAAATAAGTTCGTCTCCTCTTACACTGTAAACTATATAGTACAATAAAAGCAACAACAATTTCATTTCACGATCATTTGTTTCACGATAAAATTAAGACAAAAATATAAAGGTTAACAAATAATATCATAAAGTTCAGATCAAATGTAAATTTCACGATTGCGTCCTTATAATTACATTACATTAATACTTTCTTGTATTGTCCAGAAACATCGTATAAATACAATGAAAGAATTATTAACGTCATTACGGAATAAACTATTGTAATCGTTGGAATATGAGAGCACCATCGATTTGTGCTGCAATTTTTACAAGAGATTTTCATCACCGGTACTTGTAAAAATTGTAGCGGTGAATATTCAAACAGAGAAGATATTGGGTAATTACAAAATTCTACTGGTGGTATGAATCGTTTATACAAAAAAAATATATATATATATAATCAATATTCTTCGTTTAAAGTTATCGTAAAAAGGTACATTAAGATTTGGAATATAAGATACGCAAATTCAACTCGTTGAGCGTGTCTATAGTTGCGGCCAAGTCAACTGGATACTCTCAAGGCCACTGAAAAGTAAGGTCGATCAAGTTTCTTTAAACTAGGGCGTGGCCCAGTAAACGAAAATCTTCGGTAAATATCGCTTCGAGACTTTTGGAATTACCCAATGCCTTCCATATCTCAATTAAAATGTTTACCTATGTTTTGCTTGTACCGCGATTCTGTGTAATAAATAATACACACGTGTGCAGAGTTATGGTCCGAAAGAAGTATGCAAAGGAAATTCATGGAAGTATTTTAGAACGGATAGCGTCTATGAAGAAAGTTAGCAGGCACCTCTGCTTAAATTTATCCAAACTTTCAGCAAGGAAGCTCAAGTTAGAAAAGCACTTTATCACTTACGTAAGTATAACGGTTTCTTCGCTCCTGTATCGTTGAACGTCACGAGTCTAAAATATCTCTAGCTTTCGTGAATGTGCATTTTACATACGTATACATAACTCCTCAGAAATTTTATTCGGATGTCGATATCATAGGCAACTGTATAGCGATTACATTACTGTTACGCGCTAATACTGTTTTGTATAAAATGTCAGCGTTTCTTATAAATAGATCGAATAAATTGTATAGTAAACGTTGCGTGTATATCGATCGAGTCGAAACGAAAAAGATTGTTTGCGAAAAAGAAAAAAAATGGATCCCCATATTTTGTACTAAAACACATAGCTAAACGTCCACAGCGAATTGTCGCTTCTTGTACATGACTGTAATTTAATAAAATATAAAAAAAAAAGTTTTTGAAAATTGCAACGCCATAGCATGTGCATGAATGGAGAATAAAATACAGTTACGATAATAAATCGAAAATTTTGAATTGGTAGTGTGCGCTGCATTATAGATCATTGGTATCGTCTTAGATCTTTTTCATAATACTATTACGAAAAGATGAAAATAATCGGTCGCACTTTCATTTACTTTGGAGATCCGTAAAAAAAAAAAATGGATCAGCCTATACCATATATTAAATAATTAACGATTCCTACATGATAAGATGAACACGATTACATACCTCAAGAATAAAACTTCTCGATAACCTACTTGTGCTTAGGTCGTTGACGTTCCAAAATGGTTTACGTCTGCTTCTATTACCATTTCTAAAAACCAAACGAGTTCACTTTGGTCCATCGACGAGCGACTATATACAAACTGAGTTCGAAAATATCTTTTATAGAAAGAGTAAAAAAAAAAAAAAGGGCAGTCGTCAGAACTTCTTATCGTATCTTATCGTTCTTATCAGAAGAAATAAGAAAATAAGAAGTTGTTTACGATTCGTCGAAAAACACTATTTCAAAAGGAATTCGAAAATAATCATTATTTTTTGTTGTTGCTGGACTATTTGAATGTTTAGAATTCGCGTTTTCCCATTTTTCTAACGAAGACTGTATACCAAATGTGTTATAGAAAGAAAAAGAAAAAATCAGTCTTAGATTAAGGACTGATCATTCTTTTTGCTTGTAAGACATCGTACATATACAATTCGACTTACAGGAAGCTCTAGAGAAAAAAACTAATCACGTAAATCGAAGACTTACCGTCTTCTAAAGACTTGTACGTCTGCAACCCGCGACATGGTAAAATAAGATGAGTTCAACATGCCCGAATGAAACGTTTCGAGAAAATGGCGTAGGTCGTTTCGAGTTCGTCCTATCAGTCTAGGGTCAAGGGGGTCCCTAAGATATCTCGATCTCCTCGCGCGAAGACAAACGGATCAAACAAGAGCCTCGGTGTGATAATGATGATAGTGATGATGAATATGTTCGTGAACGTGTTTTCGACCGGAGTTCGCAGCAGCGTTCTGCGAGAACTCTCGTTCCAGCCAGCGAACCACTTGGACCATGGCTCTGGCCTGGTCCTGTTCTCTGGTCGCGTGTTTCAGCTGATGCTTTTTACTCGATTTACCGCATTGCTGCGATTGACTGAATTGCGTTTCGTTACGCGGAGTATTGTGATTGCTCGTCGGAGCCGGATTGGCTGGATGCTGCGGATTTGGCAGTAGGTTTCCAACGTTCCGGTTCGCGTTGGCCGTGGTCTGTTGGTCCGTATAGACGTTCGGACTGATCACGGTACGCGGTAGAACCTGCGGCTGAACGTAAGCCCGCGGTGGTTGCGCCGTGGTATTGTTCCTCTGAAGCCCGTACTGCGGCCGTGTTTTTCGTAGATTCGCCCTTGATTTCGCAGGTACCTTGGAGAAGGACGTGAAACCTTGAAGCTTTTCCCGCGTTGGCTTCACGTACGCCATCGTTGCGGGTCGAGGTTCCGTTGCGGGTCGAGCTTCCGTCGGAGAACGACAGTCTTGAGCGTTGTGGTGGGTCGATGACTCGACGTGGGGAGTTTGAGGTGGAATGCGCGATTGTTCGTTCTGATGCCGTTTCCTGGATAGACAAACGTATACATAGATTTTTATTTATTTTTATATCTATATTTTCTATTAATAGTATCGAGAAACACGTTAATTATCTAAATAATTATCTAAATATTAACGGAACGGAAGAATAAAATAAAACAACAATTCTCGTACGTTTATATCGTTATTGTATCAATCGTTAAACTCGTCGAATATTTGTTCTTTCTTTGTGAAAAGAAGCGGTACAGAGAAAGGAAGAACAAAGCGATTTTTCACACAATTTTAAACGCGAACAGCGTACCTTGACGTATGAAAACTGAGATTATTCTTTTCCATGTTCGCCTGAATAATTTCCAAGAGCTGTTGCCTTTGTAAGGCGCCGCTGCGTTTTCGCTGATTAGTCGTGAGGAGAGGCGTCAAGGGGGAAACTGCGGGGGAAACATCGCTGTCATCGCTAATATCACCCTCGGAGCTATTGGAATAGGGCGATGGTAAATGAGGCAAGGGCCCCACCCTTCTGCGTAATTCCTCCTGCTTTATTCGATTCGTTCGCGCGATTTCACCGTCATCCTCGCTGTGAGTATCCACTTCCTTTTGTTCGGTCTACACAATTGAAACGACGGACATTTTATCATTCGGCACGGTTAAATCGTGAAATCGCTAGATATCGACAAAATATCTTCTATTCGTTATTACATAATTTTGTCCAAGCACAACGACAATTCTAGGAACTAATTCAATTTACGATAATAACCGCTACGCAAATATTTCTTTTTACTAAATATTTCATCGTTTAAAATTCTACCGTACCACCAGAAGTCTCACCGAACGAACGATTCCCGATCTTTTTTTTTTTGCTCATGGTGCGGCTAAACGGACGTCGACGTATCAGTTAAACGTTGCAATAAAACCCTCTACGGCGAGAACCCGTATTAATTAAAACCGAATAAAATTTCTTTCGTCCGAAAAAAACGATAAATCATCGAAGCAGAAAATCGATAAATCCAATTTTAGCTTCTAGAATTGTCGAGGCGGGAGAGGGAGCGACGGTGAGAGGGACCCCTCTAAAAAAAAAAAAAAGAAAAAAAAAGAAAAACGAAACTCGAAACTTGGGCCGAGAGGAACATCAATCTTACCTGGCAACGGTGTCGTGGCACTCTCCGCCTTCTAGGAACTCTGCGTAAACCGTGTGCGGCGGTGTGGGTCGCGGCATTGTTACAGGACGCGTGCTTCAAATGGCAGCAGGACGAATTTCCGGAAAAGCTAGTCGCAGCAGGCTGCGACGAAGCGTTGGGACAGCCGGCTCGCGTCTGGGTGCCCCTCTGATCTGGCGACACCGTCAATTTCACCTTAATCGTCTTGCTGCCGCACGGAGGTACCTGGATGGAAGCGCCCAGGGTATCGTAAATGGTCGTGACCAGGCCAGCTATGTCGTCCTTTGTTATCTTCCCGTGGCCGTCGAAGTCGTACAGGGTGAACGAAAATTCTTGCCTCCTTCTGTCGCCCTCCGCCACCGATACATCGCACTCGAATTCCTGAACAACGATAAACTAGGTTAAACGACCTGTAAGGTTTTTTTATAAATAAAATACACTTTAGTTGCCCTCCTTCTAAACACAAACTCAGTATACTTCTCTTAAACTCAAATTATAGTCTCGCTGTTCCTATTTATGGGAGAGCACGAGGCTCTCCCGCCTCACATATTACCCAAACTTATACATACAGTCCCTATACAGTCGCTTACAGATCGATATTCATTAAGTACGTAACCATGTAAACGTTAATTTATTTTTAACGCTATATCTCTATGCAGCTACATAGCTACATATCTCTCTCTCTCTCTCTCTGAACATCGTTGCTTCTCTATTCCAATTAGAACGATTATATTATTTTTGGCCACGAACAAGAATCAAGCTTCAAAAGCAATCAATTTACGTGGTACTCTCCGGCACTAGAGCCCCTCCGATCCCATCTACTCGCTGTATTATGTTTGTACTATCAAGTACGCGTATACGACGTGACATCAGCCACCGTTCCTATACTAACAATAATAGAACGGAACAGAGCGATGAAAGCTCCCCAAGTTCCGAAGCTCGTGATGGACAGTCCTTCTATAACGGCTGAAGAAGCGTAGCTTGAGCCCGAACAAATAATATTTCTCAATTGCAATGTTTCCGAAACATGATTGCTGGTTTTAATTATTCGGAATTCACCATTCGGACGATTCATTCCAAATTTCGACTTGGATTGCTATTTAACACGTCGGTCGCCACGCCACCCAGAAATGGGTGACAGGACTTTTCGTTAAGGAATCAAAAAAATTAATTCCAAATGTGAGGCAATAATGAAAATAAATCTGGATAGGATTCGTGAATTTGGCGTCGTTAAAAAATTCTATATTACGATAATGTTACCTTATCTAATCTTCGATAGTCTCGAGACATAATTTTAACTTTCTAACGATTTTCACGAGTTTTAACTTGGCGGCCGTCGTGTTAAAATATCGAATAGATATCAAATCCCGCTTGTAAATGATGAATGCAACCATCAGTGCCTCGATTAAGATAAAATTTTGTTCACATGGTTATTTACATAAAGCTTTCCCTACGCGATAACAGCCTGGATTTTCATGCAAATCCTCTTGGGGTTGTAAAGCTCGAGAAGATTAACCATCGTGGTACGCTTTAATCCCTACAACCCCATCGTCCAATTAATACCTGGGAATAATTTGAAACAATAAAACGACTGGTGTTTTACGCGTTACCAAAGATGATTCGTATCGATTTCTTAATTGATTTCAAATTGATTTGATACAGGACGATATCTATAGTTTCCTTGGAATTGTACTAGGAAGCGCAAAGGGTTAAACGAACGTTTTCCGTAAAATAAGAACGGTATTTTCAAGACGAAGAAAGTTTGGTGCTAACGGATGGGCGATTCTAAAAATTGAACACGACGGTTGGCTCGCAAGGGTCACGGTTTACGACCGTATTTCGTGAGTCAGGATTCAGGAGGTAGACAACGCTGCATTGAAATATTTCTATGAACTTAAATTCTATGCGTTCGAAGTATTCTACGAACAAGTATAATAGTTATACATATACAGCGATTTACGTGTGTAGACGAATCCACTGATATAACGAGAATTCAAGGCTCGTCCGCATTAGAGTGTCCCTTGCGTGGCAAATCTAGCCTGATTTTCGCTTCCGACCTAGCCAAACGAATATAGACGAGTCGGCGCGAAAAACTGTACTATACTGTACTAAACTAATATTAGGTTGTCCAGAAAGTTCGTGCCACTTTGTAAGAAACATTCAAAAACTCGTTTGAATGTTAATATATATTTATCGAATTACATAGGTGCCATTTTGTTCCACAACCTCTCCACCTTTTAAGGGATGTATGCATGTTATTTGTTTTCAACCACTTCGATATATTCAGACCCGTACCACCTACCAAAAATCGACACGAACTTTCCGGACAACCCAATATATTCCCATTTCTCGGTTGGACAGCATCGGCCTCTTCGCGTATTCTCCGCCATCCAGCATCGGGCATTTGTTTTGTTTCATCGCAATTTAATAATACCCACCTCGAAGCTGAGTTGCTTCGTGGTAGTAACAGTCGGCTGCTCGTCATTTCCGGTCGCCGGCGTAGGGCTGGTGGAAGCGTCGACCGCGACCTGCGGCGCTTCCGTTTCTAGCAAAATTGGCTTGGATTCCGATGGCGAACCGCTACAAGGCGCCGAGATGCTAGCAAGAAGTTCCTCCGAGTCGCTGCCTTCAGTATTACCAACGACTGTAAACAGAACAACAATTTCTTAGCCTGCAGTCCAACCGAATGAAATATCATCTTCCGTGTTTACGACGGCTGCACCAGCCAGCCAATTTTTAGCACCGAAGGAAATATCGCTCCACAGCGATTGCCACACACTGTGGATTTTACGCATTTACATGTACAAAGTGTACGTTGCATTTAATCGTTTATATTTTCATTTTTAATAATGCACTTACCAAGGCCGGCGCAAGGCAGGTTCAGCGCGTTTTGAGAGACCCTCCGATTTACGAAAATTTCGATTAACTTTTTACGGAACGATGATATCATTAACAGATGCAAGACATTTTTTTATTAGCGATGATTCGGTTTAACACGTTGATCGCCATGTCACCCATACATGGGTGACAGTGTTTTTCACTCAAGAACTAGAAAGATTAATTTTGAAAGTCAGACGTCACAGGAGACGAATCTAAACGAAGTTCTCGAATTTTGATGCAATTACAAAACTAAATACCACGATAAATATTTCATTACCTGGACTCCGATAGTTTAAATAATATTTAATCTTAGCAAAAATTTTCAAGAACATTCGTTTGGTAGTCAACGTGTTAAAGGAGTGACAAAAATCATCAAAGTAATATTATTTAATATTCATCTTATAAACAATGTATAATGTGTAACAGCATTCGTAAATAAATAATTCCTCGTTGAAGAATTTAAGTTTAGAATTTTAACGTGAATTCGGGCCCCGCAAAAGGTCATGCCGGCCCTGGCAGTTATTAACGAACAAAACTCTGGACAAAATTCTACAGCGTAAAATCCGTAGTCTAGGCAACGAGCGGTTGAATTCACTTCGCCCATTATTCGATGCCAGAAGGTCTTGAAAGTCTTGATCGATCTCGAAGTTTTGATTGGTCTCGAAAGTCTGGCCGGTCTCGAAGTTTCGATGGGTCTTGAAAACTTTTAACGAGCCTGGAACACTTTGCATAAATAAACATACGAGTTCGTTGATTTCAAGACCGGCCGAAACTTTCGAGACCTTCCGGTAGAGAATATTATTTAAATCGATTCGATTCAGTACCAAGCGCAACTTATCTATAAACGAGTACGATTACTTTGAAGTCGGTAGAGAATCTTTTCAAGCAACATTCTAAAAGTTACAAATTCCAATTCTCGTTTTATATTCGGTATATGTTTCACGTCGTTGGCGATTTTTGTTTCTAGTTGGTATCTCTCTCATCAAAGAGAATGAAACTGTTGGCCGTGGCTGAGCGACACTATCCCTCGTAAACAAAAGTCGTAGTTTCAAAGGTATCAGAGTAACATCCGCTCCGGTAAAGACTGTATTTATAGTTGGTTTCTGAGCGCCGCTCGGTACTTAAGTCACGGTGAGCGAGAAGTATTTCGGGACTATTTTGAAGGGGATGTAAGTTCGAACGACCCGAAATAAATAAAACACTTTGGTAACCTAGTTTGCACGAACGAAACTATACACTATAGTTTAGAAATGAATTCTGTGTAGAGATTCTTACGAAATGCTACATCGGAGACACCCTGTATTCCAGAAGACCAGTCGATGGTTAACATTAGAGACGTTTTGTGCGTTTTATCGCGTCCGGTTCGTGTTCTTTCATGCACGGTTGTCGCGTAAAGGCTCCTTTTCAATGTTTCATATCGCGCTTTTATACGTCGTCTCTAGGTAACGGTAAACGCGCCATAATGCAGACGCATTAAAGAATACACATGACACTGGTTCGGTGAGTGCCGCGATGCTTCTGAAATAAACGTTGGAAATGGACGTGTCCTCCTCCTCCCCGTCCCTTTTCGGTACACTCTCGTTAATTCATTCGGTTGCGCGGTGTGAATAATTTCGGGACGAATTATAGAGCGAATGCATTAAAGATAATTGCGCTTTTATGCAGGGAATCCGGTCGGTAATTATGAAACGGTACGCTTTTATCTGTAATTTAGGGGTTTCGGCGCGTCTGCCTTCATCGATTCGTCGGCTTGCAAACATTTCCCAAGGTTTAATGGATTTTTAACGGGTTTTTCGAACAGGGCTTTCGTTTCGCGAATTTTCGTTTAATTCCAGCGCGACGTTAAACATACGCGATCGGTAGAAAGTTTCACCGAATTCACTTTTAAATGCGGTCTTTTATTTCGTTTCCTCTCTTATGGTTTTTTGGACTTCGAATCAATGAAATTTTTCACAAATAAATTATAGCGGAATAATATTACTTGCATCGTTGATATAACATCGATTGCATCTAACGAATTCGATTCCGTATCGAAAGCAATGACATCGAGATAACGTTGTGTTTATGTACATTGCTGTACGCTCCACGAAGAAATTACTCATCGGCGATAACGATTGGATGGTATTAGATAAAGAATTGTGTTATTTCCTCGTTTTATCTCGCGAATCTATGTCTGTATGATTATGTTCATTACGATTCTCTATTTACATTCTTTTCAAATTTTTTAGATTCTCGTACAGAAAAATAAGACAATTATCAGAAGGAACACCACGATGTTGCTTTGATGTCGCTCGTTTTAACAAGAAACTCTCGTAGCGCAATGGGTAAGCGGCCTCTACCGCCTTTGATCCCAATATATTGAATTTTGCCAGTTCAACGTACTTCCCGTGACACATTCATTTATAGATTAAAATGGGTCACTCTGTACGTATACAGGGCGAACAATTTAACGCTATTAACACGTTGACTGCCAGAGAAATATTCTCGAAAATTTCTGCTAGGATTAAATATTATTCGGACTATTAGAGGCTACGTAATCAAACATCCGACATGGTATTTATTTTTCTAACTTCATCAAAATACACGAATTTCATTTAAATTCGTTCTCTTCGAAGCTTAACTTTCAGAATTCAATTTTTTAGTTCTTCAGTGAAAAGCACTGTCACCCACATATGGGTGACGCGGCGATCAACGTGTTAAAGACTAAATTGAATCGAATGCACGAAACAATTGTATACAATTCTATATCGATATAAGAACTCTATACGATTGTTTGAAAACAGTCGCGACAAGTTTAGCGTTAGCTATTGGGTTGTTCGGAAAGTTCATGTCGATTTTTTGTAGGTGGTAGGTGGATCTGAATACATCGAAGCGATTGAAAACAAATAACATGCATGCATCCCTTAAAAGGTGGAAAGGTTGTGCAACAAAATGGCACCTATGTAATTCAATAAATACATATTAAAATTCAAACGTGTTTTTGAATTTTTCTTAGAAATTGCCACGAACTTTCCGGACAACCTAATAAAAACACTCGAGCAGAGAATTTCCTGGAAGTATATTGCGAGAGGAAATATCCCAAACACGCGTCCGTAAAGGTTTAATTGCGGTAGGGGCGAATGAAGAAAGAAAAAGGGGTCTTGTTTGTTCGGTCGCGGCCTTTTAGACATCATCTGCAATGTTTACCTAGCAAACCGTACCTCAGACCCTTGGATATTTGCACGGGAATTTGGTGTTGAACGATAACTACGTAGAACAGGGGTTGCAACAGAAAGCTGAAAGTGAAATGGACGATAATCGCTGTTGAATCTCGATATAGGCCCGTTAAGAGTGTTTTGTAGTAGCGTCGAGGGATGGTGCGGAGTTAGATTTAGAAATTTGCATTCCGTTCAATAGTCAGCAATTGGTATTCAGTGCAAGAATCAACGATTACTGAATACATACCGATTGATGCAAAGCAAAATTGATAGACGCTAAATTTCCAGTCACGTGCCAGCCGCTGATTATGCTACTATACGGTAATAAATTTAACTGTAAACGAAAAAAAAAAAAATTGTAAAAAAAAATGTTCTCATTTTTAAATCAAAAGAATTTTTAGTTGGTACCTCGTTACCTTCTACGTAAGGTACCGAGAGCCCATTTTTATACGTCTATCGGTTCCGGAGCTGTAATTCTATGAAAATTCGAACGAGATAGTGACGAAACGAATAATTTCTCAGGATTAAAAAATGTTCCCTTCGAAGGACACGCTTCCATTATTGAAATTCTTCGTATCGAACCCGAGTTTCCCTCGTTCCCTGGAGAACGAGTAAAAATTCCTCGTGCTCGCTCGTATGAAATCGTGTTACTCGAAACGTTTCTCAGTTAAACGGGCGTCCGATTGCGTTCGATTCGATAAAACGAGTTCCGTCCGAGTCGAGTTTCGACTGCTCGAATATTTTTCGAGTCGCCTTTCCGTCCGTGTTTCCCTCTGCGATCTTCGATCGAGCTTTCGGCCTCGAAACGCTCGGGCCTTTATCTTAATTCGCGCGATACATCATTAAGTCCGTGCAGGGTGATTCCAGTAAAATATACGCTTAAAAAACATCGACATCAAAGGGACCGCGGAGAAACGATAATTAGCGATACGGAACGCGTAATAAACGAAGCCGACCGCTAATTTCAATTATTCAAGGCAAAGGAAACGGTGGGGGGGAGGGGAGAGGGGAGATGAAGGGGAGGGAGGAGGAGGAGGAAAAAACCACAAAGAAGAGAAAAAGGCGGATAATCGTATCTGCATAAAGAAACGGACGCATATCCGTGTATAATGATACCTGCCGTGTGGTAATTACGCCCGTAACTCTTTCGTGGGGTGAGCGTTAAAAACCCAAGACACCGAGCGCACCCGAGAGAATAAAAAGGCGACGGAGAGAGGCAGGGGGAGGGGCAGGCAGGAAGAGAATGAGAGAGCAGAGGTGTGATACGCGCGAGCGCCCGTGTATGCGTGTGGATAAAGAGAAGGGTGTAAGGAGAGAATAGAGAAAAATGAGAAAGCGAGGAGAGAGGTGAGAGAGCCGAGAGAGAAAGCGAAGAGTAAGGCCGTAGAAGTGAGGTTCTTTGCTTGATAATAGAGCTGAGACTCTTCGAATAATTTTATTTTACCAACGTCTCGTAGCTATTCCATACGCTGGGAATATTTTAATATGCAAATATCGTTGAAGAAACATTGCTATCTGAATATCATTCTTTCGAGTGTTATCATCCGAGCACCGCTATTGTATCATTTCCGGGAGTATTACTATTTCGACGTGTACTTTTTTTTTTCGTATAATATCATCGTAATGCCTGCTGTAATGACCAGAAACCGCATCTGACAATCGTCAATTAGAGAGGCTCGGATATAATTCTATTGTCACCCGCCCAGTCACACGCGAGCAGTCAGACGAAGAAGGCATGAATGAAAGCGAGCGAGTGGTCAAAACATCAAAGGGATGCCGCTCTTATTTGATGGGGCAGTTAGTTATTAACGCGAACCAAAAACATTCAACGACTCTCGGTGTATCCGCGCAAGAGTATTACCAGAAGGTTTCATTAAACTTTCCTGGTGAAAATAAACTCAAACATGACTGTACTCGGACTGTACTTTTAATTATATACAGACACTAATTACAATCGTTCTAAATGTGACTGGCGTTTAGTCCCATTTTAATCGGCAAATACCTTCTAGTCCACGGTAATTATGATCAAAGAAAAATTAACGATAAACATACAAATGACGGTTTAATGAAATTGCTTCTACCATAACCCACTGGCAATTTCTGCAAAAATGACTAGTATAATTCTTAAACAAATATACGAATCGTAATTTTCATTCCAGGATGAAATTCAATGCGGCGACCAACAAAGAAACGCTCTTGGCATCCAGCCAGCTCTTGTCGGCACGATTGCTGACCGCCTGAGTCGATGGATATCTCGTATTGGTATGTCGACAGTAATGCCAATTCAAATTCGTAATATTTTTTTCATTAAATCTCTACTAGGATAATATCATGAAAAATTATATTAATTGTAGAATATGTTCAACATATTAGGTTGTCCCAAAAGTTTCTTTCGTTTTATTAACAATTAATACATACACGATATTTTATGTTTTATGTTACATTACAAAATTGTGTACGATTCATTTCGCTCCATTACTGTTACAGCATCAATGTCTAAGAAGTTAGATTGTCTATTTATGTAAACACTGCCACAGAAAATAATTGAATGCAACGAAACTTTTAGGACAACCTGATACATTAGGTATATTTTTTATATGTTTTCCACATTACTGTACGCCATAAATCCATCAAATTCGCATTCTAGTGACTAGAAATAGTACGCGTTTGAACTTATCGTAATCCTCGCCAATCTACATATAAAAACCTATCGACCAAGTGAGCTAATACCTAATTCTACCTATTCTACCAGTCTTACATTTCTTCTTTTTTTATATTCATGTAATTCTCCATTTACATTACTTTGCTCACATACCTCTCTTTTAATACCTCCACGAAGACAGAATGAAAAATATAAAAGTTTTTAGTTTACATTAGCAGCTGTGACTCAGATGAACGCGCGGCACCGCTTTGATGTTCAACCAGCCACAGTTGCCAGCCGTTCGAATTGACGAGTCTCTCCCACCGAAAAAAATTCCTAATGATGGGAATGGACTCTGGGACGTGGTTAAAAACGTGAATCCGTTAAATAACAACTAACAACCAGGTCGAATCGTGTCATTGGAAATTTTAATTTGCAAATATTTGTATACGCTTTTAATGACTATTGCCACCCGATAATACAGGGTGTCCCAAAAATGTTGTAACTCCTTGAAAGAGGTGGTTCGGGAGGCGATTTGAAACAACTTTTTCCTTAGCGAAAATATTGTCCGAGGCTTCGTTGAGGAGATATTAACGGACAAACACTGACCAATCAGAGCGCGAGGATGCCGGTGGAGCGGTCGCGGTAGCGAATGAGCGCGGCCGCCTAGCGCGTAGCCTACGCTCAACCGGCATACTCGCGCTCTGATTGGTCGGGGTTTTCTATTAATATCTCCCTAACGAAGCCTCGGACAACATTTTCGCTAAGGAAAAAGTTGTTTCAAATCACCTCCCGAACCACCTCCTTCAAGGTGTTACAACATTTTTGGGACATCCTGTATATGTATATATTAGGCTGTCTGAAAAGTCTGAATATATCGGAATGGCTGAAAACAAATAAAATGTGTACATTTTTTAAGAGATGGAAAGGTTGTGGAACAAAATGGTACACATACAATTCAATAAATATACATCAAAATTCAAATATGCCTTTGAATTCTTCTTAAAAATAGGCATGAACTTTCCGGACAACCTAATAAAACAACTCGGGAACTGAACGTACACATACGTGCCGGTATCGTGTGGTTAATTGCACGATATTTATCGAATTTTTGAATGGTACAAGCGCGTTCGAGTATTCGAGGAATAGTCCCAGGCCAACTTCAAACCAAAAGGAATAGAGAATGGCTACGGACGCCTTCTATCTAACCACCGGACTAATGTGCGTAACGAACTCGCAAGGTCTCGATAATTAAACTCCACCCCCGGTACGTGAGCTTACGAGGGCATCGCGCGCGCGTGTGCGTGTATACGTCCTGTGTACCGTGCCGCTTTCGACCCCTCTTAAAGGAAAAGCAAAGGGGGAGCAGGACAAACGGCTTCTTCTTTGTAAATCACCCCTTTCTGTTTGCTCGCTCGTAACTTTTATCATTTGCCGACGCAACAGCTTTCCCCCGTATGAAAATTTACCCCGGCCGACGGCGCAATGAGAAAGCGCACCCATAAAGAGCGTAAGAGCGGAGATCAGACGCGTTTCAAGCGGGATTCGCGCTTAAACGAGCAGGAATCGTTGAATAATTCCTCGAGTTTTGTTGCCTGCGGTGGAATGTCGGCAGGAAAAATGTGACGTCACCGCGGTTACGTTCTTTACATTTTACTCCGGTGTCTTTTTTACTTCGGCGACGAATCGAATTTCGTTTATTTATTCTGGGAGGTTTGCTCTTGTAATTTACGTCCTCGGGGGGATGGCGGAGGGGGGGGGGAGGGGGTTGCAGCTACATTTGATTATAACCACGGTACAGGGTTTAGGGAGACCAGTGGACCCCGACAAACTACTGGCATCCCTAATGGGAGAATTACAAAGAGAGGTATATAAACAAATGCAACGTACAACAAGAATTGAACGAATGTAAAGCGTTAGAGCACTTGCACACGACGATACGCGTATGCGATACGCATCTGCTAGCAAGATACTTAGGCGATACTGTAATCCAACTGATTTCGTAGCTCGGTGTCGATCATTTGTTTTTCAGTTAAACACATCTTCTCGTTTGAGAAACACGCGTTCTTAGCTAGTGAAAACTTTTCTGAAATAATGGATGTGATCGAAGCTTTATCCATTTGGTTTCTACATAAAAAAAGTTGCCGGCGGCCGACCAACTGCAGATACCGAAAATCAGTATCGCGATACTGTATCTCGCGAGGTTTGCCGTCTGAACGCTTCCACGTGAAAGAGCTCTTAACAATATGGGAATCGTATCGCGAAATCTGAAACATTGTAACAACACCGAACCCCTAAATAGATTAAGATGTTTGGAATTCTGGACCACGGCTAACTAGAAGTGCGTTGTATATTTTTACCCTTCCCCTGCACGTTGACGCAGTACCCTCGCTATGTTTGGCCCACCCAAGTAAGGAGCTTTGGAAGTATTCGAAAACACCCATCGATAACGCGATAAAATTAAAACAAACATCGATTAAATATTTCTACTTAAGCTAAATTTATAAATGATCGAATACAAGGGCACGGAATTCGTGTCTAAATATACTTGATAAAAGTATCTCGTAATTTGTAAAAGGGAAAAAATGACGGTGGCACGGGCATCGTGACATACAAAAACAAAAAAAAAAAAATCATGACACGTACGCAACTTGATAGATCGGCCAGTAAGAAAAATGCAAGTGTGACGTAACACCACGTGGGATCCACTTCTGTCATACTGCAGCAGAGAGCTTCACCCAGGAACACGCACGGCGGGCATCTCGGCTCCAGCAAAATATCACGCCTATAACCGGATTGTCCGGACAATCCGTATACGGAATATCTCGATCTATCTCGTACACCCGTGATTTCGACGCAAACATCGATGCGGTGTGTGCATATAGCAAAAAAATATAAGAGACGAAAAACAAGGGAGGGGGGAAGAGGAACGGAGAGAAAGGGAGCATCCGAGGTGGGAGAGAAAGAGAGACACGTTAGAGAAGCTTACCAGAAAAGGGTCTGTAGCCAGCGAGGAACCTTGTCCGCCACCACTTTACCAATCCGGTAGCCATGAGACCCTCATGCATCCACAAACGCTGCGCACACTTTCTTTCCAGGTTTCTTGTACCGCCACTTTCCTCCTTTTATCTTCTTTTTACGCTTTGAAACTCGCCGACGTATAAATTCTTCCTGGTCTTTTGGCGTCGCCACGAGAACCGAAAACACCGATCAGGACACCGCTCTTGTCTCCGTCGACGATGCACGGTTCACAGGGCTCGATCCTTCGTACACGTCGATTGCACGTCGTTACTATTTTCTTCGTGTTTATTATCACACGGTTCACCGTATCCACTGCTAGAAACTGAGAAACAAACACACTCCCGCGAACGTCATGCCCCCCTGGTTGATACTCGTTCGACATCCGATGACACGGTGCAGCTCTGCGTGTGGCGACACGTATGGATATACGAATAACACGTGTTCCACAGCAGCAGCAGCAGCAGCAGCAGCGTTTGCCTGGGAGCGACCAGTCTGCGCCCAGTTCGGCTTACTTTCTATCTTCCATTTATCGTTGTTTCGAGGAAGGGACGAAACGTGCGGGCTCGCATGCTCGTCCCCTGTCACCGAATTTAGTAACACGCACAGCTGTGGCCCCGGAACAAACACTCGGTCGAATTTAATCCAGGTACCAGCGCAGAGAAAAGAAACGCGGCCGACGAGAAGGGTCGATCACACGACATCGCTCGACTCGTGGCCCGACTACGACTACGGACGATCGTTCTTGCCTAAACCACGTTCCCCGTAATTCCCTTTCCCCCTCCATAGGGCGCTGCGTCGTCACAGTGCCGAGTCGTGGATACATGCTGTGATGCCAGATCGAGGACGCGACTCCCAGAGGATTTCCCCCACTGTATATACGTACACTATACACGAATCCTGTGTAAGTGAGCTCTACACTTCGGACAGCTTCGGAAAGTCGAGAGAGAAGAGGAATACGAGCATCTCTTTCTCACTCTCGATACAGCTGAAGCGCCCGAGGTCCGATTTGCCGGGAAACGGAATACGATCTTGGTTGATGGCCGTGTTTACTATTGTAGAAGAAAATAGAGGCACTCGATTCTCGTAAAAAAATCGATCTTGTAAAAAATGTACAATGACGACCTATCGAGAAACGATTACAAAAATTTAATGGTATCGATGAATGCGTCAAAGAGAAAAACGTTAAGCGACAAATCGATCGGTGCTTGGTAGATATTTCGTTCGAGTTTCAAAATGACGAATTAAAGAATCATGAGAAAAGATCACGTTCAAAAGGAGCATGAGAAATGCTCGCTTATTTAAAAAACTGCGATACCGAGCGCATAATAGTGGACGTTTGCTTAGCTCTAGTGTGACGGTTGTTGGACTCAAAACCCTCCCTGGGCCGCGCACACTCTACTCGTAAGTGGATACCCAACGAAAACAAAAAATTAATGAACGTAGACGATTACGTCATAGTACTTTTCGACGTATCACGCCGAATGACATCGTCCAGAACAGCAGAAACGCTCGGGCGGCTAAACATTGACATATTCCGTCTACAAAAGTAAATGACCGCTGGCTAAGATCGTATTCCGTTTACCGACAATTCGTACTTCAGCTGTGTCGAGAACGAGAAGGAGACACTCGCGTTTCCTTTCTTTCTCGACTCTTCGAAGCTGTCCGAAGTGCTCGGTTCACGTACAGGCAGCTTTCGCATTGTGTGTCTACACGGAGATGGAAATTCTCTGTGACTCGCGTCCTCAATCTGACATCTCTGGATACATGGACCCTGAAGGTAGGAGGCGCGGCTCGAAACCTCCGATTCACGCTCTTTCCGTCCGTCTCTCTTTCACCTCCCTCTCTTTACCACTTTTTCGTCTCCTGTCTCTTTTCACCTTTGATATCCGTACCCTTTTCTCTTTCTACTCTTTCTCCCTCTAACTTGACCGATTATCTCTCTCCTTCATCCTGTCTCCCTCTGTTCACTGCAATTCCACCTCTCGCTCTCGTGTTTTTCGCCTCGTTCCTTCTCGACGATTCTATCCTATTCTCCTCGTTTCTTCTTCCTTCGCGTTACGCGCCTCTCGCTTTCCTCTTTTTCTATACGTTCTCTTCCCCTTTCTCGAACTATCTTTTTCCTTCCTTCGCCATTGCCATCGCGCCTGTTCTCCCTTACCACCACGCGTATACTTTCCTTTTCTCCTACTCTTCTCTCCTTCCTTTTTGTCCAGCGAAGGTCTATGAGAGCGCCGAAGAAGGACAGCTTTGCACGGCTGGTGGGGTTTTGAAGGAAAGCCGATGATGGTTCAACGTGGTCTACGGCGACACAAATGTCGGCGCTGCAATGTCGAATGGCATGCGTAAGAAGGAATCGGGGATCCTAAGGATTTCGATTATCGCAGCCGCAAACAAACTTGTAGCTGAATGTTTGGACCGATCGCGCGGACGTTGCCCCGCATTCGGCTTTCAGAGAAAGTCACTTTTAAGGATTCGGAAAAACAGGAGGCTTCTTCTCAAAGGACTGGAGGGCCGAATCGTCGCTTCGTCGAAATCATCTGTTGGAATCCCGTAATTCGTCGGAATGATACACGACCGGCTACTGCACCCTCCGTTGCGGTACGCTGAAAACATCGAACAATAATTTAGAATGTTCCACGTAGTTTTTCTTGGTCGACCATCTTCCGTGAAATTCAAACGTAAAAACAACAGTGTAGAAGGATATTTATCGCAAAAAAAGAATTCGGAAAGTTGATGTACATCCAACTCGTTCTGAGAAAATATTTCTAATCGACAAAACAGTAAACTCAAACACATTTGAATTTTAACCACTATGAGGAATTGTTTGTTGTGACAATTCGCACTTCTGAAATGTCCTACTATTTGTTTTTTTTTTTTTTCAGTTACTCAAGGTGAAGCACGTAAGTGTGGTGGTATAGTGGAATAAATGAGAAATACTCTTTTTGGAGACTGTACCCGCACGCTATTATCTCCTAGCGGTGTTTCAGAAGAAACATAGGCGTCGCCTTTGACAATGCGATGAATGAACTTGAACGAAAAGCACTTTGTCGTGTATACATGACACGCAGCGGCGATCTTTCTGTATCCTGTTAAGCGAAGAAACCACATTTTTTAAACAACACTTGGCAGAATTATTTGATACGTCAAATTTTTAATATTCTCACTCTACTCTTTCATCCCTGGCATATTTACCTCCCACGAAGAGAAATAATTGTTTACTTCAAGCATAGTAAAAGATTATGTTTGCGGAAAACTTGCTCGACTTCTTACCGCACAGTAACAACGCAGAAGAAATTGGAATATATTCGCTAAAAGAAAAGATAATAAATAATTAAGGGTTAAAAATTTCACAAAATTATTAAATAAATCATTTTCGTAGCATTTTTGCCTCGCTCCTTCACCCGTGAAACTTTTGCATTCATAGTAATTTCACTTCTCGATTACTATGGATAATCGAGGCACTACTGTACGCAGAGCGCGAAAGTACAGTAAGTCCAAGAAGAAGGAAACGTGGTCGACGCGATGTCCTCCCCAAATGTCTACGCCATTGGCTCGGCAAGTACCCCCTTGCTCTCCCTGTGCGGAAAGTCTCTACCCACCATGCCACGCTATGCCGTGCTGTGCTACGGTTTGCCGTGCCATCCTCAACCGCGTAGCGTGGCTAGTTGTTTCTTTTCTTTATTCCTTTGTCGGAAAGTCGGTGGCGAGTCTCGTTTTTAAGAGAAGAGTAGAGGGGAGGAGGCAAAAGGAAAACGACAACCGCTCAGCAGGGGCTGAGGAAGGAATGGTCGGGTCCGTGGCAGAGCAAAGGGAGGGAGGGCCACGGCAGCAAAGAGAATAAAACGTATGGTTCAAAAACTCGGTACAGACTAACCTCGAAATAAAGCCGACAACGTGCTCGGGAAACTGAGGCATATCTATTAATAATAAACTGTTTTCAGTTAAAGTCTTCCTATCGTCCGGAGTGCCCCGATTGCTCAGGCGGACGCGACACGCGGCCTTTACATACTCTCCACGCATGATGCATCATATCTTCCTTCGATACATAACAAAATCGAAGTTGGATGCTCCACGTGAAAAAGAGATATTAATAAGAAAATTTTAAATACAATCCTATTTTATCGAGACAACACAAATAAATTACAGAGGAGTGTCTAATTCGGAACATTATACCAAGTTCTCGAATAAATAAATTTATTCTTCGTATGTTATGTATACGTACCAGAATGAGATTTTGGAACATTGATTTTGGGGATCCTCTTTCATCCGGGGGGGGGCTCCTAGGCAGATGTCTTTTTTGCTTGTAGTATAATGCACCACTGCTCCCACACGAAAGCGCCCAACGCCGTCTGTTCGTTCGTTCGGTTTCTGTTATTATGTAATGCTACGTTAGCGTTAAGAACACTTGGACTATTAAGAAAATTACCATCTTGTACCGGTATCAAAATAATATTTTTTCCTTCAAAGTCCAACTTGCACAGCTGCGTTGAACATCTCGAGGATATCGAACATCCTACTACTCGCAAACGATCGGATCATTCGAGCGTGGAATTCTATCGTCGTCCTGTAGAGCTAATCCTCCATTGACAACGTAAATATTACTTTTCCTAACTTTTCGCTGCAACCGAGTCATGACGTCTCAATTTTCGCGTGACTTTATCCATCAAACGTCAGATCAACAGCGACAGCGATCTTGATACGATACACCGTATTCAAAATGTTTGTATTGCGTATCTGCTGTAGTCACAGAATTATCGCTGCAGTAGTCATCGGCAAACAACGCCGTAGTATTGACATACTTTCTATTATTAGTGAATGTTTCTATTTTCGGTAAACACTACACCGAATTGACATTCGAACGTTGACGCCAGCGCTGTATTTTCTGCTGCTATAAAACTATCGCAAAACCCACAGTAACAAGGGCCGTTAGCATCGGATCAATTAGCACCGAACATGCAATGGGAAGTGCGCGCGAATGAAAATGTACTTTTCCTCTTTGTTTTGGTACATTGGGTCCCGTCGACGTCGCAAAGATCCGAGGCGGTTAGGTTCCACTTGAAAATCTAACGTACCTACATCGACAGAGAACGCGATAATTCTATTTCTACTCTCCAAAATAATGCATATCATTTGGAAGTGTTCAGTGGTACCCTATTCTGTGAGCTATTGCAAGAAAGAGAGATAGAGAGAAGATGAAGCGGAGAAAGCAAGAAATAAGAGATGACAGAGGGTCCACGACCGGATCTTATAATTACGCTAATTAGGCAGTAACGCGTAAAAAGAGCGGCGCGAGTATTTATCCCAAGATACCGACCAAGGTACGGAGGTCGACGAAGGAGGACGTCGTATGACAGGATACGACAGGAAAGGCTATAATACAGTTTTGCCGCCAGCAGCAGAAGCAACAACGGCAGCAGAGCGGTAAGCAAGCAAGCAGCGAAAGCAACGTCGAGAAGTAGGCAATTCTGACGTCGGTTTCTCTGCGTTCGCTTCGCGTCTAACAGATGCCTGATCCGAAGACAATTCAAGAAACATACGAACCCAGACAGGGCACTACTGATTACTTTTCTAACGATCGCACGGAATTATTGAATTAATCCGTAATAGTAAACCATATTTGTAACCTTCAATTATGAATCAGTTGAATTGCCTAAGGGTATGTAAAAGATGAAGCGATATATCTTCAACCTAACCGAATCAAATTATAATTTTTATAAAACCAATAATAAATTCGAAATTTCGTCGAAGTAAGAGTTTTACCCGATACCGTCCTACTGTCCTTACATCCTTCATTCGACGCCATTCGCTTCGAACGCCGCCACGCTTCCTAACGTCGTTTCGTCGATTTAACGGGTCGAGATTACGGCATCTCTTTAAATTTATGAATACATATCAAGAGACGCTCGAAGAGTTCTTTCGTCCCATGAAATTAGCTTATCCCTTTGGATGCTGCATCGTGTACCTTTCAAGCGTACTAACTCTAAGCTTGTCAGACAAAGGTTGCCGCCGTTTCCCTCCATTTTTCTATAAACCCTATCAAAGAATCACGTTCAGATTGGATACCTTAGTCGTTTCGATCAAGAATCGATTCCAGAATCGAACATTCCTGACGGGTGACTTAACGCGACCTCTGGCGGGACAGGGGATATCCTCGTTCGGGCAAAATTATCGTTATCGGCATTTCCCCGTTCTATTTTTCCGCGAATGGTTGATCAGCGACCGACAAACCCGAACTGAACGTGTGTGGTTGCTACCCGTCAGAGATTTTTCTCTCATCAGGCCAGAAGAGCCCGGGACTGAGCGTTTATGGGTACCTTGGCTGGACGGATTCGTCGGAAGGGGAAACCGTGAGCGGGTACGGAGAGGAGCGGAGGGGAGGGGGTGTAAGAGAGAGCCACGACTGGATTACGGGCCGTGGCGAGCCGTAGCGGGGGCGGGGGGGAAGGAGGAAGCGGTCGGCGCGTTTGATCTCAGCCGCGGGCGCCGACAAAGCGTTCATCCACTCTCCTACAACGGCGTGCTGTCTGGCGTGCGGGAGCGCGACAATGCGACTAACCAAAGCACGCGAGAGAGACAATGGATAAAGCGAGCCAGCCGGTAAGGTAGCGTGATACGGAGCAAGAAGGAAGAGAAGCGGAAAGAGCTTGAGCAACAGCGTTGGGACGGACGAATGGTGCGCCGCGGCCCGATTGGGGGAAAGGGAGAAAAACAGTGAGACCGAGGAACGCGCGGGACCAGTGACGAACCTAATACTCGTCGGGGCCTCAAGCTAATTACCTTGAGAGCTCCATTCCTTTTTCTAAAATATCTTTTTGCTGGAAGATAAATGTTAATATTATAAGGTTTAACATTTGACAGTCTTTCAACAAACATTACTATATAAACGGTTTTCCAAAAGGTGGCCTTAACAATTGTTTCTGTTTTAACACGTTGATGGCCATGTCACCCACATATGGATGACAGTGGTTTTCACTGAAGAACAAACAAAAATTAATTTTGAATGTTCAGTAACAAAGAAAAATAAATTTGAATTAAATTCTTAAACTTCAACGAAGTTATAAAAATAAATACCACAAAAAAATGTTTTATTATGTAGCTTCCAATAGTCTAGAAAGAAAACTTAATCACAATAGAAATATTCAAGAGTATCGGTCTGACAGTAAACGTGTTAACAAACGGAAATGGTGTGAAATGTATTTGATTTTTTTGTTTTACACGAAAGTACACACGATTGCAATTAAACGTGAAACATTACTTCGATAAACGTTTACCACAACTAAGTTGTCAGACGTGTTTGTTATTGAAAAACAAAATTCTAAAGTCCCTTTTGAAAAACACTTTGTAATGTTTAAATAAGCCTTGTTTAGGAACTGTTTAATATCTACGTTAAATAGAATGCTACATTAATTAAAAAACCAACGAATACTCTGTTTTGGAGGGGCCGAAGTCGAAGCTTCGTTAGCTTCGTGGTAGACTCATCCCTGAGTGGGACGACGAAGAGAAAGAGCAGTGGAACAGATGAAGAGAACCGGTAGAGGGAGAAAGAGATAGGAAACAGAATGAGATAGACGGAGAAACGGATGCTGAGGTGAAAAGAGAAAGAGGTACAGGAAGGGTGGGGGGTATGAAGGAAGGAGGAAAAAAGATCCAAAGATCCGTTCCACGATCCGGTGTTCTGTCGCGCTCACTTTAGCATGGCACTGCCACTCCCTGGTGCCGGCCACACCAGCTTTGCTATTAATAAATAATACTCCGTGATCCGCATTACAACTAAACCGTCTCGTTCCGCTCTTAGGTTTATTCTCGATCTTGAACCGTGGATACTCGCGAAATCTCTGTCTCTTCCGTATCGCGTCGGATCGACGAATTTTTCAGTGACGCTGAATGGACGGTGATCGTTCGTTGAACAAACTTCGTAACTCGTATGTACTTCCGAGTAACGTTGTACTCCACCGTTCGAATCAGCGAAATTCTTATTTACATGAGCTTAAACATAAGGAGACATTAACTAAAAAATGTTTGAATACTAATATTTTTTACGAGCTGGAATCACGGGTTGAAGTCACGCATTGTCACATGTTAACGAAACGTTAAAACTAAATGTTACTTCAACTCTGGTTCGAACTCGTAGAGAGGCTTCAGGGGTTCTAATTCAGGGCTTTAGAATTACCGACCCATCAGGCGACGGATACGCTTCACGGAAACGCACGCCGGCGAGCGTTTGATGATTTACAAAGTCGTAGCTCGTGATACTTCGAATTTTTAACGCGTGGGCTAGTAATCGATTATGATTTATAATTAACGGATTGTTAAAACGAACGAGAATTAAAATTGTAACATATAATAAATACTTATAATCGAATAAACGTTGAGAATAGATCGCTACATGACGTTTGCCTTCAAATGTATTATTCCAGTATAACTTTCAGATCTATTTACTTCAGCTATGAGTTTTAAATTACTTCTAGTTATGAATAATTGTATATATTGCCGTATTATATCCAGTACTCGATTCTTCTATTTCGATTCAACCCAATTTGTGGATACGAAATACAAATGAACGCCATGATTGTTTAGCGTACGGCGAACACGCGAACTAGTGGCGCCACAAGGTGACCCACATTGTTGTATGGTCATGTTCTCATTGTTGCGCTACTAATCAGAGATGAGCAAAACCCTAGACGTCGAATAAATCTGAAGTTTGCCGGTATTTTTGTCTCGTTTCCTTCTTTGGAAAATTTTTAAAAAAGGAAACGAGACAAACATCAGCAAACTTCAGATTTATTCAAAGCCTAGGGTTTTGTCCATCACTGCTACTAATTTACACAATTCATACGGATACGAACGAAGCGTAACTTTCAAAAACTTTTATTCGTGAAAATGTCGTACATACAAAGCTCAATGTTTTCGAATTATCAATTAAAAACTCGCGTATTCCAGTCTACTTTCGTGACTTCCCCTCCACTGCCGCGCTCATTGCACATGCTTCGATTGCAACTCAGCGAAATTAAGCCCTGAAAATTACACGGGTTCACGTGAATAAAAACCGACTCCTGTCACCAAACTCACAATATCTTTTATTATTTGTAAAACGTTGATTCTCAATTCATTACGAACTTAAATCACAGGGGACATACAGATTGCACCAACCATCATCAGCTCGTGTGGTTAATTCAAGAAAATTATGGAATAATGTATACACAAAGGAAACAGTACACAGTACGACAGATAGAGGTTCCTTGTTTAAGTTCATATTAGTCGTATAATTAGATTATCCGAGACCCTTTGTAATTGATTCTAACGGTAAAGTTGCGTGTAAATTGTATAGAATAACTTCTAGAAAAATGAATCTCAAAAGGATCGGGGCTTGTTACTTGAAACACGTTTCCAAAACAGATCATTCTTCGTTTCTCCCGCCTTTTTGCTTCGTACGATCGATTGTTTCAATTTTAGGTACAAAGTAGGCCGCGTTTAATTTACTCACATTTCGGTGTCGATTTGCGTTGTTATTCCATAGGACATCGAATCGAATTATTTAAAAGACACGCCAGTAAAAGAATTCTTGGTAAAGTTATTTTGTTACTCGATTAAAAAAAAAAAGGCTACTGTAACCGTAAAAATCATAAATATTGTCAAAATTATTATTCGTAATTGGTTTCTTTATGGTCTAAAAAAAATTGTCTATAGTTTCTAATAGATCCCAAAATTGTATAAAAATCGATTCGATCTCCAAATTGAAAACAACTACCATCTAAACGAAAATGACAGATATCGATTCCTTTAGAGTAAAACTTTGCTTATAAATGTTGCCTAATGGAAATATGTATAAATTGTAGGTGATCTTGAAGCAAAAAGAATTTCTTCGCAACGTATTTCGAGTATAGCCCGATATTTTCGCATGTGGGCTGTACATTTTATCTATGTAAATATTCATTCTTACAAGAACCATACTTAGTGATAATCGCACGATCGCTTTATTTAATCATTAGTTAAACGTCTATTTAAATGCGTCACGCATAATACGGTTTATGTGCTTATTACATAATTAGAATGCAATCGTGACATTCAGATTAATTAGAGGCGTATGCTGTAAATTCATTGAAGCAGTGCTAGAAGAGCCAATAATTGATTTCGCGTGTCTTAAGACAAACCTTGTCAAAGGAATACTGCTTAAAAATTTGAAAACAATTGGCACTACAAATTTATCAATGCTATTTTTGGATTATACAATACGAGACACTTAATATGGTTATGCGAAACATGTTTTTTAATTAACAAAGTAAACAAAATTAAATACTTGGCAAACTTCTCAAAATTAATCCAAAAGTGTATACAGATGATAAATAATATATACTTTATTTTTATATTTTTTTAAATTCAGAAAGTTATCAAACAAATCGTTCAAAAAATATATGCAAAAGATATTTCAAATAGCTATATTAAGTGTCTTGTATATTAACTTAAAGTATAAACGTAATTTATAATGCAAATGGAACAAAGTTTCTTTAAACCATATGTACCTGAAATTAAACATAAAATTTTACATTATATGGGAAATAAGTTGTATCACGAGGTAGTTGAGATCTTGTTGAACGCAACATTTTTTAAACCAGTGCTTCCCAAATTTGGGTGCAAAGTTTTGACACTTTCATGAAAAATTGTTTGTACTTTCAATTTTAAATATAATTATACTTTTATGTAACGAATATATCTTTGGCTTTCTTAAACGTTCATTTTAGAAAATACAATCACGATAAAGAAGAAAAGATGCGGATGATTTTATACGCTAGTAATCATACAAAATTTGGGATTAACTGGCTTAAATAAACATTTGTCGCACGCGACAAATTTATATTGGCAAATATGATGTGAAATTTTATCGTGTCTAAGCGCAAGATGATTTATGTCGTGAATTATCTAGTGTCTACATTGAAATTTCGTCTTTGAAATTTAATATACATATATTTAAGTATTCTGAACAAATATCAGCCCGCACGCAAATGCATCGTTGCTTTTCGATTCAGTTTCCTTCGTGCTATTTTGTCTTAGACTCATAAATGGCTCAAGAGAAGAATATCGAGAGTTGTATTTATACGCGTCGTGTAATTCATTGACTCTCGAAACAATAAAGTGCAGTTTAATTTGAAAATTTATTATATATTACATGTCTTCCATCGACGCTAATGATGATATTAATCATTATTTGCAACGTCCTCTGATTACTTTGTTATCGTATAACTAATTCCCAAAAAAGTGACAATGCTTTTAAAGCAAAAATTCAATAACAATATAAGCAAATTCATTGGTTGTCATCATTAAAATTTTTCATTTACTAAATTTATACATTACGTTTGCATATACTTTAAATTTATACATTATGTATGTGTATATTTTAAATACAATATGCAATGGACCAATGATAGGATTGGTATCTTATTCATCTCCCATCTCAAGAATTAAATCCATTTTAACCACTTAATATAATAATTATCTTGTATCCTATTTCAATAGAGGTCGATATGCCTAATCATTTAAACGGCATTCTTGAATTGTCTTTATGTCGTAGTCTTACGAAGTATATGTACATCGTACATGTATTCAGTGTCTGCTGAAATAAGAGACCAAGTTCTGCAATTGCTTTCATTGTGATATAAAAATGAAATATTTTATCAAATGAATAAGATACATTAGCCTTCAAGATTCCAAACGCTCATAAATTTTTGTATCCATTTTCACAATTTCGTTTACCTAATCTTTATATGTACATACGTAGATAAAATCATGTAAGTGAGAAACAACTTTCTCGTTAAGTTTGTGCATATTCAACGGCCAATGCATAAAATAAGTGTACACATCTCCGGAGACAGAATTTACAATTAAAAATAAAATAAAAAAAAAGAAAGTAACCTTAACCGATATAATCTGCCTTTTATTTTCCAAAAATAGTTTTATTTGTTTACGCAAAATAACTTGTAAGGTACGTTAATATATCGTCGTAACGTTAAAAAAGAAATACATATCTCGATACCTTCTTCAATATACATCGTCTTAAATAACTTTTATAAATCCCATTTCTTGATATTGACAGAAATTTCTAATTCCAATAACACATTTCGACACAATATAAACTATAAACTACATTAAATTATATGAATTTAGTTTTGGTGAAATGTAAATCATAATCATCTATCTCTCGGTAAATATACAATTTGTCCATAATCTTTGAAAAAAAAAAAGAAAATAAAATAATACATAGATAAAGCAAGTTTATACATTTAAATCCAGACTTATCAGAGTAAATAAGTGCTATTATTATCTTCTTTAAAGGAAAGAATATAATATATTTAAGTGGCTAAATTATAGTTTGACACCACCATAGTTAATTAACATGATCCTTTTGATTTCTATAACAATGAATAATATTAGCAAGTCATCGATACAAATGATTCGAAAATAAACTATAAGTAAAACGTTATATTTTCAGCCATAAGGTTTCTTTATGAATCCATAGATTCAACAACAGGACATGGATTTACAGTTGAGGGCACTTTTTTTCTCTGCCTGTCTTTAGTATAGGCGCTGGACCATTCTGTAATGCTATTTTTTTAAACAGCAAAGATTCAGCGTAATGTACAGATATTGTACTTCTAAATCTACCGATCCATAAGTTGGAGATCGATAATTCACGGATTCTTATCATCTTCTGGTACTCTATTTTCTTTTGTGTTTTAATCTTTTCATAGAGTACATACAAGCCCCAGACATATATATTTGTACATAGCTATCATATCCAATGGAAAGTGTACATTTAAACTCAACTGAATCACGTACAGTTCACTCACAACATCAAAAATAGACTATTGCAAGAGTGCATTAGCATGTGACACCCTGTAGACAGTTATTACTCAACCAAGGTACCGTTCCTCATACATTCCGTAACTTTCTTCTCCTGTAGGAATCTGAAACGTAGACGATATGTACAAATTTTGCATGATATCACAATATCACTCTCATAAGTCTCTGAGTCTTTTTTTCCGTTAAATGCGATTTGCCGCACAGTTATATAAATTGTTGATCCCACATTGTTGGACTATAATATAATGCAGCACCTGATAGATATAAGAATCTTGAGATCATATATATTACATTACAAATTGATCGCAAATTTCAAAGAGTGCACTACGTGTACATATTGCCTACGATGCAGACTCTGTTCTAGGTGTAGCCTAGGAAAAACATGTAAATTACGTTAATCTTATGCTCGTCCACGTGGCTTTTTTCGAGAAGTTGTTTCTTCGGTCGACAAAATACTTGTGGATGCAGCTATACGTTTTGGACGTCCTGCTGGTTTACTACTCTGTTGCTGTATGTTTTGTGTAGATGCTGAAAATTAAATTTCATAAATGAAGATATTTAAATCGTAATAAAATAAATTACTTACCACGTTGTTTTGGCCTTGAAACTCCACTCGTACTGTTATTATTCTGTGGTTTTATGATCTTTTTATTTTCACTCTTTTTAACGCCAGAGTTATTTTTAGGAGCACTTACAGGTGGAACAGCATTAGCAGCCGTAGTACCGGAGGTAACGCTAGTATTAATGGTCGTAGTAACTTCAGTTCCAGATTTTGTATTTCTGTTTAATGCTCTCTCCGCTCTACTTGATCCTTTTGCAACAGATTTAGCAATCGCTAACGCTTTATTAACCGTCCTTTTTTTAGAACGATTTAATTTTGGTGATTTTTTCCCTGACTCTTCTTCGAGAGTTTCGTCTTCAGACGAGCTTTCAATTCGTTTTGATTTCTTACGTAAACTTTGCTTTTGTTTGTGTAAGCTGTAGTTTTTTCTTCTTTTCAATTGTGATTCATCTTTATAAAGTGAAAGGTCAACTGTGGATAAGATATTAAAATTTCAATTCCATGGAATACTTTTACAAAATTCGAATTATATAAATAAAAGATAAGTTGTTACTATAGAAACTAGAAGGTAATAATTTTTTATACATAAATAAAATTTATAGTCATATGTAATATATTTAAATATTGGTCACTAACGTCCATCTGGATGTTCTTCCGTTACTCGAGGTTTTTCAGATACGCCAGCTTCAACATCGATTGCTCTTTTCAAAATATTCTCTGTACGCAATAGTTCAATTTTGGTTAATTGAAATTTGTTTTTATCAATTTTATTCAAATTTAGATTCGTTAATATACAATCAAAGTCTGAAATTTCAAAATGATGCGATGTATGTAAATGTGTTTTATATTATATATATTATATAAGAATTATACATGTATTATGCAATATTACATTAATAAAATAAATGTACTTAAAATTTAATATCTACTATCTGTAACCAAAATTCACACAAAATTACCTATGAAATCATAAAAATCTGGTGAATATATTTCTCCATTATTTTTGTCTTGAGAAAGCCAACGTATACGAATTCGTCTGCTTGACTTATATATATTTTGCATTGCTTGACATACATAAAAGCTTCCCTCCGCATTTCTCACAGCCAAAAATTCATTTCTAATAATAAATATCAATAAGAATTAATGAATGTATGATAGATATAAAGTATTAGTAATTTTATTTATATTTGTATTTTTATTATATTAAGGAACAATAATATTTAAAAAAAAAATATATATATATACATGTAATTCAATGTAAAATATTCAAAATTTGTATTATTCTTCATTAATTATTACATCGTATATCTTATACTTTTATATATCTAGAGAAAAAATGAATTGAGTTTACATTTTTAATGATATACGAATTGTACTTACTTGTAGAATACTATAAGTTTGTCATCGATTGCTTTAGACGGCGGTGGCTTATTTAAATTTTTTACGAGTAACGCGATTTCTGGTAATGGACTTTGATAAGGCTGTGTTTGAATTCGATTTCTTTTTGGTTTACTTGCACCATCCGAAGCTGCCGATATTCCCTTTAAATCCTTTAATTCTCTAGATTTTCGTTTATTTGCTTTCGGCGAACCAGTGACTTTCGTTTCGACCTTTGGTGGATTATTCGTTTGTGACATTGCAGAACTATCTGCTGCAAATTTTGTATTTTGAGATGTAGCTTTTGACTTTTGACTATCAGCTTTTACTGAACTATCTTCCACCTTGTGCGAAGATAACTTTGTTTGTATAGCTGTATTAATTGGCGTTCCATCGGATTCTTTTGAACCATTATTTACAGAAGTTTTCTTTTCTTCAACTTTATTTTGCAGTTGTGGACATAATGCTAAAGGAACATATACGTATAAATCTAATTCATATGAAATTTATAATAAAAAATGTATTATGGACATACTAACCAGGAAAATCTAAACTAATAGATGTCATCGCTTGTTCAGTTTGAATCTCTTTTGGTGATTCTTGAGTAGGATTATCCGGACTTAAATTGTTATTTCTATTAGACTCGCTTTGTTTTATAGCAACAGACATAGTTTGTTCCGTTTCTGCTTTTATAATTTCCACTCCATTGGGAATTAATTTATCCAAATCCGATTCTTTTTCTGAATTGCTGCTTACATATGGTGGGGTTTGATATACCGAAGGTCTATGATCTTGTACCAAGCTCAAAGGTTGAGAGGGTGGTTGTAATGTAACATAGCTTAGTCCAGTTCCTGGTAAAGGCTTCATAGATCCTGGTTCTGATCCTGATACAACTTTTTGTGCCATTGCATTCATCGGTAGAATAGAATGACTGGCAGAAGTTGGAGATGTACCTACTCCTGGTATCGTTGACTTTAAGGCAGATGCACTCATTTTTCACTCAGTATATACGTCTTCCTAAGTGCTTATAAGAAATCAATATCGATTAAACGAAAATATATTACACAACAGCAGAATATATTTAACATGTTCACTGCTCAGCTTTATTATCACTTGCTTCACCACGTGTCTCATCATTTTGGATGTTTTTCAAGATTTAGTTTACATTTCTAAACCAAGCAAGACACCAACGACATTGGGACACTACCGATACAGTATCAAGGCAAGAATCCAGATAATCAAAAACATTATTTTAAAGCTAGACCTTGTAATATGTTCATAGCATATGTGAACTCAGCAGCAAACATGTTAAAAAGCAACAAAAATATTTGTAGATAACTCTTGCATAACTACTAATCGAACTTTAAGGTGATTTCTTAGCAACAAAGTATCAACATTCATTCAATCACAATAGATTAGAGCAATCAACAAATTACTCTGGATATCTTAACGATAGGAAAGTCATTTTGCTTGGCATAGTTTGGTTATTGGAGTCAAACAAGTAACAAATGGACAAAATACAAGAAATGATATAACAGTGAAAATAATCGAAAGGAGACAATGCTGAAAGAAAACAGTATATCAAGTATGAAAAAAAAAAACGAGGGAGAATTTCAGGAAAAGTTCAGACTCAGAGGGTGGCCGAGGAGGGAGGGGGTAATTAGAGGAGTAAACATAAACACGAAGGAAACTCTCGGCGGCTATAAATTACGGAAATACTGGAAAAACTCACGTAATACAGTCGATCGTAAGCAACGATGTAAAATTACCTCGATGTTATCAAGTCCTGAATATGGAATATATTCCCTTGGTAAACTTCCACGGATTGTTGACCACTGCGCGTTAACACACGGTTAACTCATTTTCCCACACACTTTCTTGACGCGTGAACGCTTTTTCTCAGCTAACATTTCATTCGGCGTACGTATAGCATAGTCAATTTACCAAAGATATTCACTTAACTTACCGAATTCTACAAAACAAAACGATAAAGGCTTGCGCGCTATAGAAAGCCGTGATTTTACCCGCACGAAAAAAAAACAGGAATGCCAGACGTTAGATGGCGTCGGTTCTTGGACGCCATGTGTGGCGCAAACTTGATTTCATATCCATTCTGATTGGCTCCATAGCGATCCCTTTGACTCTCTTTTCTGTTAATTTCGTTCAACTATAAAATTGCATGACAAGAATTTTTCTACATTCCGAAAATTCTATTTACCGTGACTCCAGGTTTCAACAAAAATCTTGTCTCTTATGAAAAATACACGTGTAATTCATATTTATATAGTGTTTCCGCAACGAAGAAAACAACGATAGCGAGAGTGATGCGTATAAATTAATTTCTTAATTTTTCGTTTGAAACAAACGCGTTGTTTACGCGCCATTTATATGTTGCACAGTTGGAAATGGCCTTAAATCGTATATACCGAAACAGAAAGGCGAAACGTGAACTAGCATTGTAAATAACTCTTAAAACGCGATTAAGATTGAAACGTATACACGGTTACGTAAATAGGTGCATTTTTTATCTGTAGCAAAAAGATTACAATTCAGGGGAACATTTATCGCGTAAAAGTCAGACCATGCCGAATGTTACTTCTTATGTATGTTTATATATGCAAGCCAGTCAGAGGTAACAGAAATCTTACGTCATAGTGACCTACAAATTTGAACTTCTATTTTTATCGTTTTATTCTTTGAATAATATAAAAACTATTTAAGTAATGTTATAATCGAACGCAAGATCTGAAACGGCCATGTTATGACGTTTACATACATCAGCGCGAACTGGGTGAAAATATCTTCGTGAAGCAAGTGTACATATGAATGTATATGTATGCACATACACCTATTTGTTTCATATCGCAGGAGAGATGAACTTTAGACTAGCCTAAACGAACGCTCCCGCCACGTCTAAGAGACGTTGAACGATTTCATTGTCATTTCCAAACAAGTATTATGGGAGAGAGTTAGTTATAATTCTTAATTGTGTAATTTATCGATCTGTTTATTTGTTAACGATGGCGCGTGCCCTTGTAGGTGTAAAGAGAGTTATCGATTACGCGGTTAAGGTATATTTTAATAATATAAAAATTCAAAAGATTATTTGTTAACATAAGATACAATAAGGAATTGTGTTCCATTCTTAATTAATTTTTTTTTATCTTGCCAGATTCGGGTTAAATCGGATAAAACAGGTGTCGTAACCGATGGCATCAAGCATTCGATGAACCCTTTTGATGAAATTGCGATCGAGGAAGCTGTGCGAATGAAAGAGAAAAAATTAGTACAAGAAATAATTGCAGTTTCATGTGGACCAACGCAATCTCAAGACGTGATACGAACCGCGCTTGCAATGGGCGCTGATAAAGGAATTCACGTAGAAGTGTCTGGACCAGAATACGACACTCTACAACCTATTCATGTTTCCAAAATTTTAGCCAAATTAGCTGTAGATGAAAAAGCGGATTTAGTCATTGTTGGTAAACAAGCTATAGATGATGATTGCAATCAAACTGCACAAATGGTTGCAGGTATTTTAGATTGGCCAGCTGGAACATTCTGTAGTAAAGTACGTCAATTGAACATAATTTTTATATAAATTGTACAAAAGATGAAATTGATTTTTTCTCTTTTTAGATTGAAAATAATAACGGCGAGCTAACAGTCACACGTGAAATTGATGGAGGTTTGGAGGTTGTTAAAATGAAAACACCAGCAGTTTTAAGTGCCGATCTTCGGCTTAACGAACCACGGTATGCTACATTACCAAACATTATGAAAGCTAAGAAAAAACCAATTAAAAAAGTAACACCAAAGGATCTTGGTGTTGATACCACTGCCAGAATTGATGTTGTATCAGTTGAAGAACCACCAGTTAGGCAAGCTGGTGCTATTCTACCAGATGTTGATACTTTAATTACAAAATTGAAGGAAGGTGGTCATGTTTAATTATGTCTTGTTGGATAGCTAAAAGAGAATATTTTGATGCCTTTTGTATTCGTTATACCTTTATTAAACTTTACTGTATATAGAACAGTTTTTTTTATACATCATGAGATGTTGTATGTTATATATGAATAAATTTGTATTGCATAAAATAAAGTGGTAGGTCACTTTAGGATATAACTGACATCCATAATAAAATAACATTTCATATACTTATATATGTCTCATATATGTCTCTTTGGTAAATGCAATAACACTGTCTTTCTACGTCGATTTTGTACTTCTATATTTTCACACATTATTCGCACAATCTATCTTGTGTGCTTCAAAAATGTGTTCAAAAATAATAATATATTCAAAATACATGCAGATTTGAAAATCTCGATGCACAGTAAATTGACAACAGTTTAAATATTTTTAATTCGTACCTTACGTTTGATTTTAAAATAGATATAACGGAAAATTTAAATTGTATAACTTTTAATATGTTCTTATAATTGTAATATCGATAATATTTTTTCATCACATGTTTAGAATACCATCAATTGTTTTACTAAAAAGCTTTCTAGATGTTAAATATGAAGCTTATGATAAAATATTTTTTTAAGAATTATTATATTAAAATATGTAATTTGAACAATCTTTATAAAGATTAGAATACACATTACTTAAATCCTTTTCTACAGAAAAGGTAGAATTAAATGCCAATACCCGTATTTATTCCCCTACTACTGTTAATTTCTTAAAAAATCGAATAACGAACTGGCATTTTTAAAATTTGCACATTATAAATAACCCAATCCAGAAAATAATTATAATACTTATTCTCTTTTCGTATCCTCCGTACCGATGAATATGTTACAGAAGTGTATTGTATTTTAACAGTCTTTCACGATTAGCCTGCTTTTGTATCTCGAAAGACAAAAAGAGAGAAACATTACTTAAAAATATTAATCATATTTTTACATTAACACTTTCCAATCAAATCTGGTATTACTGGTATGCGTTATAGGTGGAAACGGAGGTGGATGAAGTTGCCAACCATCCAATCCTTCGCGGGCCGTTAAACATGCTAGATATGGTACTCTTTGAACCAATCTAGTAACTTCAGCAGCTGGTGGTACTCTACCACCAGTTAATTGTCTGGTACATGCTGCTAAAGAAGCAGCATGAGCTACTATTAAAATATTCCCTACGGTACTTTCGATAATTCGTTTGATTAGTTCGTAACTTCGATCATAATACTGTGCTGCATTCTCTTTTAATGGAAGCTCTTTTGTTTTAATAATTGGATCGTAACTTTCGTCTACGTTAAAACCAGCTTTCATTAATTCCTCGGATGTCATCCAAACTGGTACACCATTTGGATACCATGCTAACCACTCTATCAACCCTGGCTCTATTTTCATTGGAATGTTCGAATCTAATCCTTTTAAAATGTGAGTCAGCGTTTGGATACATCTTAACGATGGCGAAGTAAAAGCTACATCTATTTTAATGCTAGATGATTTCATTGCTTCTCCTACTAAGCTTGCTTGCACTTCACCTACTGTTGTTAAAGGACTATCGTTATGAAAATCTTGTATATTTCTCGATGGTATTTCTTTTGGCATGTTTAAATCTCTCCTAACATAGGAGCCATTTACTTCGAAACAGTAAGGAATCCATGCTCCAAACGTAAAGTCTACTCTTTCTCCATGGCGACAAATGAAAATTTGCCTCGAGGAACTCGATGGTGCTTCGGAAGCTTCGATCTGTATAAGAAGAAAAACATTGAAAATGAAAGTCAATAATAATTATAATTGTATTTATCGAAGAGCAATCGCAATTAATCTATACGATAAACAATCTAATTTACTGGTTCATTGGTCGTTGCTATTCCATCAGGAGTATCCGCAGAATCATTCGGCAATAATACTGGTGGTTTTCGCGTTACTGGTATCTCTTCTTTTTCTAAAATTTCAGTTTTATTGTCTGTAAGCTGTATGGTAGTATGCAAGGTCCACGAATCCGATTCCGCTGTGCGTTTCGTGTGATTCAAAGGTAAATGACCCGAAATACCGGTCAACCAAGAAACACCTTCGACCCAACCATCCGTAGATATACTACACGCCCCTTCTGGAATGTAAATGTAATCTCCCACTCTTAATTCTAATTCGTCGTGTTCTCTAGGCATGTGAGGATGCGTCACTTTATGCACATGTGCATTCTGTAGCCTAGCATCTCTGGAATACAATCTAAGTTCCCAATTAGCTGGAGAACTAAGCGTAAGTTTCTCTACCATTAAACGAAGTTGTTGATACAAATTGCTAGGAAATTGATAAACTAACGTCAGATGGGAAGACTTTACTTGAGGCTCTGCGGAGATGCCTAAACTCGTAAGTTTATTTACATAACGAATAGCAATATTTTTTAGCCATTCCGCGTTTGTTTCTTTAACAAAAAGACCCATAAAATTGGGAGACACATAGGTTTCTAACTCTATGTGATCTGGCAATACATCCTGATTAACTATATTCTCAAGGGCATTTACCAATTCTTCCGTAGATTCGTCCGGAGCCTATAAACAATATTTTTATGTAATCATTTAATTTCGATTAATGTGCATTGTTAATGTCATATCATACATTAAAGAATGACACAAGAGTAATATGTGGCATATAATTATGTGCACCATTCCATGTAAGTTCTTTGCTCTCAGACCAAAATTTTGTAAGATGCTTGGCTAATGTACCCGTCGGGCACGCGTATAGAACATATTGTCTCTGAGCATCGGAATCCAAAGTAGGATCTCTGACGTGAGCCACTAGCCAATCGGATGCAAGTTGAACACCTCGATGTCCTGTAGCAGCCAGTGCCTTCTCTCTACAAATAACGCAATGCACGCTTTAATTATCGTGAATTATAACAGTTTACATTGTTGAATTTTTTCCACAATAAAGGATACAAATATTTTACAAAAGTAATAACAGCAGGGTCACTTGATAAATTAAGACATTAAATTTTTACGACAAACTAAGATTACTTGAAACGGACACATTTTTCTTAAAAAAAGGAGAGAAAAGGTAGCAGTAATATTTAGTTTGACAGCTGTTTGTTTACAATACGTTCTAGGCAAATGTTCAAAATTGACCGTAGGATCGCAAATAAAGGACGACGTACTTTTATGGAGGTATTGTGGTACTCACGCTCGGTGTTTCGGAAAACCTAACTGCAAAAGCGTTTGCAACGGAGTAAGGTGTTGTTTTAAAATTTTCGTTGGAGTCGGATTTTTCCGTGGCGGTAACGTCGCCATGACGGTACATTACGGTCGGTAGTTGCCGATAGTTGCTACCAACAGCGCTGCGATAAATGCTTTGAGGCAATACTAGGTGAAATTTGAAACAGAGATATTTGTAATACTATTTTAAATAGTGGACGAATTGTTAATGTGTTTTCGGAACGATCAAGAATTTTCAACGCATCGAGTAAATACTCTGAATTATTTTTGACCGTTTTCGTCGAATTTGTTTCGCTCAGTTTATTGTTGCAGTCGACGGTAGTCGACGAAAGGATTCTATTTCGATATTCCGTCGCAGAGTAAACAAACAGGTAGCGCTGTTTCTTAAAAACACTATACTATCCGAACGTGTGATTTAAAAGTCATCGTTTTTCCAAGTACTTTTATTTATATTAAAATTATAAAATCCAAGAGAAATTCAAACAACCCTCGCAGCATATATTATACAATGATATATGCATATGTATATTGTATATAAAATAGTACGCATTTAACCCTGCCAGTTGTCGTAGGTGATCGAGAATTTCAATTAACTACACGTAAGTACAAACTTCAAGCTCGAGTTTCTCGTGTAACTTCCGTGATGTCGAAGTCGTCGAGATATCGCATTTTCTATGGTTCGTATTGTACGCCCTTCGTTATTCACCTTTTTTGACAGACTCATCGCTCGCCTTCGCGCTCGCTAATAACGTCGTTAACGTCAGCTAATCTCGTGCTATACAGTTTCGTAATTGTGCTATTCTGTACAAACCCAAGAAGCACTCGTCAGACTTTTACAACAAGAAAGTAGAAAACGAAGTACTTATTATATAGAAACAGAAATACTTCCCAGGCGAGTCGCTTTTGTTTATCATTTTCAAATTTATTCCACCTAACTTCCGTTGACGTAGCCATGATACTTTAGTTACCTACGTACGATAACGAACATTTTGATAATTAAAATGTGACGTGAAAATTTGATTTTGTCTGTAGGTACTATTCTATCGTGTCTATAGGAGGTTCGTTGACGGTTTCTTATGGAACTAGAATACCATATTTAATACTTAATCTGTCAGCAGTTGAAACGTTATTATAACGTATCGCAAACACTTCTATACAGGATGTTCCAAAAATGTTGTTACACCTTGAAAGAGGTGGTTCGGGAGGTGATTTGAAACAACTTTTTCCTTAGCGAAAATGTTGTCCGAGGCTTCGTTGAGGAGATATTAACGGAAAACACTGACCAATCGGAGCGCGAATATGTCGATGGAGCGCTCGCGGTAGCCTATGAACGCGGCCGCTTAGCACATAGCCTTCGCTACCGCGGCCGCTTCAACGGTATCCGCGCGCTCTGATTGGTCAGTGTTTTCCGTTAATATCTCCTCAACGAAGCCTCGGACAACATTTTCGCTAAGGAAAAAGTTGTTTCAAATCACCCTCCGAACCACTCCTTTCAAGGTGTTACAACATTTTTGGGACACCCTGTATACATTTGTGCTGAAAAATAATAAACTTTTCGATTTCCTGTACGAAACATTCTGTCTAAATTCAAGAATATTTTTTTATTTTTTAGTTGGCTCTTGATGGACGTGCATTCCCTCGATATAACATCGTTAGCGACAAAATGCGATAAATTGATGCAAATATCAAGGTTCGTGCAATGATCGAAGTAACTAATCCAATGAACCCCACTTACAGTCTATTCTCAGTAGCTATGATTAATACTTTAATTGTTGCAAGAAGGAGAGGCTGAAAGTTATCGCAAGTATCGAGGTCCATGCAATGATCGAGGTAACCAATTCAATAATATGTAAATCCTATTTGCTTAGCTTATGTCAAGTACTAATCGTTACTAGTTGCACATGCAACGGACGAGGACTCGATGCAATTATTAAGGTTCTGTCGCGCATTTAACGTTAAAAGGAAATTTTGCCCATCTCTGGTGTAGGTGGAACAAGTAAATGGCTGTTTATGTTCCATTGCACGTTTCAATGACTAGATGCGATCTCGTGACTAGCACTACCTGGTAGAGTAAGTTACACAAGTTTGTCGTAATTCTTATGGTTTAAAAAGCAATTCATTACACATCAGCTAATACATAATATAAAAGAATGATACTTATGCTTACGAATATCACGGTCCCATTTTCGAATCTTTCTCTCGCGCGCGCGCGTTCTCTTAATCCTTTACGAAGGCACTGTTAAACAATCGATAACACACAAACGGGGTAAGAAAAGTTGATCGCTCGAAAAGATTATACTGGTTGCCTCGGTATTCTTTTACGTAAATACAGATTCGGGTTCGTCAGACGGGGCTTTGGAACCTTTCGGAACAGACCTTTTGGAACGTATCGCGCAAGAATACTTTTACGATTCGAGAAGTAATTATTTGTTTTTAACCGACTTCGAAAAGGAGGTTACTCTATTCGACATGTATACATTTTTTTTTTATCAGTTTGTAGTGACGTCGATGTTTACTCCCGAGCTCGAAGACCAAAGTCAAGGACCAGACGAGAGGGGAAGTAGTTCTCAAATCGTCAGAGTACCCTTGCAAACGCCTGACATGTTTTACGAGCAACCACTCTGGCAAGTTCGGTCGTCGCGACGCTGACGGTTCGTTTCTACGTATACAGATAGCACTATCCGTGTCTGAAATTAGTATTCGCAGGTATATTGTAAAAAAATACAAGTTCCTCGCGGTGTTATCTATCACAAGCTGATAATTTATTTCCATATCGTGTAAAATAGAGATTGTGTAGTTGAAAAATACTGTTAAATCAACGTGGCTGACAGTAATGCGTGCTTATCACTAATTACGGTTAACGATTAACATTATCCATTTAAACGATCGATCGAAATATTGGCAACACTATCACTGGCCAATTAAACGGTCACGTTTTAATTAGCCGATCGTCGATCTCGAAACACCGTTATCATGCGCACAGGACCGAATCGCGAAAGGATTTTCGCGTGATTCGTACTTTTTAAATGCGTCCTTGCGAGTTGAAATCGTTGTTCCGAGAAAAGTATAAGTTCACCAGACAAGCTGACAAATGAAAATTTACGAATAGAAGCGAGCCGAAGATGACCAATCGCGCTTTCGTGTTAAAAACGTAACGAATATTTTCTCTATATTTTAAACGAAGGGGAACCCCAGCTATAGTTTATTTTAAAAGCACCCTGTACGATTAAGTAGTCATCGTCCTTCCTAGATTTAATTTTATAATCGAATTTATAATTACTTAGACGCTTGGCTCGTAGAAGAATTTGAAAAATCAATTTGAAAACGTACCCTGTTAAAATAAGGGCACCAGTAGTAGGACACCTCTAAGGTTGTTGTAGTAAATCACTGGACTAGACAACGACGTTGTTTTATCTGATCACATAAAAGCGCAGACTATGAAAAACACAGTCCTCGAGTTGCAGAATCCTTCCTTTAGCATCTTCAAAGTAATTGGAAGACGTTTCAAGAGAAGAATGGGATAACATTTCATTGGAAGGTATTCAATGGCTACGTTAAGGCTGATTGTGTCTCAACGCGGTATCAATAAAAGAATGTAGGGTACTTCACAGGTGTTCGCGTTACTTTGTCCACGTGGAAAGCTTCGGAATGAATCAACCGTGTAAGTCGAGGATTTAATGCGTTGATTAAAATAACGAAAGTTGCATTAGTTGACGGTTTTTTGTTTCAGGAGACGCGGTAAACACCGGGGAAAGCGCTAGGAAAGTAGCACCGCATGTTTTGCGGGACTTACTCTTTAATTCCGCGATTAAACGATAACAGAAGTAATTGGCCATCTCGATTTGGAGCATCAAGCCGCGTACACGCATTGGAAAAATAATCTGTTATTTCTCTGTATCGTACGCGACGGTGGGACCTTTTCTCCGGGTTGTATTTCGTTAGAAATAGCTAACGCTAACAATTCCGACGTTTCTTTCCTCGAGAAGCGTCGACTACTGGTGCGATTACTTTATCATTAAAAACATCGATTCCTCTCACGATTCCTACGCGGAACGTTCGACTAGTATTGCACAAATATCAATTAAACGCTGGTAACGAAACCCAGCTTCAACGAAAACACGTATACCGATACGCGTTGTTAATTTTATTTCTGAAACGCGTCGTATCGATTGTAAATGGAACAATCGCATAGAACTTGGTAAAGATGAAGAACCTATCGGTAGGATAGTCAGGCTAGATTAGAACCAGAGTTGGGCAACCATCGCTTCTGTAATAATCGCTCATACGGAGATTAATCAGTAATCGTGTCGGATCACGAGGTAGAAGTGTTCGTGTCAAATAACGTTAAAGGTTTGGTATATCGGTTAAAAGAGGGGGAGAACGTCCATCTTACTCCGAAAGAAAACTAAATCATATATACGGTTGTTTAACGCACACATATCTTTTTACTAGTAACCTGTAAACATAAACGAATGATTTATAATTGTTCAGAGCTGATTAATCCTCGGTGATCATGATCGTGGACTGTATTTTACCCAATGCTGGCGAAGAACGTCCTCGAAGTGTCTCCGACGCGCCATTGTCGAGCTGCGAAGGACGAACGAAATTCGTGACACCGCGTTACAGGAAGTTGAACGTTATGCGAATTCTAACAACGAGTACAGACATCCACGCATCGACGCGATCATTGCAGACGATGGGAGCGATACCGAATCTATCCTATCGATACCGATCAGACAAGCTCTATTACACCTTTAAGGGCACGTTTGGGCACTGTTACAGGCTCCTTCGACGACGCGATATTACCATCGTAGAGTAGAAGTCGGTCCAATTGCCCGTTACCCATCGTCGCGATAAACGAGCGACAGTGTCATCCAGGTTTTTATAGTCGTGGACGTCGATGGAGCTGCGACGTCACTCGCGATCTTTGCTCAGGTCCGATGGCAGGTCACAGGTGGACGTCGTCGATGTGGTCGATGTCGTCGTCGTCGTTGGCGATCGCGGCGACGGCGACACGTTCATCCTGGAGGTTACTGGAAGCGACAAACCCGCGGCACTCATCGCTACGTTCAGTGGTATCGTGATGAACGGTTGATTACTCTGCGTCGAGTTTACCGGGGCTACCGTGCCTGCGAAACAATGCCAAAAACCTCTACTCGGGGAAACAGGAAGGATCGGGACTTTGCACGGGAACGTTTCGATCTCTCTAAACGTGCGAGCCGTATCGTTCTCTCTGTGAACCCCCGTTTAGTATCGGAAAGACCGAAGCGCATGGGATGATTCCAGGGATCGCGGTTTCTCACCTCCTTCTTGAGAGATTTGCACCGGTTGACCGTTTTGCCCGATACCGAGTAGAACTCCTGGACTAGGCGAGTAAATCACCGTCTGCGGCATCTGGTACATTATACCTGCGAACAATCATCGACGATGCTTTCAGAAAAAGGATAAATCGGTCTGCAGCAGCCACATAGAACTCGTCGTACCGTTGATCGCGTACGCAATCGATCAGGGAATAAGTTCTAGCGAATATTACGATCTTCGGAACTAAATGCCACGATTTAATCATAAGTAAGTTATTACTTTAAAATTCAATCACGTTAGAAATTTTCAAGAGTATTAATCAGGCAGTCAACGCGCAGTCAACATTAATAGAACGCGAATAGAATAATTTACGAATAATCTACTAAAATCGATCTTAACGTTTTCAGGCTTCCAAAACCTCGAAGCTTTCGAAGCAACGTCCAAACGTACAACAACCGCTAGCTCGTTCACGCCAGCGACATTCTCATCCTCCAAACACCGCGAAACGATTCAATCGGACCAAACTGCATAATTCAACGCGACGACAAGCGTAATTACAATTCGTACAAAGAATTCGACCGACTCGAAACAGTTTCATCCGCGTATAATTATCTCGCGTAAATATCGCGAAAATCGTTCCCTCTTTCAGCGGTACTAACGAGCTGAAAAATGAATCCTTCGCGAGTCTCGCTGTTCCTCTTTCGCCGACCAGCGGTCGACGAATCCATTATGCGAAAGCATCGTGCGATTACCAAAAACGAGTGGGAAGAGAAAAAATGAAAGAGAAGTCCGCCGTAGCAATTGAAACTGAGTCGAGGGGTAAGATCGTCCAGTCGATATCAACGCGTCGAGTTATCAAAATTCCGACAGAGACAGTTTGCCGCGGGGAACAATGGAAAGGCGAAAAAGAAAGAAAAGAAAAAAAAAAAGAAACGTACGTCATGGCTGCGGATCGGTAAGTCGGATGGCATCCACTCCATATATTAGCATCGATATTTATGTGTACACCTGCATCGGAGCGCGGCTTTCGACCGGATCTTACTTCCCAGTTAGGCATCGCGTCGTTGTCTTAGTTTGGTCATCGCGGCCCGTACAACTCCTTATGTACTCCCCTACACGGATAACCTCGTCATCGCTCGCACACTTTTCGCATTTTAAGTGTCCTCTTTCCTTTATCTTCTCCCTCCCTTTCGCCGTTGGTTCTCGCTCGCTCGTACGCATCATACGCGCTGCTACACCACTCTGATACCATTCTCTCGTTTTCTACGCTTCTCTGTCTACCGACCTACCTGACTGATTGGATTGCACACGTTTGCCCGCTTGGCTACCTACGGCTCTAACGATTTTCCACGACGGCTTTTACCGCTCGCTGCCTAGGTCTCGCCGTACTCTTTGGCACACCCACGAGCAAATTTGCTAATTACCCCTATTGCGTGGCTCCCATTGTTTTTTTTAATTTAATCGCCGACCGCCACAACTTTTCGTCTCGATTAACGATTCATTATCTTATCCATAACCAGCGTTTCTCACTCTCGAACTTCTACAAATTCTATTTTGTCGAGAATCCCACGCTGAGAGTCTAATTTCATAGGTTCTGATGAACCTAAATTTTATTAGATCGATCTACACGCTAAAGAGATAGAGCTACAGTTTAGATCCGAATAAACGTGGCGAGCCTACAAAGAAATTTACGCAGAAGCGAACAATGTTGCGTGTGAACACATTCCGGAGAAGGTTTCATTGCAGACATCGCTTGCTGGGACTATGAAAGGGAAGTGCGAACACATGTGTCCTGCTCGGTTTCTTTGGGGGAATATATATAGAAGTTAAACTCTGTAACTCGTGTATATATAGAAACTAAAGGCAGTGGGCATAATACTTTGCAGGTGATAATCTTGTACAGAAACATCGTATTAGACTACGCGTATGGCTCGATACAAAGAAGTAACCGTGATCTTGTCGAGACATCGGCATTCAGCGCGAGACTACTAATCATGAAAAATTGCGTTGGATGCTATCCAACGAGAACAACCAGACGATTCTTTAATGCCTTACAGAGCTCCCATTTCATGTTTAGGTCGCGAGAAGGTGGGTGATCTGTGACAAAAAGATCATGGAAGTAAAAGAAGAAAACTTATCAAGTTACTCTTACCAAGTAAGCAAGTACTCTATCATCCATATACCGATTGCCACATAGGAAATGGTTACCCGAGGCTCACTTTAATTCTCTAAAGAAGCGATTGCAGTCGCGACAGATACCCGTCAAACTGTCGGGAACCTTGCAGGACAATTTGGCACATTGCTATGACAGTTCCCTGACACTTGAGGGAAATTGACGAAGTCGAAAAGCTCGAAAAGCGAACTTAAGGAGAATCCAAAGTCCTCGACTTGTAAATCATCGTTTCAACGCCATTTTATCGAGGCCAATCGAGCCAATCTCCGCAACAATCCATCTCGCGAAATATATAATATACGATAACAGTCGTCGATTTGCTCACCGATACGTTCACGAAGCATCGGAGTTTACGACAAAAATGAATTTCCATCCCGAGAAGGCAACGTTGGCCCATAGCTGGTGTTATTCATTAAATCTTCCTGAAACGGGGTGAAACCGTCGCCAGGATATCCTGCAGTTCTACAACTAGAATTGTTTTACCGAAAATTGAGACAGAACCAGCCAGCATTGTCTCACAGAAAAGGATCTATCCTTCTTCGCATGCCAGGCCTCGAGTTTCACGTTACAATTATACATCGCGAATCGGAGCGACGGAAAGATAAAATTGACGCGATGGCTAGTCGCTTTCTTGTATTTTTTGAATAGATGCTCATAAAAAGATTTTTTAAATAGGCGTTCCGTGGAGCGCCTTCGAGCTAGAAATTCACAATTTTTATCGCCCCTATCCTCAAAGTAGAGCTTTACCGCGATAAAAGCAATTCGTGGTCCTTGGAGCGTAGAGTTTACTTAAACGTATCGGTGAATTAGAGTTTATATAAAATGTCGTAGACTCGAACGTTTCCCGAATTCAATCGTTTCGATGCTCTCAAAGAATTACACATTGTTACACTTCCAACGGTGGATACTTGTTCCGTTTTTTGGTAACGTTTGCTCGCGTAACCAAAAAACTTGGACTCCTTCGTTGCTTTCCTTATTTTATTTGGCTGATGCGAAAGTAGCGAGAATTTCCATTGTTTCTTCCGACACACTTACCCGAGTGGTTCTTTGGGAGATCCTTCGAAACGGGAGAATCGCCATCGCTTGTGTCTCCGTCGCTTTCATTGGCACAGACGTCCGATCTAGGTGAAGTACCGTCTTCCTAAAACAGTGCAGAGATACTGTTCGTCAGCGGAGGAAGTGGAAACTTTATATAACAAAAGTACATCTATCAATGAATAGGAGAAAAAACCTTTCTTACGTTCTTCTCATAATATTTAACCAATTACAAAGCCAAACCAGTGTCAATTACTTCGACGATTTTCCTCGCTATTCAAGACGTACGTAAACATTGTACAGAAGTAAACATTTGAACTCGCATTTTTCGTTTGAAATGAATCGTCTGAGAAGGTTTAGACGGACGTCGCCTCATTTCAGGTTCTACTATACATTTTGTACTACTACTACGTATTTATACAACTATGTTCGTTTTATATTTATATGTTGCGCAATCGACGCACAAAGTACGCGATTTCCATATTTGCTATTCGAAAGTGTCTTCCATCTACGGGCAATTTCCAAGAACTACGTAATAATTACGAGCCTAAGCATCACCGTGGACGAAAGATCGTCGAACGAAAAAACGCGATAACTATTTACGTTTCCATACGTTCATTTGTCTGCTAATTTTCTCGGACGTTAACGACGCGCGCATTCTTAGGCATTGCCGGCGTATTCCGATACGAGAGAGTACGTTCAATCAAATTTACAAGCTACCCGTATGAATCAGATTTTAATTGCATCCGCATATATGTATTAGGTAGAACGTGTCGCGTCGATACGAAATTTATGAATCATGCTTGGCAAGGTTTCTGCTTCATTATCGCCTCTGCAAATGACTATTCTCAACGGCGTGTCGAGATACAATCTGGAGGCAACAATCGTCGCTGTTAAAATTGTCAAGTTGAATGGAACGACTGGACATATTTCTCGAAACTTGGGAACCGCTTGGGGACCTTTGTTCATTTCTCCACTTCTCGCTACGGTGAGCGGACTTAAACACTTTATTTTTCTTAGCTTGGTATTAAAACAACATTTAATTAAGAATTCAAATAAAATTGATTCTTTGCAATAATTTTCAGACGCAACGCGATGGATGCGCCGAATGATAAAACGTATCAACTCGAGGATATACCAGTGCTCAAAGGTCAAACTATCCACGAAACGGGCAATTGGCTTGGCTGTTCGTCTAAAGCTTAGGATTGGTCAAAGCGGTAGCAGTTTTGCTCTCGAGTCGGCGCGAAGGGAAGCGTAACGTCATAAGTGATATACAATGATGTAGTACACCTGTATCGGATCATAAATTCCAGACCCTTTAACGAGTCGCTGGCAGAAAACAAGGCAGAAGAGAGGAGCGCATTACGCGTCGAGGCTGGTAAATCGGTGGATAACGCCTCGGTAATAATATCGGCGAGCCAATCAAACGGGCAACTAACCAATCAATCAACGGGAGTCTAGCAACCAACTAACCCAAGCAACGAAACAACCAACGAACCAACTTGCCTACCTAAGCTACCTAGGAGGGAGAGATGCGCGAGCTTGTTCGCGCACCATATATGGCCATCAGCGCGCGGCCTGAACTCGTGCTGCGCTTCCACCGGAGATTCTCACAAATTTACGCAGGGCTATGTGTTTCCCCGGGTGACTTTCTCTCCCCCAGGTCTGGCAGCCACCACCGGATACTTTTTTCCCTGGGCGAACCGTCGCGTCGCGGAAACCTATGCGTTATACATGCATTTCGACTCCCTCGTTAGGACGCGTACACATGTCGCGAGGGGACCGAGGATCGCGTATGCATCGAGAGAAAGCAAATCGCGTCCCGCTCAGACCGCTACCAGAGATTAGGAAGGCAGCTCGTCTTTCGATGGATCACGCGGCTACTCCGGTGGCGAGCGATCCTCTCGTTACCAAACCATCGATTTCATGCGAGAGGCGTACCATCCACGGGGACCGCGATGGACCCTCTTCTTATGGAAAAGCGATCCTGGTCGATTTGTTTCCTGGCTTTCGAGTGCGTTGTCATTTTTCTTTTTGCTTTCTTGGATTTTATGGAATATAGGGGAGCACAAGTATCGTTATCCAAGTATGTCGCGTCTCCAGATGTTAAAGAACTCCTTGAAAATGTTGAAGAAATGATCGCAAGGCTGCGAATTTTCAAAGTATTATCAAACTTATCTAATAGTCGATTAACAATCGTATTTACAATTTCACAGGACGCTGTCCACGCATCCAAAACCGATGCTCCCGTGCACGTCCATCACAGGAGGAAGAAAAGCAAAACGAAGCGTTCTTCGACCTGGAGGGGCAGAGAGAGAGAGAGCAAGAAAGAGGAGCTTCCGCGAAGCTCGAATCGTTTCCACGTCGCAAGCTTGGCTCTGACCGAGATGGGCAAAATTGTATTCCAATAAAAACCCCGTATAGTGATTTATTAGCGACGTTTATTCGATTGAACAGTTATACAGATCAGTTTTTACCCGTTCAACGCGCGGTGCTGCGGTTGGACTGGTACCGTGTACCGCCTAAAAATCGTACGGGGTCTTCGGCGTACCTGCAAGACTTCGTAAAGAACTTCTGGGCAATATTGTATTTATGCGATCCGTCGGCATCGGTATTATAATACTAGTTTTATCGTAGATCCATATGGTTATCTCGTCGGTATTTATTTACCATAATGGAACGAATCAAAATCGAATCAAAATGGAATCAAAATGAAACGTAAAAGACTCTTTCTTTTAGAATGTACAGATCGATATCTCGGGAAATTCCATTTATAACGTTTAATTTTTCTTTCAGAAGAAGAAGCAAGGCCTACCGTGATCTTTCCTATAATTACTCGTTAATGTCAACGATCCAACAAGTCCCGGGTGCCATGAACGTCGACGTAACCGCGCGTGTTCGTAAAGGATTTCCGAAAGCACGGAGGGCTGCGAAAGCGGCCCTTGTCCTGCAGAGGCAGGCGTTGTCGACAATCACTTCCGAGTCGCATTTGTACCCCCCATTACCACGGGTGTGTATAGAAGGCGCGACAAAAACCGGCATTCCTGATTCTTAAGTTGGACTCTATATAAGTATCTGCCATCGCGAACATTGCCTGTATATGGCGACAACCAGGCTTTGACAAAGGTGACCGTATATGGTATTCTGCTTCCACCTTCCATACCTTCTCTCTCTCTAGCTCTCTCCCCGCCATCTTTCTCTTTCCCTTCCCTTACAGCCCTCCTCTCCCACCTGTCTTCTTTGCCATTCTCTCTATCGCCCTGGCAGACTTCTTGCTACCGTTGTCCTCGTCGCTTCCTCGTGTCCGATCCATCGGGGTGCCTCCTCGACGAAATGCATCATAATCGTTAAGTCGTTAGATCGTAAATCATGGCTTGGAACCCCCGTTGCAATCGATATCTCCCACCCCCCTCCCCCTCCCATCTCCCCCCCCCCCTCGTCCCTAAGAACCCACCAAATCGCGACAGAGAAAAAGGGAGGTTCAAAGAGTATCACGGATCCTATAGGGGGCGTTGTTGTTTTCTCGGTACGATCTTGTTCGGTGAACAGGGAGCAACCTCGCTTTTCTTCGATTTTTTCCCCTGCTTTTAATTGCGATTTAGGTAGCGTTGTAACCTTATGTTTTAGGGGATGCCAAGGATGAAGTTCTTGCAGACTTTAACCGAGAGACGGTTCGGTAAAGAAGATCGCGGATCAAGTGGCGTGCCCTTGTTTGGCCAATGAGAGCAATTCTGGTCGAACGAAATTGAATTTCATCGTTTCGATTGTCTTCGAGAATCAAATTACGAGTGCACAGGACGCGAGAAACTTTAATATACGCGAACTTCGAAATATAATTTTATTCGATCGGAAACAATAGCTCTCGTTGATCGAAATAAGAAATGCTTCCTTCGAATTTATGTATACCGAAGGTAAGCAAGAACTAGAGCTAACTTGCGTGAGAAACGAAACGATTCTCGACTAGAATTTCTAAATACACGCGAATCGCGGATAGAAACTGTGTACTGTGCGCTAATCGAGAAATCAGACCTACCTTGCGAATCACGCTGAAAAGATGAATGGCAAAGTGGATTGGCTGTTGGATCGGTGTCTTATTTTCAAGCGATTCATTGTTTACAATAGCAAGTCGCAGCGTTAACGGGATTATTATTTAATCTTGCAACTCGACGCATATCGGAAGGTTCTAGTTCTTACAATATTATCGTTTCCATATAAATTACTTAGCGTACCAAGGAATGCGATCGTTGCACCATCAAGAAAATTGTATTTGCCGTTTCGTTGATCGTTCTCCAACGTCAATTACAAAAATGTAGAATTCTGGGTCGAGCTCTTTCGCTTTTCGAAGCGATAGAATTTGTTTTGAACAAAGAAAAAAAAACGGCAGCTTCGACGGGTCATTGATCTTGCTCGTTACGGTTTCGACGTTAACTATGCATACAACGAAACAGTTCTCCAACTGCGTGAAATAACAAGTTTCTCTTTCAGTTGGTTTTAACCCTTTGCGCTTGATTTAACATCAAGTTCTGTATTTCTGTAAAATTGAATTTATCCTCCGATTTCACTGTACAGATCCATTTTCACAGAGTTCCGAAGCTTTCGAAACAACAAGAACTTCGTAAAAACTTTCTGTCACGATTATCGAACTAATTAAAACTCAATATAAACGAAGACTGTTGCCTCCCAGTGGCGATCAAGAGACGCCTCTCGACCGCAAAGGGTTAATTTTCAATTGGACGAATCGCGAGAGAAGCGTGTTCCCGCACAGACGACAAGTAAAAGCTTCGATACGATCTCGGCGATAGCTGCCATATCGGAACGAAATCCGACGTCGTTAGAGGATAAATTCCTTAAAATTCCACGGTTTTTTTGTTTGTCGTTGTTCAACAACGCGCTAACTACGCGAACCAGTAAACGGTTAATTCCTTCGTCGAAGGAGCACGGTTTCATTATTCTCCTCGACGCAACTAATTTAAACGTTTCACGCGAAACTGTTACCCAATCGAATTCCTTCCTTTTCGTTTGTGTATCTATGACGCGTCGCGGGACAGGGGTGGCGAATCTTTTCGTACGAGAATTAACGAAACGTTAATAAGAAAACGAACGCGTCCCGTGGAAATTAATGAAAAATATCGAGTATCAAAGTTATTATGTTTGTTACAGGTTCGTCAGCCCTGTCCCAAACACGTTCGTCGTAGCTACGATTGCGTGCCGAGAAGACCAAAAAAGATGAATAATGAAAAAAAAATCGGAACGGTATCTTCACTACACAACAGGTGGGTGTTCTCTACCTACCTGTTCGTGAACAACTGGCACCTCGTACCAACAGTGTTGGAGCGTTCGGTAATATTCGGCTAAGTGTGTACGAGATGACAAAAGTACAGTCGTGTTTGGGACCGTATCATTAATGAACGATAATATATATACGTACGTGTAATATAAATATTATCACAGTATTTTACAGTACACTATTTACACATGTGATACATACTAAGGCACGCCAGCCGTACATTCGTGATTACCGTTTAGGATTATAATATCGTTAATTAATATGTATATATATATATTTATATACACACATATATATATATATATATATATATATATATATTATTTGTACTTTGTGCGTCGATGGGAGAAACAAAATTACATTTTCGTTGCATATTTCCATTCGGGTTCGATCCTCCCTTACTTTACGCCTGATCGATACTTTCTCTCTCTTCGCTTCCACGTGTAACGTGTCTATCTATTTATTCTATCTATCTACCTGTTTCTTTTTTTGTCAATATTAAGCGATACAAACAAAAATCAACAACACACAACACATTTATAACATACACATACCCACACGCACACACTTAAAGCATGCATAATGTGATGATCTAGGGAGACGGAAGTCGGTTTTCTCTACTTGAGGATTATTTCAGTTGGATAACGAGGACAGGGACCGTGGAGAAGGAGGAAGAGGGGAAAGTCGTGGGAATTAAATTAAATTAAAAAAAAAAAAAGAAAAAAAAAATGGTATCTTTAAATACTAACTACTTAATCTACGAATAGAGAAAATAAAAACAAACAAATACTACACATGCCACTTTCAGTACAAACACAATACGGAACAATGTACGATGCACAACAATATATAGTTATATGTATGTATATAAATATATATATGTTTCAATGCGCAACAATGCCAAGCGTGCACCGCCGGATCTACTGGCTCGGACTCGCACCCACGTACTACGATTTCTCGTTTCTTCGTCGGCTTTTTTTGCCACAGGGAAAGGCGGAACGCCTCGACCTGAACGACATGAGTATTAAAAAGGATGCCTCGAGTAAGGATCACTCGCAGGGAGGGAAAATGGGAAACGGATGCTTCGATTTTTCCTTCGTTCCTGCCTTCGAATCCTACGGACGAGGTACGATCGTTACGATTAAATACAATTGGGCCTGGAATCGGGACGAACCAAATCGCTGACGCGTTCACTAAATAAACTCGTTCCGAACACGAGGCTTTACAGAAAATAAAATCTGTATCGAGTTCGCTACGTGCTTGTATAATACGCTCTGTCCAAAATATTTAGAGGATCGGTTACGTAAAAGTAGAAAATGTGAAAATGTATTCGACATTTTCAGAACCGGATATTTAGACCCGAGTATCGCGAACCGATACGTGTTTTCTAAATAATTTTAGAATCGTCCATCTACTTTAGCGAACTATCGACTTTAGAGTATTTCGTTTTTGTTGGACATTTTTTTTTTCATCCAGTTCAGAATTTTGCCCATCGTTTCGGTTTCCATCTATCTCGAACAGTGCCTGGACGAATTAATAGTCTTGTACTAACAAACCTATGAGTCACTGTATATTACAGTATATTCGGTGTAGCAACGTTTTTAGCGAATGCCTAACTTCTATATCACGTCGGAGCCTTCGAAGCCTTCGTCGGTCGTCCAACTATTTTAAGCTGATCTGCTGAATTCAACGCGTAAGTGGAATCAGTCTACTTGATATCGTTAATATAATCAACGTTTTGACTAAAACAGCGGCCCACGGAGATTTGGTTCGACCCAGTTCCTCTTAAGTATCGTTGCACGGCGTCGATCGATCAACTTACAACGTATATACAGGTCTTTAAATAAATAAGAAAGATTCCATCGCCGTAAGGGTATTATAAATACGATTCGAGTAAACAAGAAAAACCGGGGCACGTGTACGAATATAAAATACACGGCTCCACCAGTAATTCATCACATGAGTCACTACCCTAAGTTACGATTTAGAACTGCCCCCCCTCCCCTCCCCAACACCTCTGTGCGCGTTCAACGAACAGAGTTTCTCGTTTATCGACGCGCATCTTGTGTACGCATCTTGTGTACGCATCTTCCAAAGAGTTATCCAAAAAGAACCCAAGGATTTCATTTTTTAACAACAACTTGAAATGCAGAAATTCGGATGTATGCCGACTGTGCGTTTTATTAAAAAATAAAATCGTACAGCTCCTCTCGAGAAACTCTGTGTTTCTTAAAGAAGCGAGACTCGAACGGGCACGTCGCCACGCGATCCCTACAGTACCAGTAGAAAAAGTCTTTGGACTTCCATTTAACGTACAGATCCAGCCATTGCTCCCCGAATCTTCGTTATCCATTCCCCTCGGATCCTACGGGTTTCCTTCGTTTCCTTCTTTTTCCTATAGTTTTAGAACTTCGAAGAACAACAACAAACGAGCAACAACTAGAGTCAATCGAAGTTGTAGAATCTACGACGACAGTGCATGACGGAGACATATACATATATATATATATATATCCTGTACAACGAGCATAATAGGTTTCCTATTAGATTCTAGCCCCTTCCTGCAATTCTATTTACACCTTTCGAACCAAAGAAGCTCCATCGTTCGACCACGCTAACTTGAGAACGTCGAATCGATTGTTTCAACTTTGAACCAACATTTTTTGTAACAAAAGTTTTAATTATTCCCCGCAGATAAAACATCGCGAATGATCGACGAAGGTGACGATCCAGCTTGGAGAAACTAATCGATCACCTTCATTCCTAACTACGAACGGGAACCATGGACGTAAATCTCGTATACGTTACAGTACGCGTCGACTGGACTAGATTTATACGTTGGAAACGAAGGGCTGCAACGTTTCCTTGCGCTCTAATCAGTTTTCTTTGAAAACACTGTTACACCGAACAAGCGTCGCTCGATTACCGCCGATGAAAAAGTCTGCCTAGGTTGAAACCGTACAAGTGAGGTGAATTTTACATTTTTTTTTTTCCCCTCAAGAAAACTATCCGAGTCGGCGATTTCAAACTTTGTCCGTATACTTATTTATGTTTACGCTAGGTAATTATTTCTCTTAGCTGTTGTAGGTACAATACCGTCCGAAAACTAGGCAGACCGTCGACGTCTCTTTTCGAGCCAATCGTACATCCGGAACGCGCATTGTGGGACACGAATGACTTTCGTTTGCGTATCGAGTACCGAAACCTGCTATGTTAAGTACCGTCGACCCCATCCTAAAGATGACAGGTGTCTCGCGCAATATCGTCGAAAGAAAAGTTAATTGCTCGGGCTCTCTTCGCTCGACATCGTCCCGATCGTCGTAGCACGATTTCTTGTCCCCACGATTTCACTTCGTCGATTAATTTAACCCTCTCGTTGCAATCGGCCGGTCAAAGTCGCTCGCCGTGTCGGGGCTCGTAGACTATCAGATCGATCGCTGGGCGCGTTAAAGAACAAAGGGCCAATTTATTTCGACAAACACCGTAACGCGCGAACCATCCAGAATATTAATCCAGCGTTTGAGCTAACGTTGCTCGCGGTTCACGAATTGCTCCGTTTGCCTGCGGTCACGACAAGAAAATAACCGTACTTCCATCGACACCGGATGCTATGCGCCTCATCGAGAATTTCGATATTCACCGTCCGGAAAAGAAAGTCGGATGTCGTCCAGGAACTTCCTCTCGTCGCGCTGATTCTATATTCAGCCTGCGCGACGCACGGTTTTACGTCCACCACGATAACGAGACATTCGAGAATTACAATTACCCGTAACGCCAAGCGTCCATCTTCCGAAACGTCTTGGAAGACCGACAGAGACTAACGACACCGTTAAAAGATCTCTCAGTGTTTCTTAGAAACTTCAAACCTTCAACGATCAACTACCGACCGTCGTAAAATCCTGACAAAGCTTTTTCCAAAATTCTCGTCGCTAAATCTGAATCATTTCCAGGTGCATTATCTCCAGGAAAGGATGGCTAGAAGATCCCGCGTGCTTAACGCCTAGCGTCCCCTGGAGAGTATAATAACTGTACAAAATAAAACTCTCGAGTGGACAGCCGGCATTAAACCGCGACAATGCGAATGTCCTGAATAACAAAAACAATCAAGTTCGCCAGTGGAACAACGAAACCAGTCGAACCGTCTATGCACCGAGGACACGAAGAATCTACAACACGTTCAAGAAACACTCGCGCAGCATCTCCATTCAGACCTGAGTGTCCAGAGTCGCGTCTAGAGTTCACCGGAAGTTAGTCTAGCCCTGACGATTGTAACAACGACGCAAACCTGATGAGAACAACGAGTGCGCCGATGGTAGAGATGAGGGATCGAGAGATCAGGTGTTACCTCCTTGTTGCGTGAATTTTGTTTGATTATTCGGAATAATCTGACCTGTTAAGAATCTAAACTCCTTCCAACGATGATTCTTCCATCCCCCATATCTACCTACAGCGCGACCAAACGGAATCTTATCGGGACTTCTGATCCACGAGTATCTGAAAGAAGCGCGTGAGAACATTTGAGAGCTTTGGATCGATATTCAAGATCGCGAAAGTGCGATAAGTGGTTCAGGTCGTGGTCTGTTTGATATGGCCAGGGACTGGGGTATTTATGAATACTATTATAAATATTATAATACTTTATAAATACTACGCTCAGAGAATTACGAAACCCTCTACCGCATAATTTCTCCTACAAATCAAACCGAATAACACGAAGAAGATGAGAACAGTCTTCGAAAACTTCAGTCCCTGCGAAGCAAAGTTCGTCGATACCTACGGAATTCCGTCTCGATCCAAAGACTCCCGAATCCTTTGCACTCCAGACAATTTCGCTGTAGACAGTATCGCGCGATAGACAATTATCCAGAGCCTCGTAACACCTAAGGACCCAGAGGTATACCTAGAGGTACACCTAGAGGTACACCTAGAGGTACACCTAGTACCGCGAAGGTCCGCGTATCCTCTGGACTGCAAAGAAATCGAATTCGCTGCGCGCCGTCAGGTCCTAAGCGAGCTACAGCTGGGGTTCTCCTCGAGTGGATCACGGATACCGACATGGCAACCACCAGGCGGTAGGACGCGCGGGGGCGTCTGGGACGTGGAATGAGCCAAGCGACAAACTGGTGCTCGTTCGAGTGGGGTAGTACTACCGTTGGGGATGCGAGTGCGACATGTGGGGATGATAGGCAGCGTGATGGGGCGGCAGGGGCGAGGGACAGGACTGCTGATAGGGGCCTGCGGCCAGCATGGGACCCGGACTGGAGCACGGTACGAGGTGCGAGCTCGGCGAGGCCGCGTGTGCATGCGCGATCAGGTGCGCGTGCTGCGCGTGCGAGGGTGGCGCGTGCTGCGAACCCGGCGGCGGTGGCGGTGGCGGATGACCCGGTGGCCCTCCGGTTGGCCCGCCGCCAGGATAACCGCCGTGCAGCGAGCCACCGTGCGGCGAGCCGTACACCAGTTGCCTTACTTTCTGCTCGTCGTCGGCTATGTTGTAGGTCAGTTCGGTCTCCTCGAACCCGGTCGCGGACATCCTTTGATCCCCCGAGGAGCCCGAGGTGGGCGGATCGGGGCTGTTCAGGCACGTCTGGATCAACGCCTTGCCCGCCTCGCTGGTTATCATCGGCTGGAGCTTTCGCGTGGCGAACGTGTACACGTGGCCCGTCTCGCTGGCCACCAGCAGCATCACCTGCGTGCCCGTCAACGTCGACAGCTCGTACGCCTGCGAACACGGTCAACCATTAATTAGGAGTGTCTCGCGTGCCTTCGCTTCCTCTTTTTCGAAGAGGCAACATTCGTTTGTACATAGAGGGTAATCTCTGAAACTAACGAACCGATTCTTAAAATGTTTTCTGCAGTATACTAGCCATCCACTTCGCGAGACCTCCACCGTAGACTTCCAAGTCTCAAATCGAGATAAAAAGTTTCGTACAACCGAAACGCTCCAGACTCGATCACTGTTACTCGAATGCTTCGAGCATCGCGACAGAGACTTTGTCTTCGTACCCATTATAACTATCGACGCTATCACGGTAGCTGTTTGCTACAATTGTCCGATCGAGCTCGCATTTAAAATAGGAATTTATGAAGATTAATCTGCCAGTAAATCGTTGTCGTCAGAACAAAGTCTAATATCGCGTATCGCGCCGGGAGTTACGAAGCTCGAAGACTGACTCGTCGCTCGTAACTCCTTCGAAGCCTACAAGCTCTCCCTCGCGATCGACTATCCTATAGTAACTAAAGCCCTTTCTCTGCTCCTAGGACGGGATTATCTCTGCTCGGGCTCTGTTTACTCGCACGTACGGTACCAACAAAATATGGAAACCACCTGTTGCATGGTGACCCATATTTCGAATCGCTAAACTCAAATTGCTGACTAGCGGTGCTCGCGAAACTTGGCCAGCTAACCGATATATAAATACGCGAGGATTCGTTCGTCTTTTTAATCCCACTCGCGATCAAACGAAGAAGAGAATCATCGTAAGAATCATCGTTAGAATCATCGAAGATCCAAAGGTGTGCGCGACAAATCAGTCGCGGAATAACGACGGGAACTTTTCAACGAATCGACAACCGCTTTCTATCCATGGCCTGGAGCAGCCTGGATCGATTTGTCGATAAGACGCTGGACCTTCGGAATGCTCCCACTAGGCAAGTTTTATTCGATAGATGTATCGTCTAACAATTCGTATTATACATCGTGCCACTCAACGCGATACACATAAGACAATTTAGGACAAAATTTTTCTACGCGAGTCTCTGTTTTTGAAGATTCGTTCGGCGTATTACCTATTTCGATTGATTTTAACTTAGAAGTATAGAAGCCATAGCGAGTAGAAGTAGCCAGTTACGAATAAACGCGTTAGCCAAGTCATACTTAATTCATCTGAAATTTAAACATCGAGAAATAAGATGTTCGTGCGTTCGCATAGGCAAAGCGTTTTAGTTCCACCTACGCGAGCTCGGGTATCCAAGTTTACACGTTTCGAATCCTTTCTTTGTCATCTACAGGAATTCGAAAAAAGAATCCCAATGGAAAAAGAAAGACGAAGACATTCTTATGCAGATATAGACCGAGCAATATCGTTTCCACCTACGCGAGCTCAGGTATCTAAGTTTATTATAAGTATTATTATAATGTTAAGACCAAGTCGAACGAAGATTAAGTTAAAGTTCTACTTTGAAAGCACTGTACTCGGTTACTCGATACGTAGCCATCGATGTTAGAGTGCCAATTAATTATTTAAAGAAGAAATACTAAATACTAAATACTTGGTCATCAACATTTCTTTGCGCCTTAAGCGCAGTCACGGCGAATCGAGTAAGAATACGTTATCGTAATTGTGAGACGAATGACTCACGGGACAACCAAGTTGAATCAACGGAAAACGCAGAAATTTATGATGATCGTTCTTTTTGGCATTTAGCTTAGTCTTTGATCAGATCTAATTAACCGGAATACAGCGTTCTAAACGATAACGGATAAAAGATTGGTACAGTAAACATTTTGAAGATTAACGCTTCCAATTTAAAATGTCTCAAGTTCAATGATTGAAACTAGAAGAGATAGATTAGGGGCGGTGAAAGGGAATAAAAGAGTCGTCGGCTCGTTCAGGGGGAGGCGATATGCTGCCAGAAACGTATATTAACGGGGATAGAAGCTAATAGTATGATATACAAAGTGTTCCCCTGAAGAAGTGGCGCAAGATCATGTTTACCAGGGAAATCCGAGTCTATTTTCTGAGTCACAACCTGTTACAGTCGCGCTGTATCAAAACAATATCAAAACGTAAGCTATGGAATAGTTTCTAACGTTATTCAGCGTTTAAAGGTGATTATGAAACATTTCATTATCCTATCCGATCGATATCGAATAACGACTCGAACTGTTTTTATTTTTCACGGTTTAGAATTAACGTGTCACTTGCACTGAACGAGTACAAATTCAGTTGTTTAGAACACGAGCGTCTCGTAAACAAATTATGCTTTCGAGAACGACACCGTTTAACGACCAAGCGATAACTGCGTTTTCGCGAAAGTGCGCTTTTACGCTGACGGACCGAATTACGAGGTGTAATCATTAATCCAACTGTTTAAACATCGAACATAGACTCGGAAGATCGTCGAATATGTCACGCGACGCGCAAGTTTTCGTAAACCGAGACTCGGATTTTGAAACTCGCGCGAACGCTACGTACATAATGTCCTAAAAAAAGAAATTGTATCTTGTACCATAAATTTACAGGTCCTTGAAGAACGAAAGTAACGCTCGTCAGACCTGTAAACATCCAACGCCTATCAGGCGCGCATGATTTATTCAGAACTTAATAGAGCACATTTATGCAAATAGTTGCCGCCTGCACAGCTATTAACGCGAGATTTTTATAAATAATTAATTCGACGCGCGCCAGGGAAAAACTAGGTTTCCATTTGCGCTCGAGACATCGTTCCTTTAATGACATAACAATTATAAATACACCGCGAATAGAATTCGTTCCTTTTCTAGCGAGCGCCCGAACGTTTACGCGTAGACGCATTTTAGATTTAGTTGGAATCTACGTATTGAAATTCGAGTAGCTACCGGGAAATGGGAACGGTACGTCTGCGACGTAGAAACGAATAAACGTAACGAAATATCGCGAAGACATTGTCTTTACGATGTTAAACGCTTATGGCCCACGGAAATTATTTACGGTATTTCCTGTATTTTTAACTGTCTCTTCGTTGGTTGTGTTCCCTCGAAAAACTTGCGGAACATTTACGAAACGAAATTTTCGATAAGCGAAGCGTAACTTTCTTCAACGTTATCGACAAAAATTCAAGCTTAACTTGACATTGGTGTTTACCATAGCACGCCGTTGTTTATTACAAGATTAACTTTAATCTTCGTTTCTCCAATGCCGTTGTAAAGCAATTTTGTCAGTTTCGTGTCAAAACATAGCTAATTATAGAGACCCGTCTTTAGAAAAGGGGAACAATCTATCTTTGGTTTTCTAAATTCGTATGAAAGATGCAATTTCCCTTAGGTTCTTCTACAGATTCAGCTTAGACGGGGTTTCGGATCGAATAAACACACCCACGGGATAATCTAAAAAAAATGGTAAATGTTAAACGGCAGTGTTAAATCGCGCTACTATATCGTATTTACTACTACATCGATGTTGAAAAATAGAAAAAATAGTATAACATACAAGGTGTTCTTCTGAGAAAATGGCACAGAAACATACAAATTTCTGAGTTATAGTATGAGTATATAGTATGAGTATGAGATTATAGAATATATAATTCTGAATTATAGTACGAGTGTACATATATTGCTACAGCTACACACTACGAATTCGTCGATCTACTCGGCTATCTCGAATCCCTCCCTAATCATCGTGACGATTTCCGGTGACGAAAGCACGTCGTACAACTTGTTTCTGCTGGGTGTATTTTCATCCTAAATACACGGATAAGTTTCACACGACGTGCAAATCCGTAGCGAGCGCACAGTTGTCACTCGTAAATTGCGCGCTCGTAGAAGCCTGCGCGCATCCATCACGCACAGCGTGTTTCATCCGTTTTATTCGAGTGGCGCCTGTTAATTTTCGTCGAAAACTATAAACTATTTCATTTATTCGATAATCCGACGGATATCTTCGTTCTTGTGTGCATTAAAAAAAAAAAATCCCAATTTCGTGTATTAGGTTGTCCCAAAAGTTTCTTTCGCTTTATTAATAAGTAATACATACACGATATTTTATGTTTTATGTTACATTACTGAATTGTGCACGATTCATTTTGCTCCTATACTGTTACAACATGAATACCTATGAAATTAGATTGTCTATTTATATAAACACGACCACATAAAATAATTGAGTGCAACTCGCGAAAGAAACTTTCGGGGCAACCTAATATGTTACGTTCGTATAATGTGGCTAGGAAACTGTGGGACCTTTTTCTTCCGACCGATTTGTTCTTCGTTTAAAAAGGTATCGAAATGTATTTTACCATTTCACGATCCGAAGCTTCGTTATGAAGATATGAGCAATTAAATTTCGCTAATGTAACTACCGACGCGCGCCATTTGTATTCCAAGTCAGCTGATCGCGTGACTGCGTGCACGGATACTCGTTCGGGAGAAGCACGTGTTCAGGCGTTCGCGCGCGTAGTAACCAACTTTTTTTATATATCGCTAACGAAACCTTGTCTCGCAAAATGGAAAAGGACTTTTCGATACTAATATATTAGGTTGTCCAGAAAGTTCGTGCCAATTTTTAAGAAAACTTCAAACGCACATTTGAATTGTAATATACATTTATTTATACGTATATTTATTGAATTACATAGGTACTATTTTGTTCCACAACCTTTCCACCTTTTAAGGGATGTACATATATATATTATTTGTTTTCAGCCATTTCGACATATTCAGACCTGCACCACCTATCAAAAATCGACATAAGCTTTTCGAACAACCCAATAACTACGGTAAATGAATAATAAATGTATTTTTTTAAGGTTCCATAATTCTTGAGACGGGGGTGATCGTCCCCGCCCCTTCTACCACTACCAACACAATTAATGTATTCAACAACGGTTAGAAGAGTAAAATGGATCGTTACATGGCATTTAAACTCTATCAGGAGGATGCGATGTTTGGATAAAGAAGAACGCGCAAAACGCGAAGGATAACGGTTACCGTTTGGTGGTCATAAGCAGAACTTACTCGCCGCATCTTCTTAAACTTTGAACGACAGTATACCCACAGCAGAAATGTACTCTAAACGAGTCGAAGAAGTGCGTTTAAATGTAACAAAAAAAAAATAATCTATGTCAACAAGCAGATGGAAACTGATCTATCATTACTAGAACGCTGTTATTACAACTAAAAGCTGACGAATATTAACGAATATTACTCTGTAGCTCGAGAGTAAGGAAAGCACATTTTCAAAGAGACTGTACTCGACGGTAATTCGAGCAATAATAATAAAGGCGGTGTTTCATGCGCACCAATCGAGTACGTGTCACATTTTGAAACCGGCTTTTCGAACGCACTGTAACACGTTTCGTGTGCAAGGAGGTACTTTACGGTCGCACAAGAATCGATCGCAACGATCGATCGTCGATACCGATGTTCGACACATTTTTATGCAGCGGCGTCGCTAAGGGCTTACACTGGGTGGACACCAAATGACTATCCATAAAATTCGTGTGTATCGTGAAAAGGAAAATTTATTTTCCGTGGTTATGACATAATTCGAACTCGTTGATTGCAAGACCCTCTAGGTAAGTGTCACTAAAACTACTCACACGTGCGAGTCGTTCCCCGTCGATAGGGTTAATTTTGGCAGTTGCTTGTGTCGCTACTGCCATTACAATGCGGAACGATGCAGAAATTACGAATTTACGGATAAGATGAGAAAATATTTCTAAGGATTCTATACTGTTAGGAGACCAGGATCATAGGAGTGACGTTAGGGGTGACAACCGGCGGTAATCCTAGCGATTCCACTGCTTCTGCATGTATAAAAAAAAATAGACTGACAGGTTTGGCCAGATACAAACCTTCTTCATGATCCCGGTTTTCCTTTTGGAGAAGGTCGTATACCTTCGGAGCTTATTGTCGATGTACTCCATCTTAATCTTGACCCGTCCTTTGGTTTTCTTGCCGTTCGATGGGGGTGACTTTTTCGGTTGGCCCAAACTCGTGAATGACTCCTCGAGATTGTCGGGTACACACTCCGCAGACATCGACATGCCTTGCTGTTGCGAAAGCGCTTGCCGTGCGTTGCTGTCATCGTAACATACGTCCGAGGTGGTCCTCTTGATACCCCTCTGAACGGGTCCCACACCGGCGTTCGGTGCGCCTGCAGCAGCCGCCGCGGCCATCATGGTGGCGCCACCGCGGCTTATTTGAGAAGTTGTAAGCTGGGAGGTGGACGGTCGGCCGTACATTTCCGAGCCAGCGTCGCTGCCTATCATCCCCATGCTGTACCCAAGACTTGCGTACCGACTATCTCTTCCGCCGCTAGGGTTGTCCATCACGGACTCGCACACATTTATTCCCTTTCCCTCGGCCCTTCTCCGCCACAGAATCGCGAAAAGTCGGCGCAATGTTTCCCACGTGATCGACCATCTAGAGGAACACGGGACAACAACGCGCACTGCACGAGCGCTCCCCGCGAACTGAATGCGCGCAGAGTATCGTAACTTGACCTACGTGCTAACGCGGTGCCTCCGTACGTTGCGGCGCAACTTCTACCCCCACCAACGACCAGCCACGCGGTGAAAAAGTAGTCCGCTAGTTCCGTGCCGCGTTTACCACGGAACGATTTTTGATAATTTCGATATGAAAAAATCGAGGGTCTCCCAGTGGTCCACGATTCGACGACGAACGGCTTTCGAGCGACTTCGATATTCCGAAATTCACGGCGAAAAGATGACGCGGAGTGGTACAGGAATCGACGAGAGGGCGTCCCCGGCTGCCATATTTAGAAGTAGACGTTACCATATTAGGGAAAGTTTGCCAAATATGGTGAACAGAGGTGGTCCTTCCTTTTCAAATGATCACTCGGCGCGCCGCGACAAAACACCAATCCAACTGACAGTAGCGCTTCCTGCACGCCTCTCCTCCCCCTCTTCTCTTTTACCGGTATGTCCTTCCTATTTCTACGTGCCTGCTAAAACATAAGGCTGATAAGCGGCTCTCTGTGTAGGGCCGCTATTTCTTGCACCGCGTACGAGCTTTCCGTGCTTTCATCAACCTTTGTTTACGTTTAGATCGACCGATGCGCGTTGCAGTTTCGTTGAACGCAACCTGATCGCGAAGCTGGCAACGTTGTCGCAGAACTTTCCTGGTACTAGTTTTGGAACGTATCAAATTATCTCGATTCCTCGAAAATCCGAAACCTCTAAATCAAAATTTCAACGTTGCGTGGGTAAAAGGATGGGAGTTTGTTACAGTTACGTTACGCCGGGCTATCGTTTATGCTTATGTTAGTTAGAGCATCGATTAGGATGCTGCTCTCGATCCTGGTGAATGCCCATTCAACGTCGTTCGTATGATCTCGATGTAAATCACACTTTAATATTTATAACTCGGTGTAAATACAACATACTATAAATTTTGTTGAACGAATCTTTAAACTTTACGGAATTAACCATAGTAACGAGTACAGGTATTAAAGCTCCATTTTAAAACAAAAAAAGGTAGCCCGCGAAGTGACCCTTGGCATCTTTTTTCTCCCTTAAAACTGGTTACTTTTTGTCTGAATAATTTTTCAATACGACTTCAAATTTTACAAAAATTGCGTCGGTCACCTTGTAAGAATTACCCTGTATATCGTTTCATTATTGTAATTTACACAAGGAGGAAGAGTGATACAATATAACTACAAAAATTTGTAAATGTATTCTTACAGTCTTATATACAAAGATTCTTTAACTTTATAAATTATTTTTTTTTTAATGTATTCTCCATTTTAACATTATCCTAGAATAAAATAAAAAACTGATTTTAACATAACATAACATAACATAAGCAATTATTAATACAAATTATTTAATAAAATTATGTATTCGCGTATTCCGGACGTTACTGTAGTAATGTACACAACGAGGAAGACTTATATCTCGTAGATTACAAATTATATATTATAAAATAATTCATTCATTTGTAAAAAAAAAATAAATTATTCACCAGATGCTATTGTGTGCGCTGCAGAAATTAATGTATCGTGAACTTCTCTAGCATATGCAACTTGTGCTCTGACGGTCATTAAAAATTGAGGATAGGTCAAAGCAGGTCCTTCTTGCACACCCACGGTATCTGTACGTGTTGGTATGACGGATACTGGTAGGTAGCGTACAGCACTGGAATTCTGTGATAAACACTCTATAGAAGTTTTCAAATGTAATTCTATTTGATCACAGATAGAATAAAATTCTTCCATATTTTTATTAAAACGGTGGTCGGGTTGGTCTATACCCTTAAGAGATCCGACATCTACTAAACTATTTTGATGCAATGTATGTGCTGCAGTTTTAAGAGCTATGGCTAACGTTTCTCTTAACGGACCAATCAATGATTTAACTTTAGAAATATTGTCAAGTTTTTCCTGTGCTTGTTGCTGCTGTTGTTGTTGCTGTTGTTGAACCTGTTGCGGCTGTGCTTGCTGCGGGTTTTGAGGAAGTTGAGGATTTACAGACTGAGTCATCTGTCCTACCCCGATCGCTCCTGGTTGTTGAATAGGAGGAATGTTCATATCAACCCTAATTATATTGCAATTAAAAGAAATTATACTATTATATTAGAATAAATTTCACACAAATATATTCTGTATGTTTACATAATATTAATAATTGCAGAAATGGCATTAATACGCAAACTGTTATAACAGATCAATTGTAACCTTAAAGTGCGATTCAATGGAGATTATTAATTCACCGCTTATTAATGTTAAATTTATTTTGATGAGTTCCAGTATATCTTTTTACATTGACATGAACGAAAAAGCGACAAATGTACATGGAATTTTACCTATTTTGTTACAAAATATTTGTAGAATACATAAAATACTTTACTACGTTCAAACTGATTCCAACCATAGACTAGTTATAGTACCATCCACACGAAGAATGTTTAATTTCATTACAGTCCACCTTAATCTGAAAATACAGAAACAGAACATCAAAGGTTCCAAAAGATTCTGATAAGAATAGTTTCTGTAAAACTACCCTGTGGTGGAAATATCAGGAAATATCCTTCGAAAAAGGTCATCGCTCATTAAGCCGCTCTTTGAGCGGGTTTTAGTATTAGTGGCGCCATCGGTGGCAAGACGCCCAAGTTTGTAGTGAAAATAGTTTCCACCGTTTCTATAAGATGGCGCCAACGATATTTTTTAAACAAATATTCTTTATTTTTCATAAATGCATAAATAATATAATTCCTTGCTTCATAACACTACATTACACTAGCTAATATGTTAAATTTATCATTTTTATAAATATTATAGTTATTTAAACAGCAGTAATTATCGACCCCTTTTGTTAGTTTTGTCCACTACAAACTTGGGCGTTTTCCCACCGATGGCGTCACTACTACAAAATCCGTTCACAGAGCTGCTTAGTGAGCGGTAGAACCTTTCTAAATGCACCCATTGAAAACATTCTTTGCGTAATATCACAAATGGTCACAAAGTCACGAATATTTACTACAAATCGTGAGGTCTCACAAAGTTTAAAGTGCCTTTCAGTTTGGAATGAATACTTTTTTAAATTTTAATTGTACAGATGAAATAGTGAGTAGATAACGATCATAAATTTCGTCAATAAAGTATACACAGAATAGTGAATATTCTATTCTCAGACAAATAAATGCATATTTGGTATAAGTTTATTACTCTAGCACAATTTTTTATTTTATTTGTACAAACTATTACAGTTTAATATTAATATATTTTCCTCGTATTCCAGTAAAATTGAAAATGCAACGGGAAGAAAAGCAATTGGATTCTGCCTTGGAGGCTATTATTATGAGAATAAACGACTTAAAAACAGCTATAGCTGCAATGATATTCAAATTGGAACACGAATACGAAACGTTAAATTGGCCTAATTTTCTTGATAACTTCGCACTTATTTCAGGACATGTAAGTAATATTACAAAACAAATTTCAAATTTTATTTTTTTATGATTTATTATAGATTATATTAATTTAAAATACTGATAAAGAATAAAAAAACAAGTAACAAAAGAAATATAAATGTTTTTTTCAAATTCTTGAATGTAGTAAAGTTATACAATTAAATTTTTTATATAAATCTGTTTAATTACAACTAATTTTAATTAAAATAAAAAATTATAGTTAACTAGCCTCTCAAAAATTCTTGGTCATGATAAACCACCGAACCTGAGAAACCTAACAGTTCTACCATTACGATTATGTCCTGAAAAAGATGAAGAACTACTTCGATTAACTGAAGGCAGAATTTCTACGTTTGCTCATGACCTAGTACCAGATTATCTACGCACTAAAGTGGAGCCTCAAGCTGAACAAAAAATGATACAGCTTGAAGCAAAAGCTGCAAATTTAAATTATGAAACTTCACATGTAAGATAACATATTTTTTATTTATTTTCTACATATACATAAAAGTTGCCTATGAAATACTATTTACAAATTCTCTTTTTTTATAGTGTATGTAAATACATCTAAAAATTTAATTCAAATCACTCTCAAAAATATTTTAAGACACGGATACAATTGTATGTCTGTATTGTGTAATTGTAGAAGCTTAAAGATAACTTAAGATGTTCTATTTCTCTGTTAATGTGCTAACTAAACAACAACTAGGACTGCAATGTAAGCTACTATCAGCTAGCTTTCAGCTTCTATTAGTTCCATTCGCTTTGGACTGAAATTGAAATTGAAAAATTATATTTGAATGGTTTATTTGTGAATTTTTATTAGATTTTATACCGATGCATATTTTAAAAAACTAAGTATACAACTATATAGATACATTTATACATGTTCATATGTATAAGGTTATACACATCTTATAGTTATTATTTAATGAAAATGATTTTCCTTCAATAGTTTACAGCATTATACAAGCAAACTTTTGTAATCGGTCCATTTAGCGAGTGGAACACCAAATATCTTGTTTTCTAAAATATGTATGAATTTCATCATTTTCAGAAACAAGTGGCGCAATACACAAAAGTTATTAGTCATATATGGGATATAGCGAACAAGGCACGCGAAGAATGGGAAAGCGAAGCTGGATCTAGAGGAACTCAAGCTCAAACTAGTAGTACAGCTGATACTCATGCTCTTGTAGCAGCTGTGGGTATGGGTAAAGGTCTAAAGGTAAATTTCATTATATGTATTTATTTATTTATTCCAGTACGCGTATATTCAAGTTTGTTTATTATAGTCTGATTCTGTCCAAATGGTTCAGTCTGGAGTCAATTCCGTACCTAGCGGAATGATGGTTGGTAGGCCTGGAAGTCAACAATCTCCAGGACAGGGATCTCTCGGAAATCCATCTCGTAAGATATTTATTATAATTTATTTAATTTTATGCTAATAATACTATTTTATAATTAAAATTTATATCTACAATCATAATAAATACATCTTGTACAATTACAGTGGGACAAATGAGTAAAGCTCCAAGTACAATAAAAACTAATATTAAAGCAGCATCGCAAATTCATCCGTACAGATAAAGTATATAAATTCGTCTAATTATAAAAACATAGAAAAATATGTGTTGTAAAGGTAATATTTTATAAGCTTTACTATTTTTTCCAAGATACTATTGCATACGATCGCGGAGATAGTTGTTTGTTCATAACTGGAATAATTGTAGCATCTAAACCCTGTTCATGCATCCAACACAATCGATCTCGAAGAATGAACGACTCCGCCGGTGCTTGTAACATTAGTTGTAAAGCGGTATACATTTCTACAACTTTTAGTTTACCGCAATGATTTTTCCATAATTCTATCATCTTTTTCTCATGTACGTCAAGATTGGATTGTACATCTAAACAATATTAATTTAGTGTGTTAATATTATTTATCAACGATTTATAATTGAATTTGTAATGTACTTGTACATAATGTATATGTTTAAAAAATGTGTTTTGATACTGTGTAAATTAATAGAATTGATTGTAAACATATTAAAAAACGTATTTAACTAAAATAATAAAGAATATTATTACCTTGTTCTTCGCTTTCCTCGCTTTCCTCGCTTTCCTCGCTTTCCTCACTTTCCTCGCTTCTCAGTGATCGTAAGATATACCTATTTAACGAATCTTTAATGTAAGTTTCGAAATTTAAACACTGGGATTTTCTTGTTCCTTTACGAGTACGTTTCTTAAGATAGAAACCATCTGAAATGTTTCTTTATCTGATAAATCAATGTCAAATTATTACTAAAAACAAATAAACAAGCACTCACTTTCACTTGCATATAATTGAAGAACTGCCCTTGCAAGAACATAAAATGAATGTTGACTGTGAGTTTCGACAGACATATCATTCCATCTATCCGCTGGTTCTTGGCACGCTAATCGTAAAAACGGTTGTCTTAAAAACACACCAATGTCAACATTAGCATCCAGAATTGCGGATTTAAGACAATCAGATAAAGGGAAATTATTAAAGTATTGCTTTCCGGTATTTATTTTTGTACTTGTCGATATCGATAATTTATGGTAACAACAAGAAATCATAATAAAAATACGTGCTGCTTTCATATCGAGAAATATTTTTGATGCGTGTATGCTAAGATCACCACAAGCATGCAAGCCAATTAAACAAACATCTGAATTTTCTTGAAATTCGTTATGTAAAATAGTCTCTATCATTTCGACAGAGTTACACGTTAAATCGCAACAATAGTATTTAACGTATGCTAATGAATCAGGATACATTTTTGCTTGTCTGTTTCTAGCTTTATTTACATTTGCTTCATTTTTTTCTAATCCAAGAACTTTGTAATTATACAAATGGTGTAATAATTGGCAAACGTATCCCTATAATGAAAACATGCATGTTTGTATACAGACATGTTAAAATAGAGACACATCACTTATATAAATGCGTATTTCTCACCAAACCTGCACCAAAATCAACGATAATTTTAATTTTATGTAATGCGCATTGTTTATGCACTAAATGTGCCAAATGTACTATTTCGTGCTGTTTTTTGTCACTGAGTCCTATTTGGAAATTTTTCGGTAATGTTGTCGATGAGACGGTATTTATAGGCGGTAATCTATCGATATATTTACATTTTTCAACAAAATTTTTTAAACTTTCTGGCCATCGTGGCTAAAAATGAAACAATATCCTGTATTTTATTGAAATAAATTTACATGAAAAGTAATTATATTTATTCACCAACCTCTATCGCTTTTTTTACGACAGTAGCGTTAAGTTCTTGATTTTCTAAAGCTTGCAAAGCATTCAACCAATCTTTTGGAAATGAATCTAGAATTCTTTTGGCTAATAAATCAGTAACTGGAGTGCTATAAAGCCATTGTGTTTCAAAAAATAAATTTAATGCATCCAGGAAATACTTATTTTGGTCGCATTTATTTACACTCGCCATCTAATATAAAAGAAGACAACTATAACATAACGCTAACTTTTATTCTTTAATTACAGGAACAGTTTATTCAGGCATTATGTATGTATAATTTGCAAAATTGTAATTTTTATAAGATTTATTGTATAAATTAATTACATGTGAAATGAAAACTTAATTATGCTGAATACTTTCATTTGACTGCTCGTGCTTGAGTTTGTTCTTCTTGATTTTGTATTATCCAATTTTCTGAGGTCCTATTTAGTAACTCATCGTTAACTGGTCCTATCAACGCACGACCTACTCTAATGTCGCTTTGACCAGGTTGTAAATATTTTTTAGCAACATACATAAGTTGATCTTTAGTTACAGCTTTTAATTGGTCCCTTTGTTCTTGAATATCATCGTCTGTTAAGTTACGCGTAAATTTAACCATTCCACGATTACTCGGAGGAACCGGGGCATCGAGTTGTTGAAATATTCCCAATTTTGCTTCGTCGATATCGCTTTGCGGTAATGAATAATTTAACAAAAACTCATATGCATTATCAAACAAATCTAAAGTACGAGTAGAATTAGGATCTCTATAAGAGTAAAAAGTAAAGATTCCATCTGATGATAGCCTTGCACCACCGCCATAAGCACCACCTTTTTCGCGAATTTCTGGATGTAAATAAGCTGATGTGATCAACTTGGAAAGTACTCGTAAAGGTGCATAATCTGAATCTGTGTATGGAACCGTTAAAATTGCTTTTGCCGCATAATTTACTGTGTACGGTAATACGTAATGAATACCATTTTCTTCTATTTCGATATCTTGATTATCGGTGAAGATATATGTATCTTCAGTTGTGCCTTTCAACGACTTGTAAAATTCAGTAATACTATCCAATATGTTGTCTTTATTGCTTCCAGATAAATTTATCGCTGATCGCAAATGTTGTTTATTCAAAACTTGTTTAGATATCTCATGCATTTGATTTAATATAGAACTTAAATCGTGCATTTGGGCTATTTTTTTCATTCTCGAAACATATTGTAAACCTGATAAACTTTCCTTAAAATTAGTAACAGGTGAAACTAAACTGGCTGCAGTGCTCATTGCATACACATGTCCTGAATCCGCAATTCCATTGATCAAATCTGCTGCATTTGATTTAACAAGCGTTTCAAACCTCTGAATATCCGACAATTCAATATTATTAAACACCTCTGACCACAGTTTCCACATATCGGTTACATTACGATCTAAACAATATGATTCTATTAATATTCCTTCCTCATACTGCAATAAATTACTTTTGTGTTCGACGACGTGACTCATAAAATGTAAACCTCCAGTTTTTAATCGTATTAACTGATCAAAATTTCTGTAATCATAATTTTTTGTACCCATCCTTGCGATAATATTGTTAAAGAGCGGTATTAAACTTTTTAATTCTGCGCTTAAACCTTGCGTATTGAGAATTCCTCGATAGTAACAAACGTTATTTGTTGGTTCAACAGCTATTTGTAATGGAACACCAATAACTTTTGAATCTGTATGCTCATATCGTTCTACGCTTGGTTTTATGTCTTCCACTTTCAAAGTAGGAAGAACATTTACATCTTCTTTTTTCTGTTGTTCTTGGAGTAAAGTTTGACCATCGACATAAATTTGGTCTAATTCAGCTTTGGAAAGTTGTTGTAATTTTAAATCTAACAATTTACGTTCAGCAACCATTTTATCGTAATCGTATTGTTCGGATGGTAACATCGTTAGCGTTAATTTGTGAGTATTATCCATTAAATATTCTTTGACTAATTCTTGAAGGTACTTGGGATTATTCTTCATTTCTTCCCTAAATTTCCTAATTGCTTCGTTAATTCTCATCGACTGTATAAGATTTCCTTCGTGATTCCATAATGGTGTTAAATTAAAAAGTAATTGTAACCCAAAGTTAGAAGACTGATGTTTTACATGCAGTTCAATACTATGCAAAACTGCTTCGATATGATCTTTTTCAAAGCCTTGTTCGATACTTTTTTGTACAGTTTCATTAAAGATCTGTTCTATTTTTTCAAAGTTTTCTGCCTTCACGCCAACTAAACTTACAACAAACATCGTGTCTTTACAATGAGCGGTAAAACCTGTTGTTGGACCAAAAGCAACTCCCAAACCTGATTCCACTAACGATTTATAAAATGCTGAATTTGGACCTTTTAAAAGAAGCTGAGACAGAATATGTATTTCAAAAGTTTTTTGTATATCGATTATATCATTGCACAGATAGGCAATACCTATGCTACCTTGTCGATTAGGATCCGCGATCATAGGATCTGGTCTACACGTAATATGTTCTTTTCTCGGTTTATTCCAACGTTTTTCTGAAGGAACTGCAGACATAGATGTATCAATTTTGTCTGTTAGAAGTAGGTATTGATCGTTAATAAATTTTAAATGATCTTCCAAAGGAAAATTGCCGTACGAATAGAATCGGCTATTAGAAGGATGGTAATAAGTTCGATGAAAATTAATCAAATCTGTATGTCTCAGATTAGGAATAACAAGAGGATCTCCTCCAGAAATTACCGCATATGTATGACTAGGTAAAAGGCTATTCAGTAATCGTTCGGCTAGTATGGATTGATTTTCATTGAAAACACCTTTCATTTCATTAAATACTACTCCTTTGAAAACAATGGGTGAATTTCTATCATTAACATCTGAGTGTTCTAACCTCCAGCCCTCTTGTTTAAAATCAAGTTCTCGAAGATTTGGTTTAAACACCGAATCCATATATACAGACTGTAAATTTCTAAAGTCTTTTAAGTTTTGTGTAGAAAATGGATATATAGTGTAATCAGGTCCTGTCATAGCATTCATAAAAGTGGCTAAGGACCTCCTCAGCATTTTGAAAAATGGATCTCTGCAAGGAAACTTTTCGCTACCGCAAAGTGTAACATGTTCCAAAATGTGAGGTAAACCCGTAGAATCTTTTGGGGTAGTCCGAAATCCAACAGAGAAAACATTGTTACTATCGTCTCTGGCTAAATGCAAATATTGCGCTCCGCTACTCAAGTGAGTCAATCGCACTGCAGTCAAATGTAGTTCATCAACTTTTGCAATTTCATCTACTACAAAGCCATGAATAATTTGTCCATTTTGAAATTTATTGAATTCATCTTGAGTTAAATTTATTTCATGTTTTGTAGCTCTAAATGTTGCATTCTTTTGCAAATGAAAATTGCAGTGCTTAATATATTGTTGCAATCCTAACGGACGCAAATAGGACTTCTGAGATAAATTCAATATTCTCAGCATTGTTCTGTAGTACCCCGGTATCTGGAAAACATCAAAGACATATAACCTAATCACGATATTCAACCAAAAGTAAATAATATATAATAAAAGAATTTTAGAAACTCTAAAATCTTACCAAAATCAAATGCCGAATACGTAAATAATAGTATGTGTACTTCGCAGAACAAATACTCGTATATTATTTATTTTTTGAAGTTAAAAGAAAAGACACTATGTACATATTTACGTGACTTTCATTAGACTTTATATAGATATTATACACTGCATAAGATTATTTGTGTTCGATTAAAAAATGATAAACATTTACCGGTTAAAATGAATTTATTCATTCTTAAGTCTAACCTTTATTCAGCGCTGTAATTGAAAAAAACGTTGCAGTTGGCCGCTACACATTAGAAGATTAATTCTTCATGTTGCATATAAATTAATGAACTTTCTATGTAGTATCACGTTTTCTAGCTGTTTCTAGCCTCATTCGTCCTCATTGATCACCATTCAAGATAATTCAAGGGCAGTCAAGATTGTACAAAATTGACAGAACGAAATTTCCTAAGTAATAGTGGCGCAATGGGTGCATCCAGAAAAGTCACCGCTCACTAAGCCGCTCTGTAAGCGGATGTTTTTCTACCAGTGGCGCCATCGGTGCCAAAACGCCTAAGTTTATAGAGAAAATAGTTCTCACAGTTTTTATAAGATGGCGCCACTGGCACCATTTAGAGCGATCACTATGTTTGGAATCGAAAAATTTGTAAGCTCACTTACTCACAGAGTGGCTTAGCGAACGGTGGCCTTTGTAGGAATAAACAAAGAAGGCATTTACGTTCTTTACCGCAAATTCGCCACCACTCTAACCTAAAATCTAACCATAACTCAGTCCATAAATTCTTACTTTCATGATTGAGATCTCTCTAACTCGGTACTCGAGGCCCTCTACAGCCTGCTAAAGCCCTCTAGCCGTGTAACCAAAGGAATATCGTGGAAGCTAACCAAACTCTGTCACGATGACATATTTTTCGAATGATTGGCACCCCTGCTTCGTCCCCCATCCTCTTCATTGTTGCTGTTTAGTACCATTTAGTACCCGGTGTGTTTGCGTTTTTCGTTGTTTCACGCGTACAAAGTTTCGCGGCGACAAGTTTAAGTAGTTTCACGGAAAAGTGTCGACAGATACTATTTCTGTGAACGAAGGAGGCAGAGGGGGTAGCAGGCGGAGAAGATGGAAAATTTGGAGGAGGTGTTGCAGGCGCTCGACGAGTTTCAGAAAATGCGTCCGAGCGAGATACCTCGAGAACTGGAAGACTATCTGTGTTGGGTCGCGAAAACCGGCGATCCTGTTTACCAATGGTCGTTGATCAAAACGCTTTTCAGAGAGAAACTGACGCGCGTAATGACCGATTTCTACGAAAGTTGCCCAACTCTCGAACTCGCGCCTTGTCCAAACGTCGAGCATTTCAATTACGACACTATGAAGAGCAATCTTTTAGAGCGTTTGGAGTCATTCGCGAACGCACCATTCACCGTTCAACGTATTTGCGAACTATTGACATCGCCCCGTAAAGAATACAATAGGGTGGACAAATTTATGCGCGCTATAGAGAAGAACATCTTGGTTGTTTCTACCAGAGAACCAGGACCGATAGCCAGAAGGAACGAGAACGGGGACAGCATGGTCAACGGATCCGTAGACGAAGATACTTCCGTAACGCAACCTCCTCAAGATGTAGAAATGGAATACTGGGAAAAGGACTGTCCTTCTACCGTTACAATTAGCGTACACACAGTTGAAAATGAAACACCTTTATTACACACTGTCATACCTACCACTACCGTAGTAAAGAATATATTTAGTACAGAAGAAACTTCTCACGAAAAAGTTGAAGTGACTTCCCCTAAGGTGGATATCGTGGGATCTAATTTTATACCGACTACCTCAGAGTTTTCTGGTGTTTCAAATCCGACATCTCAACCACAAACTCAAGACTTGCAGATAGGTCCCACCATACAAAACTTGTCGACCATAGTTCCTGAGGCTTCCGGGATTGTAGGTGATGTTCCGGAAGCTATAATGAACGAGGACACCAGTTCTCAGCCTAGTTTAGATCTGGAGAACGAAGAAGGAGACTCTACCGACTCCACACGGAAATTGCAAACTACCTTCCAGACAAAAGACTTTGGCTCGAATGAAAATAAGTCTTCGAAATTTTATGTAGATAATTCTAAGGTTAACGAAAAGGCAGAAGTAGGAGCAATACCAGTTCACGTACAAGAAGGACCAACTAAAGCTAATGATGTATCGGGCGAATCGGACATTGACTCTAAAGTATTGTTAGAGAACAAAGAATCCGATAATCCAGTGGTTGAAAATCCTATAAATACTTCTACTGAAAATCTGGAGGATAGAACAAAGTTAGGTACAGAGGTAGAAAATATGCAAATAATTAACGAGACATCCGCTACGAATACAGAGGAGAAAGAAGCTCTGCCTCTAGATAACGATAGTATAGGAAATACGTCTTTAACGAATACCGTGGACACGTCTACGGATACTCTGCTTTTATCTTCTGGTAATGCAAGTTTGGAAAATACCGTGTCCGCAAATGTATCCGCAAATATGTCTTTGGATGTAGAAGATTCGAAAGATCAAAGTATAAAAACAGAGTTAATAGAAGATCAAAAACCTATAGTAGAAGAACCATGTTCTAAAGATGACGCGACGGAAAATTTCAGTCATAATCAAGAAAAAGACGGTTTGACGATAATGGAAGCGACAGAAGACGAGACCAGAGTAATAAAGTCTGTAATACCTGATTCGATTCCTACCGTCGAAGAACCAGAAGATGCGGAAGATGTCAACGCGAAACCAGAAACTACTACTCCGTTCGTTGAAATATCAGATAATTCCGTAAATCAAATTCCTACAGTCGTGTGTCAGCCAGATTGCGAAAATAAAATGTCCGATAGTAACGATATAACGGAATTGCAAGGTAATAATGTAGTCGCTGCTGCGCCGAAAGTCGAAGATAACGACATGGTAACGGAAACCGTCACAAATAGAAAGGATCAAAATGCGGTAGAATTAATGGATGTAGACGACGAAGAAACGTTATCGGTATTCCAGCAAGAAGACGAACCAATGGAACAAGAAACAGCGCATATATCTGAAAGTTAATAATGTGTAAGAAAGTCCTATTACTTTAAACGCTTGATTTTTATTTTAACAAGATGCAAAAAAATATGCAGCAAAAAAACAAACATCTCTATTTAAGAAAATTCTCTATATAATTCGAATACGATTTGTACGAGTTTCCCTAAGCGATTCAACATATAAGACACTTAAAAAAATACCGTAATATTTGCAGAGAATTCTATAATCGTGTATCATTTACCGTTTCATTGACTTTGTAATTGCAATTAAATCAGGTAAATTTTTGTATTTACTTGTACAGAGACTTGTTCAAATGAATTTCTAAGCTCTTGTAGAAAACAGAACACTGCCTATTCCCCGAACGTTATACTACTAACGACCAGTTTTGACTATGATATGAGTTATAACTCAAATCAGTTTGTAAAAAGTTACGCCACGGATTTATACAAAGGAAGTTTCTATTTAGGGTATGGTTGGGCTTGCGACTGGAACGTATGAAATTCTAATGCGGCTCCTTACAAATACGATGTGTGATAGCTATGTAAACAAAGAAGCATTTTAAACATGCATCCTGTTGTAATTAAATTACTTTTAATTGGCAAGTATAGCTAATTGTGAGTACGACCTCAGACTTGGATCGCGTTTTATATTCAACTTGCCGATATTAAAATGGTTACGAAATAATTATCGAATTATTCGACTATTTAAGAGATTCGTCAATTTTGAAAACTTAACACTTGTTTGGCAAAAATTTTCACAAAGACAACAGAAAACTATAAATTTACCATTTATATCGAGCATAGACGGGATCAAAGCATAGATTCTGATTTATGATTTGTAATTTAATCGATGAACGAATGTTTTTGTTACGCGTATTCCCGATATTGAGAATGAATAACATAACAAGGATAAAAAGTTTCGGTTTTGTTTTCTAATTAGAGAATCAAATGCTACTGCTTTATTTATACCTTGCTATGTTTTCTGGTAGAGAAATAACAGTTGAATACTTATTGGATGACGAAGGTATCATAATGCCCTTTCTTTCTCACAAAGGAAAATGTATTAAACAAGCTCGTGTAATGATGTGAAAATCCGCTATTTAATTCAAACAATTCGCTTCTTACCATGTGATCGAATATACTTTTATGCAGACACGAGTCTAGTGGTAGATTACCCAGATGTAATTGTAGTAATGGGATATTAATTTAAAGACAACATAGATCGACGATATAAGATACATTGATAACTTAAAATAGCAGTGTACATTATTTTATAGGAAAATACATTAAAAATTATTACCAAAGTGGAATTATTTATAATACCTGCCTTACACCTTATCGTTAGATCGGTGAAAAATATATATACATGTACATGTACGTATATGTATGTGTGTGTATAGCTTTGTGGTTTTCGTATCGAATCACAACATGTATACGTGCTATATGTGCCCCACAAATTATTTTATTACAATGAATGAGAACACTGAATGTATTTCATTCTAAATTCCGAATTTATCTGTTATCAACGACTAACGTATTTCCTGGTGGTGAGAAAAGGATAACAGAATAATAAAGTTAGCGATTATAAAAGTTATTTAAACGTACACTTTTATAGTACTACTTAAAGATTTCTTAAGAACCGACATGTGGTATCGAGGAATTATTAATAACTAAAGCATGATAGATTACAGAATAACATATTGTATTTCTGAGATTAAATTAATAAATTTATTAATTATTTATTACAATTTTTATGTGATTTTCAATGACCTTTGTACATTGGTTTTATTTAGTTACTGCTGGGTATTTTTTTTACATTGCTTATTTTAAAATCGTTAAAAAGATATAAGAATTACCTTTCACTTTACTAATATATACAAATACACGCCGATAAACTTGTAACTATCAAACTTTGTTGTTTTTGTGACATATTACAATTCGAAATTTATCCAAAAGTTTGATGTTGAACTAATTTATAAAAGTAACCATTGCTTATATCCATAAGTTCTTTGTACGTTCCAGTTTCTGCTACTTGTCCTTGATTTAAAACTATAATTTTATCAGCATTTTTTATTGTACTGAGTCTGTGAGCTATGGTTACTACCGTTCGTCCTTTAATAGCTTTTTCTATAGCTTCCTGTACAAGATATTCGCTTTCTGCATCTAACGCACTCGTTGCCTCGTCCAGAATTAAGATTTTTGGTTCCTAGACACAAATGATTTTAAAATGTTATTATTTTATGTACGATTATTATTCCACGAATATTTTTACCTTTATCAGCGCCCTAGCAATAGCGACTCTTTGTTTTTGTCCACCGCTGAGAGTAATGCCTCTTTCTCCAACCACTGTGTCCAAACCATCCGGCATATTTTTTGTAAATTCCAAAATGTGCGCACGTCTCGCGACGTCTTCTACATCGTATTTCGTTGAATCGTCAACTCCATACAATATATTTTCTCTTATTGTACCGCTAAAGAGTATTGGCTCCTGAGATACAACGCTGATCTGTGATTTGACCCATGTAGGATCAAGAGATCTGAGATTATGATTGTCTAAAAGTATAGATCCTGAATGGGGATCGTAAAATCTCAACAATAGCGAAGCTACCGTAGATTTTCCAGAACCCGATGAACCGACGATAGAAACTACCGTGCATTTCGGAATCTTTAGACTGAAATTTTTCAAAACCCATATACTTTCTCTTGTAGGGTAAGCAAAACTAACATTTTGAAATTCAATATCACCTGACAGTTCTTTTTCCAGGATTTTGCCACCTTCAATGGGTATTGCTGGCTGTCTTTCGACCAATTCAATTAAACGTGCATTCGCACCTAACGCTTTGTTTAATTCGCTATAAAACGAGGATAGTCCGTTTAAAGAAATTCCCACGTATGCAGCATACATTAAAAATGCGCTTAAGCTTCCAATTGTAATAGACGAGGTAGAAATCATAACTCCACCATAATACAAAACAGAGAGAATAATCACATTTCCTGAGAATCCAGTTAATCCAAAAAATATTCCTCTGTACAAACTTTCCTTATAGCAGACTTTGAGCACATCTTCTAATTGTGAATTATAATAGTTCACTTCACTTGGCTCTTTTGCAAAAGCTTTTACTGTCCTCACGTTACAGATTTTTTCTTCAGCTGTTGTATTCAGTACTGCTAAGCTGTTTTGTATGTCCATAGAAATTTTCTTTAGATGGCGGCCATAAATTACGGCTAAACCGGCAATTGGCGGTACAACGCCTAGACCGAGTATTGCTAATTTTGGCGAAGCATAGAACATCATCGATACTCCGGCAATGCTCATAACAGCAGAACGTAACCCATCCGACACGTTATTAGTTAACGCAGAACTAACAAGTTGTGTGTCTCCTAAAATTAATAAGGTAATAGTACATTGAAATAACCAGTGTATATATGTTTTTAAAAATAAAAATATTACCTGATAGTCTACCAACAAGCTCTCCTGTACTACATTTATCAAACATTGCTACTTCTTGCCGCAGAACAGCGGAGTATAATTGTTTTCTCAAGGACTGAGTGATTCGATGTCCAGTAGTAGTCATCAAATAAACTCTGAAGAAGTTACATAGACCCCCAAAGACGAACACTCCGAATAAAATAATGCATAATCGATTGAGATTTTCTGTTATGTTTTCTTTGCTGCTTGTGTAAATAATATCAATCAGGTTTCCTAAACAAAACGGTACTGCCATTGTGACAGCAGATGAACCCAATAAGAAAGTAACGGCACCGAACAATCTCCATTTTTCGGGTGCCGCTAGCATAATCAGATTTTTAAATTCTGATGGTTTTTTCGTTTTTGTTGCAGGCCGTATGGTAGGGCTTAAAACTTGCTTTTTCAATGTATTGCTTCCACAGTACCTTAACGCTGAAAATACACATGGTTTCCCGTTGATCCTGATCGATGGTGTTAAACACGTGTAAAATAACTGCTTGCTATTAATCGCTGGTCTATGGTGTATATGGTGTTCTAATTTTTGCAGAATGATACTTTTCGTCGGTAACCTTCGGAGGAGTATCATTTTCTAACGCTAGCATGAACAAAGTAATTCACAAAACGAAAAGTCATCAGGGCGATAGTATTTCATAATCAACAACATGAAGAGGTTGGAACAACCTTAAAAGTGAAAATAAATATAATGATGTCTTTCCATTGGAAACAGTGTGTAAATATTTTCGTGCATATCGATACAATCAAACAATGATTATTTCTTTGTCATTCATCTTGATTTTGTAGTAAAATCATTTTTAATTGAGTGCGAAGGAATTGTAAATATGAATGGGAGTATTCAGCTTCTGAATTTCAGAAAGATCATCGCTCACTAAGCCGCTCTGTGAGCGGATTTTTTTCTACCAGTGGCGCCATCAGCGGCAAAACTCCCAAGTTTATAGTAAAAATAGTTCCTACCTTTTCTACAAGATGGCGCCACCGATATATTTTAATCAATTATTATTTATTTTTTATAAATGCATACTTAACACGATTCTTTGTTTTATAATATTGCATTATATCAGTTAATATGTTAAGTTTATCATTTTTATAACTAGTTATTTAATGCAGCAGTAATTATCGACTTCTTTTGTTGGTGACGCCATCTAGCACAAACGGTGAGAAATATTCTTCACTACAAACTTAGGCGTTTTCCCAGTGATGGCGTCACAGGTACAAAAAACCGCTCATAAAGCGGCTCAGTGAGCGGTGACTTTTCTGCATGCTCCCACTGTACTATCGTCGCGACCATAATCGCTTCAAATAAACGAATCAAAGCAGAGAATCTAAGAGAATCACTAAAACTGAACAGTTGCGCAACTGTCGTCTCTGCTGAATGCACTTAATGATGAGGTTATAAACTTTAAATCAACATTCGAAGGACTCATCTTAGTTTTTTTGTATTTACTCCAAATCGTCAGAATCAATGACAACGGATTAATTCGGACGTTTGTGTGTGCATTTACACAGGCACACACGCACACCCAGAACAGGACACGAACTCGTTTGACCTGTAAATAGCGAATGTATCAAAACATGGAGAGTCTATGTGACAGACATCGATTCATAATAATGTAACTGAAAGCACATCGAAGCTATATTCTGTAAAAAAACTAAAACAGTAATGACAATCGTGAAAATGTTGTATTATAGTACGAAGTTCGTGTAATGTCAAATAGGTATGTGAAAATTTATGCCAATTTTGTCTCCCCTAACCTTTCTCTGCATTCATGAGTTCCATTCTGTTTAGATGTTACAAAAGAAATCTTTACAACTGTAAAATTGACTCTGTGGTGAATTCTTCAAAATGTCGAGCATACTTGTGCAGCAGTTTGTCCAAAGACTTAAATCTAGAAATGAAGAGGTACGTAACAAAGCTGCGAGAGACCTGTGCCTATACGTTAAGACAGAGCTGCGGGAAGCATCGCAGGAAGAAATTACAGCTTTTATGGATGAATTTAATCACCATATATTTGAAATGGTATCTGGATCAGATGTAAGCGAGAAAAAGGGAGGAATATTAGCCATAGTATGCCTTATCGGAGCTGATGTAGGCAACATTAACACCCGGACTATAAGATTTGCGAATTACTTAAGGAATTTATTACCCTCGAACGATGTGGGTGTTATGGAACTAGCTGCTAAAACTGTTGGAAAGTTAGCGCTAGTTTCGGGGACTTATACTGCAGAATATGTAGAGTTCGAGGTGAAGCGTGCCTTTGAATGGCTCGGCGGAGATAGGCACGAGGGTAAGAGACATGCCGCTGTTCTTGTTTTAAAAGAACTCGCAGTGTCCATGCCAACATATTTTTTTCAACAAGTAACACCATTCTTTGAACTTATATTTAATGCGATACGTGATTCAAAGTCTGTGATAAGAGAAGGTGCTGTAGAAGCATTACGGGCTGCTTTAGTTGTTACCGCGCAGAGAGAAACGGCAAAACAAATGCACAAGTCCCAATGGTACAAACAGTGCTATGATGAAATCGTAGCAGGTTTCGAGGAAGTTAATACGAGAGAAAGAGGAGTTAACAGAGACGACAGAATACATGGTTCATTGTTAATATTAAACGAATTACTTAGATGTAGTAATGTTCAATGGGAAAGGAATTACGAAGCTTTAATGGAACGATTAAATTGTTCGTCGCAACAGAACGAGAACGACATACTGTCGTTAATGCCACGATTAAAAACGACGATAGTATCCAAATGGTCTAGCTCTTCTCAAAATTCTTCTAATTCTCATCAAACATTGTATCCAACGCACGAATCTGCAGTTTGCCGTTGTTTGATGCAAGAGAGATTAGACGATATCTACAACGACGTAATGAATCAGAGAATGTCTAGAAATCCACACATCCAGCATGCTCTCATGATGTTATTACCAAGACTTGCAGCCTTCAATAAAGAAAAATTCACAAAAGATCACTTAAGAGAATCATTGGCATACCTTTTGATGACGTTACGTAGTAGGGAAAAGGATAGGTATGCCGCATTTACTACAATTGGATTTATAGCAGTTGCAGTAGAGGATTCGATTAATCCATATCTTCCCAAAATCATGGAAATGATTAAAAGTTTACTACCATCTAAAGAAACATCTACCAAGAAACGCAGTATTTCCTTGGAACCTGCAGTATTTGTTTGTATAACTCTACTGGGACATGCGGTAAAACATGTTATAACCGCGGATGTGAGAGATATATTAGAATCTATGTTAACAACTGGATTAAGTCCGATTCTTACAACTTCTCTTAGAGAATTAGCTCATAGCGTTCCAATGTTGAAACCAGATATATCTCAAGGACTTTTAAGAATGTTATCTCAAGTTTTGATGCAAAAGCCTTTAAGACACCCTGGCGCACCATGGACGGCAACCAGTCCAATTTCTGCACCACCTACAGAGGTGGACATTCCATCCACGGTTCTAGCATTGAAGACCCTTGGAACATTTAATTTCGATGGTAATCCGCTTCTGCAATTTGTAAAACGGTGTGCAGATCATTTCCTTACGTTCGAACAGGCAGAGGTTCGGTTAGAAGCTGTAAGAACGTGTTCGAGATTATTACGATTGGCATTGAATCAACCAGGACGCACTGTAACTAATACCGTCTCCACCGTTTTGGGCAAATTGGTTGTCGTAGGTATCACAGACACAGATCCCGATGTGAGACTTTGGGTTTTAGCTTCCTTGGACGACTCTTTTGATATTCATCTAGCGCAAGCAGAAAACCTTTCCGCGTTATTCATCGCGATGAACGACGAAATGTTTGAAATAAGAGAATTAGCGATTCGCACAATTGGACGATTGAGTACGATGAATCCAGCTTATGTGATGCCTTCTCTGCGTAAAACGCTCATACAATTTTTAATGGAACTGGAACATTCGGGTATGGGTCGCAACAAAGAGCAAGCTGCTCGTATGTTGGATCACTTGGTCGTAAGCGCACCGAGACTCATAAGGCCGTACATGGAACCGATCTTGAAAGTTCTCGTTCCAAAGCTAAAGGAACACGAATCGAATCCTGGTGTCATTTTAGCCATACTGCGTGCTATCGGGGATCTAGCAGAAGTTAACGGTGCTGAAATGCAACAATGGATGCCCGAACTTTTATCTATACTGCTCGAAATGCTGGTCGATGCCAGTTCTCCGGAGAAAAGAGGAGTTGCTTTATGGGTTCTCGGACAACTAGTCGGGAGTACGGGACACGTTGTAAAGCCGTACATGCAATATCCTTCGTTACTAGACGTATTGATAAATTTTTTGAAAACAGAACAACAACCTATTATTCGGAGGGAAACTATAAGAGTGCTTGGATTGTTAGGTGCTTTAGACCCTTACAAACATAAGATGAATCTTGGTCAAATAGATTCGCAGCTGGATACTCTCACATCTATGGCTGATACGAAGAGCGATACCGAAAATACCCAAGACTTGACAACTAGCGAGATGTTAGTGAACATGTCTTCGTCTACTTTAGAAGAATATTATCCAGCGATAGCCATAGCAACGCTTATGAGGATCATTCGCGATCCAACGTTATCGCAACATCATACCATGGTAGTTCAAGCGGTAACTTTTATATTTAAAAGTTTAGGAATTAAATGCGTGCCATACATTTCTCAAGTGATGCCAAGTTTCCTCAATGTAGTACGTATGGCTGATGTTACTTTTCGCGAATATCTGTTTCAACAGCTGGCTATCCTTATCGCCATTGTGAAGCAGCATATCAGAAATTATTTGGACGATATATTCAATTTGATCAAAGAATTTTGGACCGTGAACAGTCCATTACAAAATACCCTGATACTTTTAGTCGAACACATCGCTGTCGCACTGGGTGCAGAATTTAAAATTTATTTACCACAATTAATGCCGCAAATATTAAGAGTCCTAACGCACGACACAAGTAAGGATAGATCAGTGACTGTGAAACTTCTTCAAGCGCTTCAGAAATTTGGGAATAACTTGGACAATTATCTTCATCTCGTGCTACCACCAATTGTGAAATTATTTCATGCCACGGATTGTCCTATAGCAGTCAATAAAGTGGCTTTAGAAACTGTTGATCATCTGGCTGATACGCTAGACTTCACAGATTTTGCATCCAGAATCGTACATCCTTTGGTGCGAACTCTAGATCAATGTCCAGAGTTACGTAGCACAGCAATGGACACGTTATGCGCGCTAATAATTCAACTAGGGAAAAAGTATCAGATCTTTATTTCGTTAGTACAAAAAATTATGACGAAACATAAGATTATTAATGCGCGTTACGACGTTCTAATCGATAAAATTTTGACAGAAACTACCGTGGCTGATGGGGAAGATTTCTTATTAATGAGACACCGGCATTCAAGAAATAAAAATCGTGATATGCCTGTAACGTCGTCGGACACAACTACGATTAAAAGATTGCACGTGTCTGCTTCGAATCTTCAAAAAGCATGGACAGCGACGAGGAGAGTTTCAAAGGATGATTGGCTGGAATGGCTGAGGAGTTTGTCGATTGGTTTACTCAAGGAATCACCGTCGCCAGCGTTAAGATCTTGCTGGGCCCTTGCACAGACTTATTCCCAGTTACCTAGAGATTTATTCAACGCAGCGTTCGTTTCTTGCTGGACCGAGCTGAATGATACATACAAAGCGGAACTTATACAAACTTTGCAACAAGCGCTGATGGTTCCTGACCTTCCAGAGATAACTCAGACAATTTTAAACCTAGCAGAGTTTATGGAACATTGCGACAAGGGACCGTTGCCGTTGGACAATAA